TTTGTCATTCTAAGTTGCATAAAAACAAATCCGTGGACTGTCCAACGTTTGCGCAGGCCTGTAGACCTTCCTATTTTGACCACTCATTGAAGTCAAATAAAAAATGCAAATAATTGATTTGAATTTAGTTAAGGGTTAATTCAACAACTTTACTATTGTTCTATCGATATTTGGACCATTGGATAGACGGCTTACAGCATTAGTAATGATTATGAATGGGCTGGAGAGCTGTCGGTTGCTCACTGAAATCGAGACTAACAAATTTTTTGTATTGTATTCTTTTACAGTATAATAAATGGATTCGCTCTACCTCTGAAGAGTGAGCACAAACAATTTTTGGTAAAAGTACTGCTACCATTGCACAAGGTGAAGTGCCTCTCGCTGTACCATGCGCAGCTCGCGTACTGTGTGGTGCAATTCCTGGAGAAGGATGCCACGCTCACCGAGCCTGTGGTGCGCGGATTACTCAAGTTTTGGCCCAAAACGTGCTCGCAAAAAGAGGTAATTTTTTTTATAAGCACTAGATGTACTTAATATTTCTGCTTTAAGTGTTTTTGTATCATAATTAATATAGTTTAGACGTAAGTTTAAAAAATAATAAAAATAAGGTGTAAATATTAACTAAACTACTTCAAGGTCGAAAAAAATATACTAATAAGTCTAGTGGGTTTTATTTCTCTATTAAATATTCTTCAATTCCTCAAGTAATTGAATATGTAATTACATTTTACAAATAATGTAGATTCACGCCATGATTTACAATTATAAAATGTATTAATAAAGCTATTTTTTATTTAATTGAGCATCCTATTTATCTTCACGTCAAATCCTTAGTAATATAGGCAGGGAGGAATGTGTACCAAAAACCTTTTCACAATACTTGCATTTATTTATTAAAAAAAATGGGACAAACTTAAATTGTATTCTTTTTGAGGTAACATTATTTTTAGTTTTATATTAACACAAATACTTAGATTGTAAGGGTAAAGAAGTATAGATGAATTATGCATATCAAGTCTCAAACAAATAAAAATTCAATTCCATTGTTTTTAGGTAATGTTCCTGGGTGAAATTGAGGAAATCTTGGACGTGATTGAGCCGGCTCAGTTTGCGAAAATTCAAGAGATTTTATTCAGGCAAATAGCAAAATGTGTATCCAGTCCACACTTTCAGGTAACTTTTATTACAAGTGATTCAACTTGAAGGAGATATTAATATTTTCTCATTTCTTATATGCCAAAGCATTCATTATTATCAATGAAACTTTTAAACGTAAAAAAGAATATAAAAGAATAAATTTTTATTGACTTTCAAAAGTATCTCATCTCATATCGCAATCTCTTGAGCTACTTTAACACTGTTTAGATTTATCTCGTAACGACTTTTTTTTCAATCTCATTTCGCGCCCTGTATTGAAATTTGCATTATATTTAATTTGTGTTCACATTGATGCTTTGTCGCGCACTATTTATTCTTATTAAGCATCATCTGAAAGTAAGAGGTTCTCATATCATATTATCTGAATATTTCGTATTTTAGTAACAGTGTCGCCAATTCTGAATCGATTTTGGTAATAATTTTTCTAATAGTATTTGCTCTCATGTTGGTCCCGTGTTAATTTTGTAAAGTTTGGTCCTGCTTCTTTTCTGTGCAAAGTAAAATCCTCCTTGTTGCAAAATAATATTCAAATATTTCAATGTAATGTACCCACAAAACATTTTGCAGGTAATCAGTATGTTTTGTCACGATCGAACTCGCCGTTTTTTGTGGTGAAAAATATACTCGATTTATAATTTTGTTTGCCCCTATGGTTCACCTCGCATCTCATCCCTAATTGAAGAATCCTATCAAGCTATAATTGCCCAGTTAATACTTCATGTCGAATGAAACATTTTTAGGTGGCAGAAAGAGCGCTCTATTTTTGGAACAACGAATACATTATGTCCTTGATGGAAGAGAACAACCACGTGATCATGCCAATAATGTTCCCCGCGCTGTACCGTATCAGCAAGGAGCACTGGAATCAGACGATTGTCGCCCTTGTCTACAACGTCCTCAAAACCTTTATGGAGATGAACTCGAAACTCTTTGATGAGCTCACTGCTAGCTATAAAGCGGAAAGGCAGAAGTGAGTAATAATAAATTAAATATGTATATATCAGAAGCTATAACTATAAACTATAACTGGCAATTTTATTTAAGTCACTTAGAGTAAAAATTATCCAATATGTTATCTATTCGGATATTAAGTATGATTAACAAATATTCAAACAATATCATTTTATTTATAGATTTTCAAAAGATCACCTCTAAATTTAGAAGGAATAAAGAATGTTAATTAACATATTTAGATCGACTATATAGTATTATTTGTTTTTATTCATCATTTTATTGGTTTCTAAACTTCATCTTCAGGCATATTACAAGGAAAAAAAAAACAGTAAAAGAAAGTACAAGTATTTTGAATAATATAATATAGTCAGTACAATAGAGTTACATTAAGAAATCACAACACAGACATTGAATTACAAATATATTTGTATTTATGATCAGATTTTTTATATTTTCAGTATGATTCATGTGTTTGAAAAATTTAAGTAATAAGTTTTCTGAATTAGTTTAGTTTTGATGTTCTTAATATTAAATTCAAACATTTTGTAACATTATTTATACTATATATGGCAAACAAATTGTGAGCCATCAGCTTATTTGGCATTCATTGATAGTACAAATAAGTTTACATAAAAAATAGTAGTAGATTAACTATTTAATGAAAAGTGATAATCGTCATCTATAGACATGAACAGTACCATCAATATCAAATAATATATTGTGACAACATATGGATGCCCTCTTCTGATGCTGTTACTGTGTTGATTAGGATGTTATTCATTCATAGTTGATAATTTTACTGGTCGCTTACATTTAGACTTTATTCCATTAGGAGAACCAAATTATTGGTTATTTACTCTATATTGATAGTTATTTTCGGATTACATTTTTTATTATGTTAAGACACAATTATTAAATACAGATATTTGTTAATAATATTATAATAATATGGAACTCATACTCTAATATTTTCATTTGAGAATTTATAAAAGAATTAAAAATAAAAATATTTATCATTTATTGTCATCTCCGGGCCAGTACTTTTATCAGCTGATATATCATTTCATTCTTCTATTGTCATTTTACCAACCCGCGGACAAAATCTTCGGAAACTTGTGTTTAGTAGTGGACAGTAAACAGTTGATATGATAATATCGTTTCATTAGAAACCCATCTCGAAATTAACGAGTATTATACTTGGCATCACCCCAGGCAAATATTATAATAAAGAAAGTTGAAAATATTTAAATAAATATTAGAATATAAGAATTCCATATGTTAATATTTCTATAATTTAAATATTAATAAAAATTTTATTGTTTGTTGTCCTATAGAGAGAAGAAACGCGAGAAAGAGCGTGACGAGCTGTGGAAGCGGCTGGGCGAGTTGGAGATCAGCCACAAGCGGCAGCAGGCGGCGGGCGGCGCCGCCAAGTGATGCTCCCCTTCCACACCCTCCATCCCAACCGCCACTTAGACTAATATACGCGCTATTTTATTTTCAGTTATGTATTCATATTTTCTATTCGATTACATCTTTGTTAACGACGTTATTAATTTTTTATACCTCTAATGATTCTTGGTTAGCGTATACGTACCTCGGTCTGTGTTTGTTTGTAGATTCGGTTCGCTCACGAGCTCCCGTCAGGCCGCGGCCGCGGCCCCGGCTGCGCTCGATCTCGTTCGGCGTACCCTAACATTAAAAGTTACTGATAGTGCTACGATGTGTCCACGACCCTTGTGCACCATTATCCTGTATTTAATATGTCATATGTTTACGTCAAGTACCACCATTTACTTTAGGGTTTTTTAATATTGTTAAATTGTTTAAATAAGTTAAAGTTGTATGTATTATTGATGCATGATCGATTGTACTGCATAATGGATCACCGATAACTGTATTAATCGGGCACCCAGCTTTCGGCTGAATATAATTGTACAAAAAATAATAGAGAAATTTGATGATGTTATTTGTTTAGTCCGACGGGCCGACGCGGCGCCCAAACCTATGGACGGCGCTGCATCGGCCCGTCCCGTAGATCGTTGTATGAACTTTCATTTCAAAATTAGATGCTCGATTCTAAAATGTAATTTCGTCCTACTATCATTTTGTATAGTTACATAGTGTAAATAGGCATTTATTTATTATAAATTTATAGCGATGTGATTTTTATACATAGCTGCGGGAGTGGGACACTACTAATTGAACGATCGACTAGAGCGAACTGGAGACTATTCATGTATCGTGCATACAGTATCCAACTAAAACGTTAATTTGATAATATTGGAGTAGACGATTCTGTAAAAGTAGTTATAATAATTTATAAGGGAATAGTCATTAATTTGTATGATATTAATGTAGCCAGACATTTAATTTTTATCCTCACTTTTGTAGAGCGCGGCGGGTGACCGCGCCCGCGCCTCTGTATATACTATACGCGCCGCGACCACTGCGTATGTATGTATGTACACTATGCAGATGTTTGTTATGTAAAATGTATTAACATTGCAAAAATTATATATGATCTTATATATAAATTACTATTATAGAACACAGTATGGAAATAAAAAAGTTGACTCACATGAATTGAATTCTTTAAGTATATGTAAGCGTAGGCGCCCCGCGGCGATTTGTAGTGAGCGCCGGCCTCGCTCGTCCGACTCTCACCCACTGTCCTCCGGAGCTAACGTTCCCCCTAGTGGTTACTCAGCGCAAACGCCATTGGAAATACACAACAAATTTTCACATTACTCAGTTTTTCATTTCTTTATTAAGGCCTAATTCATATATTGTGTAATATATGCAACAAGAGAATATTCAGAAAGATATTTATTATTAAACCCATCCTCAAATCTGATACCAATACCAAATATCTTAATACATTCCAGAGATCAGTACAGCATTTGTCTTTGTAAACCTAGACATTGAACTCTAAAAATCATGTGTTATAAAAAGTGTAACAACCTCGAACTTAGCCCTACATCAATGGTAAATAGTGAGTACGTTGACCAGTAACGGGATCAATACGCGCCAATAGAACCAAGTTCAAGTTGGCGCATCGCCATGACGACCGCCGCCAAACACTACCAGGTCTTGGCTCTACACCACACCCTTTTTATATACCTCTCTTGTGAACCATGTTGTCAAGTCAACTTTATTGGTAATGTAACAAACATAAGCTAAAAGGAAACGGCACAAAGCAAATATTCTAAATACACGTGTTAAAAATTAGTAAAATTATTACTGAAGATTATTTTGGAAATATTCTGGTGGTATTGATTTCAGGTTTGTATTAATAACTAAAAAATGCATGTATCTTTTTTTTAATTATAAAATCTATGGGTTTTCTTCGTTTTTAGTTAAAATGAGGCTTACGGGTTCCCGAGCGTATACCAGACCGACACCAGTACCAAAGATGCCTGTGGGATTAGTAGAGTTAATGGAAGGTCTGACAAAAGACGTGTTGAAACAGAATCCTACTGATATTTATGAATATTGCGCTAATCACATGCAAATGTTGTTGAATATACGGGATGGCCCAAGTAAGTTACAAAAGATTACGTAAATCCTACGTTAGAACGTCTTCACGGTTAATCAATAAACACATTGGATACTGCAATATACTGATTTGATACCAGTGTCCTAATATTCTCTTGCTCTTTATCGTTGATTTATTTAAAGTTGGTCTCGGCAAGGTTGAAAGGGTTAGGAGGGGGTGAACCGGGCAAATGCTTAAGCGAAATAAATTCATGCTACTTTCTACGGCGGCAAATATAGCTAGATCACGCATTTTAAAAAATCATAAAATAAATTACACATAAATCTATCAGAAGAGATTTGGTAATTTTTTTTTATGTTGATTTGAACTGTCCACGGTCTTAATCTTTATTACGATAGTCAGAAACGTAAAAAAATATCCAAAATTTTAAATATATTTTCATGTGGAACATTTTCTTAAAACTCAAGGGCTGGATCTGATAGGAGAAATTGATATAGTACTTTAATTTTCATGTCCTATATTAATATTTCAAAAATTGTCATAAAGTAATATTTCAGCTTCTAAACCAATATTGGAACAAAAAATAAAACGTGCTCAAGAAAAAATAAGAAGAAGGGCTGAAGAACGCTGGCAAAAATACCTTAAAGAAATGCAAGAATCTGCTGCAAATAGTGACCTGTTATCTCATAACTGTCTAGAACTTAATGAACCAGAAAACACAATAAATATAAAGCCTCCCAGTAGTCAGACACATTCCGAAACGGAAAACACAATAAATTTGAAGCCTCCCATTCACCCTGAATTAAATTTAAAAAATCTTTCTGAAGTAGAAATATTCCATGAGTTCAGTGGAAATTTAAACAACCTGAATCAGTTGGAGCCAATTTTAAGTACAGATATTGAAACTAAATACGTTAATAATGATACCGGTAATGTAACAAATAAATTAAATATTGATTCTTTAAATGAGATTACAGATATTATTTCGAATGAAAAAAGTAATATACAAACAAACATTGAAGAAGAATTATTAAAGGACGATGTAAATGCTATTAATTCTTTAGAAATTCACACATCTGCTCAAAACACAAAGAATGATATAAAGAACGATAAAAGAAACGAGGAACAAATGTCAGACATTAAAGACAATGTCGCTGAGGTAAAATTATTATCTCCATTAAATAATAACCATGAAAGTAATAATGAAGATAAAACGAATATTAATATACAGACTCACCAGAATGCTGATGTCTCTAAAAATGGAGAAATGGAAATTGATAATCAGAATAATGAGCTTTCGATTATGCAGGGAAATGAAACTAAAGAAACAAATCAGCTTTCCGAATATGTATTAAACGAAACAGATAAACCGAATTCTATAATCACAGAACAAAATAATAATTGTGGTCATTACTTAAAGGAAATAAATGACAGTATTGATTTAACTAAAAACTTATCTCACCAAGAATCTAAAAAAATAATTGACGAACAAATAAAGCTTACGGAGTTTACGGACAATGATAAAATCAGTTACTCTGAATCAAAAGAACATGTCGTTAGGCTTAGTGATGCTGGCACGCCAGTAAACAAAGAAACTACCGATGATACTAAATTTGAAACACAAATACTTACATCTGATAATAATTCATTCCATAAAATACCACATGAATTTAATGAAGACAGTGTTATTGAAAATGAAAATGTAAAATTGCAAGACATTAACAAAGAAGTAATGGAAAATGTTGAACAAGATGAAAATAAATATGATATGCTTAATAACGATAAATCAATCGATCAAATTGATCAAAAAACTTTAATAGTTGAAAAGCATCATAAAATCAAAGATGATATCGAGTATGACGCTAAAGTAGAAAATCTTTTAAAGATAGAAGATGATGCTAATAGTGAAACCAAAGTAGAAATTACAGAAAATGTAATCGTCGAGAATATTCATAAAGGAGAACAAATTGAGAAGAATTATGAGACAGATGACAATGGTATAAAAAGTGACATAAATAATAGATATGAACAACCTGATGTGAAAATTGACATGAAAGTTACTGACTCGCGACCATTTATTGAAAAAAATATTGAGAAAGTTGAGGAAACTAATAATTCTTTGATTTTGGAAAATTATAATGAAACTATTGCTGAACTGAAATCTAGTAATGAAAACGAAATAAATAACAAGGACACTAATGTGTCTACGTTACAGATGGCAATTGAAAACCATTCATTATCACAAGAAAATAAAAGAGATGAATCTGCAACTGCCGAAAATGATGAGTTAATTCAAAATGATACTGTGATTTCAATTGTGGACCCTGAATTGTCTAATAATGCCGATGTTAAAGTTGAAATTAAATCTATAAGTTTTGATGGAAGTACAGATGGAAATGATAGTAGCGCCGATGTGAAGTCTGCTATATCAGAAAACTGCGAAGATTTGAATGAAACTAATATCTCGAATCCGAGTAACATGGATTTAGAAACGGCAGCGATTACTATACAGAAAGTATTTCGCTCGTTTCTTTTCAAAAGTAGAGCATCAACATTGGATGATACAAACGATGAAATTAATTCTCTGGAAGAAGACAATAACAAGAAGGTAGGTGAAGGGATAAACGTGTGAATCAATTTGCGATATATTTATTACCACATCTCTATTTCGTCCCATTATAGAGTAAGTCAATTATATACTTTTTTTATATAACTGAGGAGGCAAACAAGTGTACGGCCCACATAAAGGTAAGCAGTTACTGTAGCTTATGAACGCTTGCAATACCAGGGGTTTTACGCGCGCGTTACCCACCCTTAAGTAACCTCTTAACCCCTCTTTTAAAGAACTCCATGCTGTAGGCTCTTGGAAAAACTTCGGCAGGCAGCTTATTCCATAACCTGAGTGTTCGTAGGAGAAAACATTTGAAACCGCGTTGTATGCGGTCATCTAGATTCTAGGGTATAAGGGTGAACTATCGATGGCGAACCGTATGATGATAGAAAATGGCCATGGGCATCATATTGAACAATTTCTCTAAGCACAAGCGGTAGAACGCGCAGTGAAGCAAAATCTCTCCTAAGACTTAAGAGTTCAATACCGCTTGTAAGCCTGGGATCATCGACAATTCTTATATCTATATCAATATAATCAATTATGTATGTGACTTGATACTGATATGATGATGGTATTGAAAATGAATTTCCGGAAACTAGCTGGTTGTTGGTTAAATTATTTTTGCAAATTTGTGTAATGTAACATTTAATTTTTTTTTTTTTTGATAAAATTTATGCATTTACTTATATTACAACTTTTTATGTTATGTTAATAGATTTTTAAGTTAAACAAAATATTACAGGAAGAAATTGATTATCAGATAATGAATGGCAATAAAGAAAGAAGAGGCATAAGTAGAATGGATACTGTATTGCAGACAGTTAACGAAGAAAAATCACTATCGTTGTCTACTGATGATTCTTCTTTATCTAGTGCTGCTACTACTATACAAGCCCATGTCAGAGGTTTTTTAGTCCGAAATAAACTACATTTAAACAAAACATCTACTAACTCGTTAGGTAATTCTGACGGTACATCCACAATATCATTAGATGGTGACATTGAAAACAATAAGAACAAAACCATTCTTAATATTCATATTGTTCCCGAAGGAGGTAACTACCTCAGTAGAGATGAAAGTGTACTAACTTCTATGGATATATCATTAGATGGTAGCCCACCTTCCTCTCTGAACTTACATCCTTTGGGTTATGATAGAAATGAAAGAAAACAACTAAAAAGAGAAGACGCTATACAATCTATTTCGCCACCTAGTAACAATAGTGGAAAATTAAGCGAAGACATTGATTCCGTGAAAGAAATGATAATTAACGACGGGGAACTATCTTTAACTCAAAATAATGTGGGGAAAAATCTCACATACTGTGAGGAACATCAAATCGATCCGCAATTTTCTGATATTCCCTCTGATAACACAACAATTGAAAGTTTAGTGGAGACCGAAAAAACTCATGATAAAAATAACATAAACAATCCGCATTCAAAAGTACAGACTGATGTTGAAAAACGCAAAGGAACCTTAACAAAAATGAGTTCCGATGAAATGGATGTAGTTACCCCATTTCAAGAAAATCCTCATGATAGTAAATCGGCGGACTCTAATTCTGCATCGAAATTAATGCATTCTAGTGAATTTCATGATATAGTTCTACCAACCAAGGTGTCGAGGAGTGACACATCAGTCGTCAGGGGTGAGTGAAGACATCTATTATCAGGTGATAAACCTTTCCCTTCTATCAAGGCCATCGCATGAACTGCTTTTATTAGGTGCGTGTGGACCTAGGTAGTTCGTGGTAGATTACTTTGAGCCTTGGCAGTTGTAGTTATTTTTCTGTGTAAAAAGTAGTTCACTATTTAGAAATTATTAATAGCTATACTTTTCAACGTCAAGATTATGGAGATTTGACAAAAAGAAAATTAGTACAAATTGGGAGGCTACTATGTGAAATGTGAAGCTTTTATTTGCCTGAAGTTTAGTATAAAGTTGTCTTATCATAATTCAAGACGTGTTGGTTTGTATTTTTCTTTTCAGAATTCAAGAGCGTGTTGGTTTACTTCTTACTGTGGAATAACTCCTAAAAAAGAAATTGAGTGCACGTATCATTATAATAGGTATTATATTGGGTCACAAAACTATTGTCGTAATAACTTCAAATGAAAAAAAAATATAATAATGGGATGTTATCCCATTATTATATAGTGTTACAGAGTATTCTCGCGCTAGAAAAATTGTTTGCCAATGTCATACTAAAAACTACTTAATACTGTAAAAATTTTGAAGAAATTTGCAGTCTAATAACCAAGTTCGCCAGCCAACCACTTTTTAATAGTAACGAGAATCAACCAAGCCGTAAGCTAATAGTTGATACTAAGTTGTTACTTAATGCACTTTAGTTAAGTTGTTAATTGCATAAAAGATATCAGATGCGCATTATCCATCTAAAACACAGAAGCAGTGCCGAATTAACTCATTTCGCTCACAAAAAAATACTGCTATAATACTTTACACGTACTAACTTGAAACATGACGATGTAATATAAAATAAGGCAATAATATTTTCATTTAGGGTTAATTAGATACAAAATTTAAATGTTATTTTCAATTAAGGGAAATATTAAAAAAATGATTGTCGAGGCGCTGCGTCTCTAACCGATGAGGGTCCCTAGTCCCTAAGCAGTTGTCTACACTGTCTAATGGATACTGGCCCTGCCTAGAATAGGAACATCTAGAACTTTGGAACGTAATACCAGATTATAACATTACTTGATGTAATTTTTGTATCGTAAAGTTCCTTGTCCATATAGATTACTTCAAATTTCAAACGATGTGCTCTTGTTTTCCTACGACTTTCCTTCTCTGACTACAAATAATTTACTTGGTGAGAGTAAATCTAGTCAAGAAATTAATTCCTTAAATTTTTATTCTTCTAAAATTTTTGTGAGTAATAAATAAACTTCGGCAAGGACACATTGTTAATAGAATAATACAATGGTTAATAGTAAAACAAATAATAAAGTCACGTTTCCTAAAATGTTTTTTTATTTATAATTACCGTATGAGGCAGACAAGCTGATCATCGTTAAAGGTCTTTTTTTTCTGTTGCTAATATTATTTATCTGTACAATTATTTTTTTATTAAAAGATATCTATTACGCTCTTTTAATACGTTCAAGTCAATTTATGAAAGTTCATTTCCAATATTGTTTCGACCCGAAACCTCATTGACGCAAAGATTTGTTTCATTAGGTTGAAGAAATCGAAATATTTCTATTCTGTTAGATATGGATAAGTAAATTTTATGTACGATCTACATAGGCATATTTAAGGGCTGGGCTGGGTGAGCACCCAGGATGTGAGCAAAGCTTTCAACTATGCGCAGACATATAAAGAATTTGATCGGAGGCACGATGAAAATTCTGTTACTCTTAAATACACATAGCGATTTAATACATGAAATAATGTAAAATTAGCCTTCTATAAAATTTCTCTTAAAAAAACTGCGAAACTTCCTTAATAAGTACGAATTCATGAATTCTTATATTTTTTTAAATTGAAAAATCTTTGAATCTTATGAGTCCGAAAAATTCTTTATTTGACATAAGAAGTCAGATTAATTTCAAGATTTTCCTACGGTACAGTTTTTTTAGAGTTAATACTTTCTGTTGAGAATTTGTGCGGCTACAGAAAGTGTTGACACAAAGTTATAAAATGTAAAGAAATAAGTATGTTAATCAGATGAGCACGTATCGTAACGTGATGAACGATGATGACTTGCTCAAATAAAAGTCCTTAACTTTCGTCTCAAAACTTGGCAGATATTGTATATTGCGTATAGAAACCGGTAAATCATTCCATAGTCGTACAGCTTGTACAGTAAACGGTTTGTCGTATAAACTAGAGAAATGTACTGGTGTCCTCCACTGAAGGCTCTCAAACGACTTAGATTAAAAGAATTAACAGAATGTAGGAAGTCTAATCACTTTTTCAGGTACAGAGGCGAACAAATTCTATTTGTGGCTGCCAAGTAAAAGAACTATCAATAATCACATCTAGATCTTTTACTCATGCAATGTGAGAATTAATTTATCACCATAATCTATAGGTACTAGCGTTGAATTATCTATGGATTAGCTTGGAATTACCTACTAATACTACCTAAGATTTGGAAGGATTTACTTTCAGTCCAAAAGCCTTACTCCAATTATTTAGACGTTTAAGATTCTGATTTGTTAAAGCAATAGCATTTATTTTTAGAAGCCTGAGTATACATTTGTATATTGTAGATGGCAGAGAAAAGATAGTTATTTATGTACTTTCTAAAAACAATGACATCCTACATGAAAAAATATGTATTTTAGAAACTAAGCAGAGAAGACTGGCAAACATAGAGGTCCTAAAATTTTTCCAGGTCTTTTTTTATTCACGCCACAATTTAACTGGGTTTTATGCCAAAGAAGGAATCACAAAATCTTTATGCTTATGTTAAAGACTGATCTGTGCTGTGATAGTATTCTCTGAAATTAAAGTCTAATTTGCGTTTTTTTTAAGTTGGCAAAGGGCTGGTGTAGCCCATTATGCCCCTAGCCACAGACATGGGCCGCTTACGTATAAGAAACGAGACAGGATATTAGAAAAGATAGTTTTTATTATAATGTGGTATTATCATCTGTGAATACTATCAAGCAGCGTTGTCAGATTGGATATTTTTTTTGCATTTTACTGTAAAATTTTTCTATGTGCAAAATTTTGGAGAAAATCTTGGATAAATTTTTAGAGAAAAGTTAAATGGGCTTAGAATATAGGTAAATTTTCTAGCTTTTTTTGGTAGTTGTAAACCATAGTAGTATATATATAATATATATTAAGCTCGCCTTGCCATTATTTAAGAAGTACTGACACTAACACTCATGTATGGAAGCGAATCGTGGGTATGGTAGAAGCATGAAAGTAAGATAAATGCTGTAGAAATAAGAGCTTTGAGAAGTATGTGTGGTATTACATAAAAAGGTAAAGTAAGAAACAGTGTGATTAGAGAGTAGTGTGGATTAAAAGACGATGTAGTGACAAAAGTCGAAAAAGGAATATTGCGTTGGTTTGGCCATTTGAAACCGATGGATGAAAGAAGAATTACGAAAGACATTTATCGAGCAAGAATGAGATATTGGTAGGGGCCGCCCTAGACGGACGTATGTCGACCAAATAGGCGACGTGCTGAAGAAAGACTAAATTAAAAGTACCCGTAACCAGCGAGCGTGTATGAAAAGATTGATGAATGTAGAAGAAGCGAAAGAGGTTTGTTTGAATCGAAGCTTTTGGCGTTCCATTGTTTCTGCCTACCCTAATGGGATATAGACGTGACAGATATATATGTATGTACGTATACTACTATAGTTATACTATGATAGTGGTATATAGATTATATGAATGAAGAAAATATCCATAAGAGCACTTTTTTCGTCGTTCGTTTTGTGATTCAAAACGTAGTGAAAATCGATGTTTGTGATTTGTAGAAAAATATTTGAACTTTGGGTAAAATAAAATACGCATCTGGCAACCCTGTTATTATGCAGTCAGGTAGTATATATGGTCATGAACGACTCGTTTGCTCAGTAGGTTAGAGCACCGATATCTTCTCTATCTATGGTCATGAATAATTAAAAAAAAAAGCAGTCAGGCAGTCATTAGTTTAATATACTATTATATTGTTTCGGGTTTAATTTGCCTATTACTTTTTTATACATTTTTCTTTCGTTTTCACTTTTTATACATAGTTAAAGAGTATATAACCGAGGTAAATACATAGTTCGGTATAGTCTCTTTAATCTGTAATTCTATCTAAAATTAACTGCAAATGCAAAGTTCCAAAAACTGAATCTTTAATATCTGGTTTGTTTATTTTTAATTAACAATGCCATTACCTCCAGCTTTAGCTGCTCGACTAGCTAAAAGAGGTATTTTAAAACCGAATTCCACCCCAGACTCCAGCAATGAGCAGCTACAAACTCAAGCTAACGAAGAAATTATAGCGGAAGATTACGATAATAAACCTGAAGATCAAAATAATAAGGAACACTTCTGGGCCGGCATAGAAGGCGTGAATGTTGATCCCATTAAGGGCCACAAGGGTTGCCCAAATAAAAGTAACATTTATCACGAATGTTCTAAATTTTGCGTTAAAACTTGGAAGTTAGGCAAGCTTACACCTGATGAAACATATTTGGAGAATAAGCGAAAAGTTTTAGAGCGATGGCCGTTACCGCCCGGGTGGGAAGAGGTATATGATGAAGGGTGTGGTCAACATTACTTTTGGAATGTTCATAACAATTTAGTATCCTGGTTGCCACCATCCCATCCTCGAGCACTTCCTAGTGAGAGTGCTGCACATTTACGAGAAGAGCGTTTATTAAAAGAAGGTGACGAGAGTGACAACTCTAGTGAAGATTCTGATCAAGAAGTACCTCAACAATCAGTGAAAGAAAAACGACGAGATCGTCATCAAGAAAAAGAAGTACATAGAAGGGATCGAAAACGACCAAAAAATAAGGATAATGATTTAGATCCAATGGATCCTGCTGCATATTCAGATATTCCCAGAGGTAATTGGGCAGCTGGACTAGACACACATGCCAAAACAGGAGTAGACACTACAGCTTCAGGCTCCATATATCAAATGAGACCATATCCCGCACCAGGGGCTATACTTGCAGCCAATGCTAAACAGAAGTCACCACCGCAAACACCTTAATAATAATAAAAGTTTCTAAATTGTAATAATTCCACACAATCAGTCTAAGAATTTAGATTGAAAGTAGCTATTTAATATTATAATTTTATTACTATAATAATATTGTTTACTCATACCACTTTTTGTTTTGTCTTTATACCTAACAAGGTATTATACTAGTAATAGGTAGACCCCATTAATTACTATCCCTTCCCTTTTGTATCTGGTCTGTTTCAATAGAACTTAATATAAATCAATAAATAATTGACCTTACCATAAGAGTCTGATGATAACCCATAGTAGATTTTTTTATACAACTTAAAATGGCAAACAAGCTGACGGCCCACCTAATGGAAAGTGGTAACTGTCGCCTATAGACATGAGGAGTATCATGGACATAACAGAGTATACTGTTTCGCCCATTATACACTCCATGTGTTGCCATTCCTGAGGACTCAGGTGTTATTCCTCCGTACCCCGTAAATTCACGCCATATCCCACCCTTCAAACCGAAACACAGCCATGCAAACAACTGTTTTACGGTTAAAACACGAATGGAATAAAAAATGTGTAAATTTATTGACTAATTACTTGTAATTTCAGGCTTCTCTGATAATTTCTATCAACTCCCATTATTTTTAATACCGACCCAATATTTTTAATACTCCAATATTTTTAATGCGAAAATTATTTCCAACTTGATATTGTAAAAAAATTTATTTACTGGCTTTGAGACCTCTGTACTCGGTTCAAATACGGGCTACGAGAATAGTTGGCGATCTCAAACTCACAGGCGATATTGAATCCTGCCCTACCTCCTTGTGTTTTCTACACCTTATATAACGGATTGTGTTCTGAATCGGATCGGATTGAAATAATGGCCACAGTTACTTTTTATCATCGCACTCCTTGCATCCTTACACGCTTGAACCTAAATGGTCACGTATAGTGTGGTTTCAAAGAATTTTTTTACGTAGCTCAGACTGTGGAATGAGCTCTCTGCTGAGGTTTTCCCCAGAGACTACAGTATAGGATTCTTCAAAAAGAATATATTAAGATTTATTTAGGGTCGGCAACACGCACGTGACACCGATGTATACCTCGTGTTGCAGGTGTCTATAGACTACCGTTTATTATCAGAAGGGTGTATGCTTATTTGCCGCCTTCGTGGTATAAAAAAATTACTAAAATCACAAACTTTTCCTCTTTCTGATGTTGTAGAAATCACTGGTTATTGTAACGTATTTGAACTACTTTTTGGATATTATTCTCCTTCTGTTGCAGCACTGGCTCCCTTTTATGTCCATTACACTTCTTTGTAAAAATCATTTATTCATGATATATAAGTGGTCTATAATGTAATAATTTTTTTAGTGGATTGTAATGGAATGATAACCCCTCCTGCGCTAACGGTTATACGCTGGCGGAGCATCAGTGATGGATGATAGGCGAGAATGAAAATGCAGGTCAGTTAGCCCATTGTGATGAATACACTTGGTATACACGGGGAGGTCGACCTGGCGGGGTATATTGCTAGCAATGGTACTGGTAGTCCCCATTACTAACAATCCCTCCCCCCCAGAGTAGTAATAATTATTCTACATCTATGTATAGACCACTAATTATAACTACCGATTATTAAAAGATATGACTTTTCATATCTTAGTCTTTAGAGATTTAAACAATTTTTATTTTTAAAGTCATTTATTACCAATATCTCTGTAATAAGAAGTAACAAGACAACAATGATTTCAATTCACAATCACACTTAATAAATAATATGCTCCGAACATTGTCATAGGTATTATGTCTAAATTATATAAAAGGTTATCCACTCACATAGTAGAATCTATCTATTTTATATTAATTAAAAAATATAAAAACCCTAGGAAGCTCCAGGCAGTTGTAACGTAACTGCAATATTTTACACTTCAAAAATACAAGGCATTGTATTACTTTACGACTTAAGTATATGAACGATCTTGTTTTTAAAGGCCAAGAAAGGCTCGAGACAGACCATTTCACTTTACCATTTCACCCGTCCGTTATAATATATTACCTGTTAGAACTGTATCGTCAAATACTAATAAATACTACAATACAAATACAATACTAATAAAAGTACCGTACTAATAAAACCAAAAGATTTATGTCTTGTCTACATAGGCCTTAAAAGAACCATCAAACATATTTTGCTTATAAGTATTTTAATTTATAAATGCTGAGTAAAATATTTTTTTAGTCTTATGCTCATTATGAAGGGTATAACAGAAAAGAGAGAACAATCTGAAATTCAATAGTATTCATTAATTTATATAGAAATGTAGTAAATATAGTATAGATATATACTATATTTATATAGACATTAATGCAGAGTATATCATGTATGGTTTAAAAATTAAACTCATACTGAGACTCACTTGGGAAAGATGTTCAATACTTCTCTAATATGATTCATTGGATTTCAAATGGTTATATCCTTTTTGTTATACCCCATGTATTGCATTATACAATCATATAAATTGGAGCAAATGTGGCTTCAATTTTACCATTTGTTTAACACTTTTTATTACATACATCAGTCTTCTATTTACCATTTAAATGTTTAGTTTCTGCTGCTGTATATATTAGAAGATCATTAGACGTAATCATTCCGACAGGTTTTCGAATCTGTGATGTTGCCTCTGTAAAGATATAATGGAATCATTAAAATAATTATATTATAATTATCTTCCAACCAACTGTATTATTATAACAGCTTAAATTTGTAGAGATTCGATATATAAAATAACGAACTTTTAAAACATCAAAAAGTAGAAAATTTTCAATTCGACAGTAATCTTTCTTATGGTGAGCGATATCTTCGCTACTTGTAAACCGATTTTGATGATTATTTTAACCGAAAATGTTTACACTCTTGTTGGTCTTAAATTTTATCAATACGAGATTATAAAAAAAAAAAAAGAAATGATAGGCACTTGCACTTACCTGATTTTACGACAACTACGTATGGTGTGATATCTAGCAATCGTGAGATTTGTCCGAGTGTAGGTTTCAACATGAGATCCACTTTGTAAAATTTTTTCACTGTAAACTTGTCGAGACTTTCATTTATCGAGCCCGATAAGTTAGCCAATCTTTGGCGTGCATTGTCTGCTGTGAACACCCCAACAATAGATCTGCAAATTTTACAATTGTTCAGATTATGTTGTTTGTATAATATGTGAATTTAGATAAAGATTTGCGAATATTTATATTTCAGCCATATACTGTCCACTGCTGGACATAAGTCTTCCCCATAAGGAGTTTTGCTAGTAGCTGTCATGCTAGGCAGCCGGGTTGGGAACTGCAGTTAGGCCTTTGAGAATGCTTGAAGAGGGACGATGCTGCCCATACCTCGCCCTCCCTGTGCATTATTAGATACACGAATTTTATATTTTGTGATTATTAAATTCAGAATGAGCGTGTAGGGAAGTTAGCATTGGTATACTGGAGTAAGGGAGTCAGATTATAAGGAAAGTATTGCGAGAAGTGCATATTCGAGTTGTGTATTTTTCAATTTGCAAAATATTTAAACTTCTATTTTACAATTAACTTTTATTCAATTATAGTTAACAATAAAACAAACATCGTAATCACACATAACTTGCCTTACATTTTGTTCGAATATAATTTAGTATTTGTAAATGACAATGCACAAAAAAAAATATAATATTAAAAGGTTAAAATATAATCATATAATGTTATTTATACAAACCAAAAGAAAAGTTGACGTTCATCAGTTGAGGGTTGACACATATTTACCTCCTGTTGTATGTAAATTACAAGTTGCATTTACCATATAATTATAAACTGTGTTATCCTACATTAACAATATTTAGTTTGCTAACAATTTACTTACCCACTGTCATTAACAATCGTTAAAAGAGGCGCTCTTGTTTCCTTTAGTTTATCGAGAGCTTCCAATGGCGTACTTTTGTTGGAAATGCTCACAACCGCTTGAAATAATTCATCTGTTACTAAGTGTTCCCACCACCTGAAAATGTCGATAAATTTTCCAATGGAAAATAGCTGTACGGCGTAATAACCGCTAAAAATCAACATATTTGGTAACTAGTCACACTAAACAGTCACATACCACACTTTGTCGTTTCTAATAACTTTTTTGAAATTGCGTGCTTCCATCCATTGGTCAGAGATGAACTTGGTCATGTAATTCCGTATATTGTCAGGAAGTAGTACCACACATTTTTGGCCTGCTTTGAGAGATCTAGCAGCTTGAATCGCTCCCCACATTGCGGACCCGCTGCTACCGCCTACAAATAAAAAAAATAAAATAGAAATACATAGTATATTTAAAATAAGTATTATGCAGAGACAATACGCTATTTTAATAATGGAATCCTATAATTTACGCTTTTAGTTTTGTAATGTAATTGCTAAGTATAGTCAATGACCAAAAAAAAAAAACAAGTATCATTAATACTTGTTTATTTTTTTTCATTGAAAATTGAACTGAATATAATAATAATTACCGCATAGTAAACCCTCCTCCCTTATGAGTCTACGAGACATTTGTAACGAGTTATGGTCATCGGTTTTCACCCATTTATCGATTACCGATCTGTCGAGGGAACGTGGTAAGAAATCATAGCCGATGCCTTCCACCTGTGAAAAAAATATAATAATATAATTTATCGCTAACAACTTTAGGCTATTCACTGCTTTCATTAAGTATATTTTAAGTCAGATATGCGCGCTGCTTTTAATTATATAAACCATTTCAATTTGGATAAAGTCTATTATTATTGGCTGACATATCAGATATTCGAAGTGAAAGTGCTATTGCATTTTACATCTATAAATCAGACTGACAGCAATGCTGAACTAATGTTCCATACTATAATTACTTAGAAGATCGTCTCTTTTAGTCTAGAAACGAGTACTAAAAAAGGTTTTTTTATTATACCATTTTGTACGCAAATACAATGGCAAACAAGCTGACGGCCAACGTGATGGAAAGTGGTAACCGTCGCCTATAGATATGAGCTGTACTTTGAACATAACAGAGTATACTGTTTCGCCCATGATACCCCTCCATGCGTTCCTATTCCTGAGGGTTAAGGTGTTAGGTATGCTTCTATACCCTGTAAATTCACTGCTGTATCCCATCTTTCTAACTAATGTAAACACAACTGCTTCACGGTAGAAATACGATTGAATTAATGTGTCTAAGTTGATAAATATTAATAATGTCCTGTCCCCAAGTATCGTTTAGAAAAAGTTAATAGGTCTTTTATGGGAATAGGTATAAAAATTTACAATAAGATACCAAAGGATATGTTGGAATTACCCTTAAATAAATTCAAAACATCTGTTAAATCATATTTACTGAGCAAAGCCTATTACTCACTAAACGATTACTTGAATGACGAGTGTGCATGGCAATAGTTGTTCATGCACTGAATTTTCATTTAATGTTAGACATAGACACCTATATAAATATACATTGTAAATAAACTGGCTTTAAAAAAAAAAAAGTAATTCAATTGAGTTTCTTGCCAGTTCTTCTCAATTGGATCTATATACCGAACTGGACGGTAGGGAAAATATAAAATTATAATGTAAAAATTTGACGTTCATAAGCGGCTAAAATGTCCTACATGAATAAATGATTTTTGAATTTTGAATTTTGAATTTTGAATATAATATGACGGTTCTTATTATAAGTGAATCTGACATATGCATAAACTTCGAAGCATAAACATTCCTAATCTCCTCATCTTGACCATAGTATAGTATCAATAAATATTACGAAACATCTTTTATTAATTATAAATTACGTCAACACATTGTCGATAAAGGTGTGTTTATTATAATTAATAATGTTTTGCCTACTGTAAAAATGTAAAATGTATTTGCATAACAAAAATATTATTCTTGTATTGAATAATCAATGTCAAGTAACAATGACTAGTTTGTTTGTGCTTAGCTTTAACGATACAATAGGTTTTATCAGATCCCATTCTATTTCTCGCTTAGCCCTGTATTGCGCGCGACACAAGTCCCAAGGTCACATCGTCATTTTGTTATTGAAAATCTTTTGCTAGGAGCATTAAAGAAATTATTGTACTTACTATCGAGCTCATAGAATTTTTTTGACAAACTTGTAATAATACTCTACTGTTATTTTGTCAGGTTGCTTAGTATAGAAACCGAAATTCGTCATTCTGAAGAAAAAAATTATTAAAAAAAAAAATACAGCGTGACTCATTCGTTTTTAAGTTTTTATATGTCCGTCGAAAACCCGTAGATATAAACAGATATCAAAACTTATATTGTGAGATCAAATCTGCAATCATCGGAAGCTAAACGTACGCGTGTAGTATATTATTTGGAATGACAATTCTTTCTTCTGATTTGAAGCAATGTTGGTAGTATAAAGTAAGCATAAAGACTAATTTTGCCAGATCCTAGAATTTTTTAGCAAAATTATATGGGCTGAGCTGTCAAAATTCATAAAGTATAAAAAATAATACGAAATATGGTCACAACCGTAGTTCTTAATGGGATAGTCAGATGCACTATTTTGTTGATTGATTGATTAATGATTAAAATAGTTTACCTCATAAAACTGCACATCACTTTTATTAAGTTCTTCTGGTTGTGCGAGAATAGAGCCGTAGGGGTCGACACCAACTACAATGCACTTTGGGCAGCGCTCTTTGATTTTGTGCGCGACTCCGGAGATAGTGCCGCAGGTGCCTGCGCCTATCACCACCATATCCACTTCGTCATCCAACGACCATAAGATCTCTTCGGCGGTACCGTCATAGTGTGCCAGTGGATTGCATGGATTATTGTACTGTTGCAAATATAAACATATTGATGATAATTGTAAACACGATTATATCAAGTGGATACAATACATACATAACAGTTCAACATACATTTTACATAAATATATTATTAAAAAAATATATTTTAAAACTATCATTTTATTTATATAAATATATATGAGACCACTTTAACAAGGATATTTCTGTATTAAAGTGATCTTGTGTTACCCAAAGTATCCAAAAAAGAACAGTACTACTGTTTTGTAGCTTGAAAGATAAATTTTAATGACAGACCCTTTTTAGATTTCTCTTTATTCTGTGATTAGCTACATTTTACCAGCAACATTAAGGTAGTATGGTTACCATATTTTGGTGGTGTCATGTAGCCTATGCAGAATAACCAAATTCTTGAAGAAATAATTGATATCTATCCACACAAACATCCTCACAAACTTTTATATTAATTAGTAGTAGGATTTACTATTAAACATTATAATAATATTAAACTAAAAATTATAACAATGTAACAACCTGATCAAGTACAACAGCGTTAGGTATTTCTTTAGCCATACGTCTTGCGACCATTATGTTGCTGTCGGGGTCACTTGAAGCTGCTTCTGTGGGTGTCCTGACGATCTCGGCACCGAGAGCTTTTAGAGTGTTCACTTTTTCATCTGACATTTTCTCAGGCAAGACTATAATACATCTATATCCTGTTGAAAATATTTTTGATTAAGTATTTTGAGACATTAGAATATAATTAAGAAAAGTGACCAACTATACTAATTTACTGAGTTTTGTACTCTTTTTTCGCAAACTGTACTCTGAAAGTACTTATTTGTATAATTTTATACTCATTTGTATTTCTAAAACATTTTTTTAGATTATTTTACATCAATTTTATTAATTAAATATTTAAAATTATTTTGACAGTGATTTGAATTTCAGTAGAACATATCCCATATGAAAATTTAAAAGTTTTAATAGAAATTTCCTTATGTTGTCCAGGCACTAATGCTGCTGTTGAAAGGGTATTTTCACTAGGGAATGATTATTGGAGCAGTGAGAAGTCGTAACTTTCTGTAAAAACATTATCTGCCATTTTAACAGTCAAATTTAATATGCAAAATGAAAGTTGTTCCGATGTGGCTACATTATTAGATGAACATCCTCATTTAACAAAAAAAAATTACACTCTAAAGAAAAATATTTTTTTAAAAGTATTGTTTTTTCTTCTTTTTGTCACCTATGAAATACTTGCAAAGTAAAAACAAAAACTCTTTTAAACAAAAAATAGTTGGTCACCTTAAATTAAGACTTACTTTTATACATACAAGAACTATAAATATTTTTTATTATTAGTTGTATTATTTTTATAACTTATATAAATTTTGTAAAAATATCTATAACTGTATATGTATATCTGAAATTTTTTGAACATACTATATTTATAATTAGAAGTTGTTTGGGAAGATTTACTAAATATATATTTTACTAAAGTTTGAAGCTTGTTTGATGAACATTTATATTTTTATTGTATATATTGGATGGACATTATCATGCTTATCATTTTGTTGACAAATTTTAATTTGTTATAATTGACTAATTAAAGTTGGCATCAAGATGACACTAATGTATGAAAGAAATTCAAACTATGCTAAGTATATTGGTCTGCAATATGTAATTTTTTTTTTAATAAATGTACACTACATTTTAATTTAAACTAACTTAAACAGTGCAATACTTTTTTATGGATAATGATGAAATGGTATACCTACTAATAGTGTTCAATAACAGGACACAAATTGAGGATAAAATGATGAGAATTTACCATAAATTATTAAAGATGGTTACCATAGGGGATTCCTTGAATGTGGATCTGATATTACTAGCTGCTAGCAATGGGTTACAATAGTTCCCATTAATTATAATACCATCCAGTCAGTCACCTTAAATCACTGACTACCTTTGGTGCTTTGAAAAAATATATAGGTCAGAGTTAACTGATTATGTTAATTTATTTTTTTTTTGTAAAATGAAACTGTAAAATAATTATTTGATTACCTTATCAAAGACAAGGTCTAGGTTCTCAATTATTATTGGTTTAGACTGATAACCCATTGCAAGATCATTTAAATAAACATTATCATAATACTTAATTTATATAGGTTACCACATAAAATGTAGTTTTAATGGAATATTATCTATTGTAACAGCTGAATGTGTGAATTAAAAATAGATGCTTCTATTCCTTAATTGCATGCCCCATAATTTTTAAGTCAATACATTTTTTAAGTAGGACCATACATAATTCTTTATTTGTTCAGTAATTTAAATCTTATAAACAATGTTTTTCCCAATTCTAAAAGTAATACATAATAAAGTTAATCCAGTAATAGAAAATTATTTAAATGAAAATATTGACAAAAAGGTAGATTGTAACAATATTATTTATTTATTTTCAAAAAGTTTAATAAGGACTTAGGGAATATTTTTATACTACTTGATAAAAAAGCTTTAGATTTACTTTTGGCAATATATAAAATCAAGACATATAGGATCTCCCATATTTTGTATATTAATTTTTTTCTATTGTGGTACCTTTAACAGCAGCTGCAAGTGCTAAACCAATGCCAGTGTTGCCTGATGTCGGTTCTATAATGACAGACTTTCCAGGTATCAATACTCCTCTTTGCTCAGCATCCAGCACCATTCTGTATGCAATGCGATCCTTCACAGAGCCACCAGGGTTCAAGAATTCACATTTTGCATCTAAAAATAATAAATTTCCTTTTAATAATTACTAAATCATAATATTAATAAATTAATATCAAAGTTATCAACACAGTTCTATATAATCCGAAATTAAATAGAGTTTGTAATTTGGGTGTTAAACAACTCCAAAAAATGTATTTGAATATTTTTAACCAAATACTTTTTTTTGTATATAATGTAGATATAAACAAATATGAATAAAAATATTTGTAATGTGCAGCATTGAAATTGTAATCATGGGAATATGAAACAATATGTTAAAACCTTTACATCATTAAGATTGTTTAATAAATAAAAATTATACAAATTATGAAAATAATTTCTGTGTTGAAACTAATAAAAATTAATATAATAAATTTGTCAGTAACAATTTATTTTTCAATAAGTTTTATTTTGAAACATAATAAAATCATAAATTACTGTAATTAAATATATTGATGTTTACCTTATTTACAAACTATTTAATAAATAAAAACTTATCCTTTGTACTTACATATGTCACAGAGTATTCCTTCATCTTTTGGAATTCTTGTTAGTTTGACTAATGGAGTATTGCCAATCACATGAAGAATATCAGGCTGTATTTTTTGATTTCTATCTCTGTGAAAATGATATCAAAAGTACAATATAGTTTAATCTTTTGTTTATTTATGACTGTGAAGATTTGAATGAAATATATTTAGTTCTAACCAATATGCAAACAATAAATAGGTTTTATCTAATTTTTAAACGTTAAAATTGATGTGTTTAAACCACAAAGATATAGGTAGTATTAGTATTCATATACCGGTACTCACAGTGCTTCCACTATATGTGGCATTCTTTGAAGATCGAAGAAATTTGTAACACCGTTAGTTGAGCCATTTTCAGTTTCCATGTGGCTACTCGTAGACATTTTATTTATTTTTTAGCAAAAATAGTATGGGCTAACAAGCGAGTTATGATATAAAACAAGTTTCGCAATAAATTGATGACTATACACTTCCACCAACAAAATATTGGTTTAAAACGTGATTAATTGAATCCGGAGAATAAATCAAGTTCTATTCGTCATTCAATACAGCTTTTCTGTATAAAAAAAACTTTAATTAAAAAATGAAAGACAGATACAATTAACACGTGTAGAATTCAAAAGAAGAGCCGAGAGAATAATTTTTAACTATATGTAATGTACTCTGTGTGAATAATGATGGATGATGAAATTTGATTCACGAAATACTCAGACAAATATGTTGACATTGACGTTGACAATTTGCTGAATTTAACAATTTTATTTTCAATACCTAATACATATCACAGGCTCTATTCTTAATCTATGTATACTATTTAATTTGTGTCTATGCAGATGGGTCGCTATTGTTATAGTCCTCCTAAACGTCTACTTGGGCTGTAAGATTAATATTTTACGTTTACAATACCAATAAAATTACTTACAATACCATTAAATTTCTTAACTTTTCTTAACTGAAGATTAACTACTTGATCTTCAAAATCTTGATGAGTCAAAAGATCCCAATTACCGAGATAAATTGAGCATACCGTGCTAGCCGCATGAGAAAGATTTAATATAACTTCAATTTCAAATTTCAAATAGAAAGTGTACACAGTCTTTTCTATGTGTATCTCGATCTCACTAAATAAAATCTGTGACCAAGCTTTTGCGCTTTTTTGCAAAGCTTTCTTGTTTTTAGTTACTAACTATTGCGGAACGAAAGCCCATATTTATTCTATAATATCATAGTGTTACCCAAAACAATGAACAATTCTAATACTGTCCGCAAAAAAATTTTTTTTCATTCTAAGTAGGATAAAAATTACGAAAGAGGGAAATTACTACAGAAGAGACCCATTTACTTGCCTTTTAATACAAATATTAATTTAGCCGAGAAATGTACAATTTAATCTAGATATGGTTTCAATCATTTAAAGTTTTTTTTTTTTTTATATTCGGTTCACGCATGAAAAACTTAAAAACTAAATTTATATAACTATACAGGTAAAACTGCAAAAATTAAATTTATACTTTTACGAAAATTAAAAACATTTACCAACCTTGGACTGGGAAAATCTCAGATAAAAAAAATTGAAATTAAAATAAACTGTAAATACGTAAAAATATTAGATAGGTAGGTAGGTACTTGCCTATTAACGATAGAGTGATCTCAACATTTGCTTTTATTTTTCTCGAGTCTTGTATGACAAATGGAAAATGTTGAGCATGTGTCGGTTATTTGTGATATGCAGATTGGTACAGTGCGTAGAAAGTATCTAGTTAAGTGTAAATCGATATTGTAGTTACCTCGTTTATATTGTTGTGAAAACCTAACTTGATTGTTAATTAATAGCTTATCAGACTTAGATAACGAGTCTGTGTGCGACATTAATAATAGGTACCTACAGTTTTTATACATAGAAAAGATTAGTACCTGCTGTTGTTTCTATATGAATTTCGGTATAGCCACAGACGATAATATTAGTAGTATTTTCCATGTTTGAGACTTATTCACCTATCATTGATTAATGTATGACTACATAAAAAAATATGTAAGTCTAATATTATTATAATTTACCTAAATTATTTTTTTCAGATTTCACTTAGTTTCTAAATTTATTTGACGATCTTGGTGCTGTAGCGAATAAACATACTGCTTCATCTTACGATGATTGTGGGTTTGATTCCTCAACATTACAAACATTTGTATTCATGAGTATCTCTATATGTATGTCTAAGTACAATATACATGTATTTATAAAAAAAAATGCATTTACAATTGTAAATGCATGTTTTTTTAATGCTGCTTTTATCCTCATCTATCATCAATTATTGGTATATAATGACCGCACAGGCGGAAATTTATTTTGTTTTCACCTATTAAAAATAGACCAGTTCCACTTGTCCCTACCAACGTTTCCCCACTGGAGGATAAGAGAAGAATTTTATTCAACCTTTCTCCACTGGCAGAGATAAATAGAAAATTATTTCCACTTATTCCTACAGAGCGTTTTTGTTTATAATTGTAGTCCTGTACATAATTACTTCAAGGTATGTTTTAGTATAAATAACTTTTATTAAAGTAGCTTCTCTATGTGTATCTCTATTTCACTAAATAAAATGTGCCACTAAGCTTTTGCGATTTTTTGCATAACTTTCTTTAAGCTTAAATTAAAACATCCTGAATCTAACTGGTTATTAATTTTGTTTAGAATGATTGTAAAATACTTTACGAACTTGAAAATGTTTTATGATGATAAATTGATATTTGTTTAGAAGAATAGTTTATTTCGAGGTAATATGACTTGGATAATAGGCGGAGAATATGTTTTCTTTAATGGGTGATAATGGAATGGTATCCCTGCCCGTGCTATCGGTATACGCTGGCGGGGCGCCAGTGAGTGATGATGATAGGTGACGATAATAGCAGATCAGTTAGTCCATCGTGACGAATTCCAATAGAATTAACCATGGTTTCCAGAGGGTACGGCGTGGAGGTCGACCTGATAGTGTGTATTGCTAGCAATGAGTCAGTTAGACCCCATTACTAACAAGCCCTTTCCGGGGGAGAAGGGATTCTTAGTAATGGCAATTAGTAGCCCTATTGCTAGCAATATACCCTGTCAAGTCGACCTCCTCCTAGTTCCCCCTGGAAACTATCGTGATTAATTTTTGTTAGATTCGTCACAGTGGGCTAACTGACCTGCTTCATCCTCACCTATCATTCCTCACTGGTGCCCTGCCAGTGTACCGATAGTGTAGGCGGAGTTATTATTGTTAAGAACCTCCTTGGTTCAATGGCAGGCGATATGCATTCTAGCAGCGTTTGTCAATGTAAAATAAAAAAAAAATAAAATAAAATAAAAATGTCTGATTACCCTTTTGTCTTACATACTATGAACATTGACTGAACTTACTGACTAATATTAACTAGTGTAGGTAACCAAAATCCTAGTTCTGGTTTTCCTTAATACTAATCCTGATTCCGTCGTTGCTTAATACTGGTGAGTGCTACAACCTATATTAATTATTCCATTATCATCCATTATTACATTGCAGAAGAATAGATAGTCAATATCTTAATGTATACAAGTCGCGATTCATGCTAACCTCCGTAATCACATATATTATATGATAATATTATCTAAGAATTATTGAATTAACTTTAGTAGTTACTTTAATACTTAAGTTTAATAAATAATTACTTTAGTAATTATTTATTAAACTTTAATACACCTAGATAGGAAACTTAATAGTCGAGGAATTGGCAGCGCGTCCCTCTTAAAACCTCATAAAATCCTAACCCACAGAGTACATTATTACTATTAGTACCACTGGCAATAATCCCCTAACCCCCCCCCCCCCCCCCCCCCCCCCCCCCCCCCCCCCCCCCCCCCCCCCCCCCCCCCCCCCCCAATAACTTCAAATAGATAACATAAAATATTATATTCATGATTTTTTTTTCATTTTAAACAGAATAAAAGAAATTTAAAAGAACGTAACATGTAAACTGTTTGGATTAATGTGAATTCGTGTGGTTTCATTAAAATTATTGTATTTTGAAGTAGAGGAAGAAAAGGGGACGCATAATAACTTATGTCCAGCAATGGGACAATAATCACTCATTATTGTCCCATTGCTGGACATGGGTCATTTCCCATAGATGAGAATCACTACCATGTTAGTCTTATGGCATCCTTGAAAAAGGAGTGATGATGGAGACGAATTAAGCATATTCGTACTCTGTCAGTTTATACTTAATTCCTTTTCAAATTTACAAAGATGACAAACATAGCTGACAAACATTTGGTAGAATTTGGAATTTTACTGTATAAGGGAAAACACTAAACATCTGTTTTATTTGACATACTTTTTAGATGTCCGATCTAGAAAGCTTTGCTTTTTAAAAAACAATAATCAGAAATTTTGTTTTCTAGATTCTTTATAATATCTAATATTGACACAAACGTTTCTTTTTGTACCAACGGTACGGAATCCTAGCTAATAAGTATTAATTACTATTTGGTAAGCATTCGTACTTTGTAATCCAGCTAGAACTGAGATCCAATGGTCCTTTTTACACAATTGTAGCACAAACGTGTTCACATATTTTGCACTACACTAGACTTACTTCATATCTATCACCGAAATTTGTAAGTCATTATCTAATTCCAATGTTCTGTCACTTATTTTCATGATTTGGCATAATTTTCATACATCCAATCCCAGAAACGCACCCTTATAGATTCTGGATCTTTTTCTAATGTGAATTTACTATTAATATTGAGGTAGTCGATGTGAGTCGTATCATTTACTGGAAGCCATTTGAAATCCACCACGGATTCGTAGTCTACAGGTGGCGTTGGATTGCTAAAACAAAAACAATGAAAACAATTACTATCTTGATTCTCAATACCAATATATTTAGAAAATTTATTAATGTTATTTATTTAATATTTGATTTAATTATAAATTCTTCTTAACTTTTAATACTTCGTCTTTACTTTACTCAATGAGAATAAGTGTTTGACAGAATTTGATACAAGATATTGCATCTATCGTGTATCTGCACTTACCCAGTTTTGGCAAAATTTGTCCACAACTGAATCATTCGTTTGGAAACAGCTAACTCTGGAGAATCCTCGTCTAGTCTGTAGTTCAACCTCGAGAAGTAGAAGAGGTAACCCATTTCGTCTCCGTGGCATGCACCGGGGTGAGTAATACCCATCATGCGCTTGAAAAGCCCTAGAGCACCGTCGAAAGCAAATCTATACACGTAGGTAGGGCTAGTTCTATTTGTTTCAGCCTGTAGTCGTATGGTCTCCAATAAAGGTCGAAGGAACATTATATCAGTGAAAAGCTGAAAAAATATAATTATATATGTATAAATATCGTTAGTCAGCTCTTGTACTTATCTCTATTACGCGTCTTCGAGTTGGGACTGCTGAATATAGGCCTCCTACTATTGGGGGTTATTCAGTATTAGCCATGCTTGGCAGGCGGGTTGACAACCGCAGTTAGACTTTCATTGACGCCGCTGCCCATACCTCGACCATAAATTTCCCTTAGTCGTCCCTTACGACACCCACAGGAAAGAAAGGAGTGGCCCATTCTATGTTGGGGCCGGCCACACTGCGTACTTGTACTAAGATATACTGACTGTGTGGTAAGGTGTAATACATAAAGTGAAATATTGACTGTGATACTTTAGTGTTCGTGTATACTTCATAATTAGTTTACATAGTAACATTTATTATATAATACAAGAACTGCAACAATATAACCGGAGTAAGGTTTTAAAAAGCTAAGCAAATAAACATGCACGAAGTATGTCTGTATGTCCCGCGACCTTTGATTAAAAACTAATGATTTTCTTTTTATACAGGAGCTAAGAAAAAAATAATTATAAAGGCAATCAAATTACAATAACAACACAGATTCGTTTAAGAGCTAAGAGCAAGAATTGAAATTCATTGTTTTCATTAACATATTTTTGTTAAAATTTTAAATATATACTTACATCAATGAGGCTGTTTATATTGTGCATATCGACTGGCCGATGTTGGAAGTAGGAAGCCCTAATCATGGCAGCTATCTTCTTAACAGTCTTCTCGTCATGTGAACTGAGTTCTGGTGGTACCACTCGTTCAAACTCACGATCTAACTCGCTTAATAGCTTTGGATCTCGTTGAAGCCCTGAAAACATATTTTATCTCTTTAATTTCTTGATAACAAGTTATTACTGTAGTCAATAACGCCAATGACATCAGCGTTCCACGAATGTTTATGGCATCCTGAAAAAACTTTTATATGGCCTTGTTCTACAATCTATACGGTCATAAAATAGAGAATGGTACCAGGATCGCTAGGCTTTCATCATTTTATTAAAGTTTAGATATTTTGGGACATGTAAGATAGTAGAAAAAAAACGAATGGACTTCAGCTAAATTAAGTTTTTGCCACTAAGGCAGATAACAAGTAGTAAAGATGCAGAACCATAATGTTACTTAAGTACATTAAAGTATTATGTTTGTTATATTCAATACTATTCAATTAGAAACACATGTATACTATTGTCAAACATTTTCTTTACCAACTGTTTTAAAGATACATAATTGGGATAACTCAAGATTATCATAGTATATTGATCTAGAACGAAACTCGTCTTAAATAGCGTTATTCACGACGGATTGCGAGTGGTGCAATGAGAGAATGTGTGAGGACGAATGGGCATCATGTATAACAAAAGTACAATGAAAATAAAGATAGACTAGATAGGTAAAAAATTGAATTTAAATATGTTTAGCACGATGAAGTAACAATCATATAAAGAATTTTACAAAGTTATTCATAGGTATCTAAAATATTATTATCTACAGTCATAAACGCGACCCTAAATGTGTGGTAACATAGTTAATAATGTCATGGTTTATTGAACTGTCCTCGCTTAAGGTTAACATATTATTGACCTAACAATTACATAACATGGTAAGTGCCTAACATTGAGATAAAAAGGTAAAGACCCAAATACTAGAAAGTAGCACAAATATGACATAATCTCATAATGTTACTATTATGTAAATGCGGGCATCACTAGTTCGGTTGTCGGTCAGCACTCGTGGTTTCTCCGAAGCGAATACCATAATGTACTGATGTAATTTTAACTTGTATACTTGTTGATAAACAATTGCAAGTCTGTTACAATTAATTGCTTTTACGTTGCCATTCAATTAAACACATTGCGTAATCGAATAGGTTTGTAAGATTTGTCCGTTCTTTTTGTACTTCACTATTAGAACAAGTAATACTCGTATAAAAACAATTTATCTACCTATAAATTGTTCTCAAATTTAGTCAAGCTATAAAGGAATGCTTTAAAAATTTTCTCGCACGTTTACATTAGACCAAAATTGATGACACAGGACGAGAATTCGTTCCCTTGGTCTAACGCTTATAGGTATCTTAAATTTATTTGCCACGTTCAATCCACGAGATCCATAAAAATCACTATAAACTACAGGGAGAATGTTTAAAGGATATTGATTATCTAGTAAGCATTAGTCCACTAGATGTAGGCATAGGGAGGAAATTATTTTTAATCAGGACTAACAGAGTCATTGTTAAGTCAGATAGTGGAGCGACGTAAGATTTATACGTCGGAATCCAGGGCCAGTTAATGCATCTTCATATAAATTTTTGAAATGTGTTTTTAACAGTATATAGAAAAATCTTAAAAAAATTGTTTTGGCCAATCTCAATTTTTTAATTACAAAAATAAATAATTATTAATATTTTGGAGATTTTTTTTATTTTCATTAAATTTATATTTTGAAAAGGAGAACTAATTAAAAACTTGTCCTTGGGGCTCAAGGGACTATAGGTACAAAGGTGCGTTTTAAGAAAACATCTTTGATCTTTGTTTATTTGCAACTTATGTATATTTATTATTGTGCAGTTCATGCGATAATAGTTAATTACTGAACATAATTGTGTTTTATAAGCAGTCGAACAGTTTTTATGAAGATTCATTGACTGGCCCTGGATTCCGAGATTTTACAATTTTTATGCCTTACGGCGCTCCACTAAGAGACAAACATCGTGAGAAATAGGTGTTCATCCCGTTAGACTGATTAACTGACCTGCTTTCATACCCGTCCGTTATGGCTCACTAGTAATTTGTCTGTGTAAACATTACCTTTAAGTATTACCATTTCATTTTTATTCACATAAAAAAACCGGCTAAGTGAGAGTCGGATTCATCCACTGAGGGTTCTATATAAATTATTATTAAAATAATTCTTATTACGTAACTACAAATTTACGATTTTTGGATTTTTCTCTTTACTTGTGTTATAGTATATTGCTTTATACCAATTTCATCATTCTAGGGTAACGGAAAGTACCCTATAGATTTTAATTCTCTTTCAAATATTCAAATATACGCTATAAACGGCCCTAGTTTATGGACGCGTTGAATTAGAAGTTTGATTATTTTATATCTTCAAGGAATTGTAGACTTAAATATTTTAATATTCACTTCAGCTAGATTTCTCTACATGTTCTAAAAAAAAAGGATGGTTGGATAGACAGATGGATTTTAAAGCGATTTTATAGGGGTTTCGTTTTTTCTTTTAGAGCACGATAGCCTAAAATCAGCTTATTAGGTATCTGGTAAAGATCAGCACGCTTTAAGTTCTCAGTAGCCGCAAGGTATTGGAGGTCCCATAATCGACACTTATATTGTGAAGTGTATATAGACAGACGACAATTCTGTCATCACTTTCTATTAGGCAGGCCGTCAGTTCTGTAGGCAAATTTTTACTATTAATAACTGTATTATTACTGTAAGTATTTTGGGCTCTCTTATTCTATAAATTCAAAATGGTGATAACTCATTGGGTATATCGACATTTTCTATAGCTAATCTTTAAATCGAATTAAAAGGGCGGAACCCAATGTGCACGTTGCCAATTTAGGCAATTACAGAAAGGATTAATGATTTCGTAAAAATGGCTATCAAAGGTTGAGTTATACAAATATTTGAACCTTGATCTGCGTATCGAATATTGTGTAATAACAAATTCGTGATTCACACTACATGACCAAAAATTACTTAATAGTTCAACATGGCGTCGACGCGGAACGGTCAGATTACGTGTTTTATTACAGCGTCCTACCTTTGGCTGTGTCATGGACGAAGACATCCGTAAATGTCCCTATAATTGTGAATGTATAGTGTAATTTCAGTCGCACAACAGTTATCTAAGTTGTTACGTGGCGTCGTAGAGGAATGTTCATGTCGCGTGATTTCTTGGTGCATGATTACTGTGAAATGTAAAAACTAATCTTGTGTATCTACTACGTAGTTATATATAGTTTAAATAATAGACCTATATATTTTATTTAATGAAAAAGTCATGATAAACCGCAATCTGCGTAGTTATTTTAACGATTTATTAACCAGTGTGGTAAAGACCTATTACAGTCTACGGTTGAACCTTGCGACGTTTTCCCATTAGTAGAGAAAGATATTAGTCTACTATAGAGAGAGCCTTCTCTCTCTCTCTCTCTATCCCTTATCTTTCTTCTCTCTTATCTCTCTATATCTTGCAAAAATAGTATAATCGCTCTCTCTATTCTTTTTACTGCAGTTGCAATAAGAAAGTGTACACTTTATGTTAATGATCCACTTATAATTATTTATACTTAGGAAATGATTATTAGAAGTAGTTATTAATTTTTATTCATATATTGCGATGACTGAGATAATCTATTTACGTACTTACACACAATATGGTGCTACAACATTGACATGATTTAATTTGTAGACCGTAGGTATTACCCTTAATTAATGATTTGTAGTTACAACAGAATTTAAAGTCTTGGTAACCGCTGGTATTGTCTTTATTATATTGTATATGTACTCTATGAATTGCCTATGAGTAGAGACGTCCACCTAGCCTATTGATTAAGGACCATACCTTCATTATGATTCAGATGTAAATAATTTAAGTTCTTATGCCAAAACAAATTTTTATATCATATTAGTTAAATGCAAACGATTTGGAATACTAAAGGAAAATCTAATATAAAATAAACGTTTTATTAATTATGAACTCCAAGGACGGTCACAGAATTTGCGTCCGCACCCACGCTGAGTTCCGTTTGCTTACGAAACGTTTCTAGGGATTTCCGCACTTTTACCGTAGCTGGGTGACTGGAAAATCACTAGTCGCACCCAAATGGCCATGTACGACATTCCTGATATCATTAATGCGAAATTTAAGCTAAGTTTAATTTTAATTTAATGTCTTTTATTCTTTTATCCATATGGTGATGGAGTAAGAAAACATAGTAACGTTTTCATCTTCAAGATTATTTAAAAGAGCTTTTGCATAAGCTTACCTAAATAAAAAGTTGATTTTAACTTTTTAGGCTTGATATCATAAAAAAAGTAATGCACAATACGTTAGTGTAAGATAAAGAAAATTAAATAAAACGCTATAGAAAATAAATGCTCTTCTTATGTACAAAGTTCCGTAATACCATTATGGTATTTGTAAATCTTTGTTTTAAAACTCACTTACATACTCATTATACATTTGTATACAATGTCCTAAGGGACATACCTGTCTCATTCTAGGAACTACGATTATAAATATGTTTAATTCATAAATAGGCCAAGCTGAGAATTGAATCCAGTATTACATTTATGCAAAGCGTCGTGACCACTACAATGCTATGGTAGTCGTCAAATCATTACGATTGAACCATTAATAATCTATATAAATAAAACAAGTTAGTTACGTCATTTATAACTCCAAAACGGCTGGACAGATTTTGAGGATCTATGATTTGTTGAATTTGTCTCCGCCTCTTTCAGCAGAATAACAATTAAAATATCGGAAGGATTCGTGTAAAAGAAAAAGAAAAAGAAAATACTTTAAATTATTAGGCGGTACGGAGTGCGCCGGGTCAGCTAGTATAGATATAGCAGAGTGGCTTACCAAGCGAATGATGACAGTTGGAATCAAAGTAAATAAATATTATACATTGGATTTTATCGGACTAACTTTAAGGGATTTTTAACCATGACCAGACATATATGCTTATTATTTCATAGTTTACCAAACACAATAACTTAACACACACGTTTATTCAGTTTTTTTCACGAGTGACATGAAGGATAATAACAGGTGGTAGCTCCATTAACCACTCTTAGACTTTATACTGATACTATCTATTCTTAATATTTAACGTATAATTGTAGTTTTCAATGACATATATTATTAGTAAGAAAGTAAGGATAAGGACAACTTACGTCTAAACAGTATGATTCCTTCCTGTGCATTGTAGCCTGTGAGTAAAGGAACATCTGCTCCTGGGAGAAGCTCCTTCGGATATGTAGTAAGGAAAGCCTCAGGCACGTCGGGCTCTACCACAGGCAGGAAAGGCAGCGCTACTGTACTTTGCAAGTCAGCGTTCTTTCCTATTGCACCGGTAAGCCGTGCTCCAGCTTTTATTATAAGCTCACTTGGAGTTGCTCTGAGATAGCCTACAATAGAAACAAAACAAGTAGATTGTTATAATTAGTTTTGTAGAGTCATTAGTTAATAGGTACATTCACGTTTGGTAAGAAATACTTATGGCATAGCATTTTTATATTGATTGTGGAAAATAAAAAAAATATCTCGAAAACAAAAAAATATCACAGGCAATATATATATTATATATTAATTTTAAAGATTAAAGAACAAGTATCTAACATATATATATATATATTAAATTATTATTATAATTTTAAAGAAAATAAAAAAAATATCTCGAAAACAAAAAAATCTGCATCACAGGCTATATATATATATATATATATATATATATATATATATATATATATATATATATATATATATATATATATATATATATATATATATTTCAGAACGCTCCATTAAAAAAACACCTCCTTAGTTTCTGTTGATAACTTAGATTTTATACCATAATAAATATTGGTATATATATGTACTTGTATGTAACATAATATAAAAAAGTTTTCTGGACTACTCAGTTCATACTTTAGATAGATAGATACTTTTTATTGTTTCCTCCAAAAGATTATTATAAATACAAACAATAAAACTTTAATAAAACCGTTAATATATATTGTATATACATACATTAACGGTTTTTTATATATAAGTATATTTTTAAATATTATTTTTTGTTTATGTGTGAGTTAATTTTGAATTTTAATAATTATTAATGTTCCTTACTGCAACTTGTAGAAATCACTTTCATACTTACCAAGCAATTCGGCTGTGTTATTTGTATCGATGCCTAACTCTCGGCCGAGTTCGAATGCCCGCGCTTGAGGGTTCTGCGCCAGTGCCCAAGGAGACAACGCCAAACCGCTTTGAGCAATAGCACCGTGGAAAAGACCCTATATACATATACATACAAATATTATGATGCAAATGTTTTAATTTGGAATATTACACAGACTAATCATTAATTGATACGAAGTAGAATTATATTACAACTGTACTAAAAAGAAATATCTAATGCTCACAGTTAATTAATTTAGATAATAGCAGTAGTTATTCGCAACATTGCCGGCGCAGAATCTTTTTTTTCGTTTTCATGGGAATTCTTAAAAATCCTTTTATGGGGAATCTCTAATTCTCCTAAGGCCTTAGGGTATTTTACTTGCTTGACTTTCTTAATGTAAGCACATTAAGAAAGGCCTCTATGTTCATCGCAACTTGGTGATTCGAATCATATTATTCGATCCATTTTTATATAACATATATCTACATTCGTTTATAATTTTCGTCAAAAATAAATAGGTATATAACACAGGTATATACCATAGTTGATGATCGGAACATAATGAGCCTCGATTACAGGTAAATAGTACCCAAACAACGCGAAGTTTTAGAAATAACTAAATACATAGAACTTGTCTTGTCGAACAAAACAACGTCATGTCTTGCTGTACAAATTATCTCAATTACATTTCTCAAATGTTACATAAACCTTTTTATGAAACATTCGTAACTAGATGTGTACATTACCTGCGACGAATTAGAGAGCATATGTAGATGTACAGAAGCCGCTCCAGCTGACTCGCCAAAGATGGTCACTCGATTTGGGTCGCCTCCGAAGCTTTCAATGTTATCTCGCACCCACTTCAGCGCCATCACTTGATCCTGTACAACGAGCGAGTCTTTATTTACAATTTCATAAGTACACTTTATATTTTAATGTAATAACGACTGGATTAACTTATATATATATATATATAATGTTTGTGAGTTAGATTCCTTTTTCTGGGGTTGTCAAAATAAATTAAATATCAAAGTAAATATATTATTTAGTTATTTAGACCATTATCAGTCATATCCTTAAAATATAAAATTTATTTATAAACAATATTTTGAAATACTATATCTCTAATTAATAGCATCTCTGGAAAAAGAGAAGAGAGAAATATAAATTAATAAACTTATTGTTAATACCTTAAGTCCCATATTTCCGGACACTTCCTCGGTTTCAAGACTTAAGAATCCTAATGCCCCCAGCCTGTAGTTGAGAGTGACGAGCACGACTCCGGCGCCCACAAGGTGATCCGGCCCGTAGAGAAATGCATTACCGGAGCCAACAGCAAAAGCGCCACCGTGTATCCATACCATTACTGCCAACTTCGGATTGTATCTAAAAATATTGGGCAAGAAAATAACATATATTGCATACACATACGGCTAAGTACGATGAACGATAAGGTACTACTCATGTCTATAGACGACGGTTACCACTTTCCATCAGGTGGGCCGTCAGCTTGTTTGCCATTCTAAGTTGTATTAAAAAAAAAACGGGCGGGTATTAATATTACCATACCATATTGACCGTCAATTGTTCACTGCTGGACATAGGCCTTCCTCTATAAGGGGGTTTTGCTAATAGTTACCGTGCTTGACAGGCGGGTTGGCAACCACATTTAGGCCTTGGAGATATTTTAAGAGGGACGCTGCAGCCTTCGACCATTAAACTTCCTTAGTCGCTTCTTAAGACACCCACGGAAAAGGAAAGGGTGACCTATTCTATGCCGGGCCCACACGGCGAGTGAAATAATAGGTAGATTCACCTAAACCTATCCAGACAAAGCGAACGGGCCCGTGCGTATTGCAAACGGATGTAGGCTAGTATTTTGTGATAATAATTGTGAGGCTTCATAATTTACTTGAAAAGTGTATTCCAGTTTAAATAGTTAAAATGTATGACAGTAAATTTACGTACTGTATACTGTGACTTAGAGCTTAGGGTCACAACAATTTTCAATACGCACAAGTAATATCAATTTGGACTGCATTGGTCATTTACTATAGGAAGGAGTACACGTTTTGTACCCTTATTTTTATATATGTATGTATATAGATTTTATACTCTCGCTGTATTATATATATAAATAAAAGAGAGACAAAATTCAATATTATTATTGTATCTATACTCGTATATACAAAAAACACTACTATTACATAAATAATTGTCTCACCCTGTGAGTTTGTCAGGTAGTGCTGGTGTGTACACATTGAGAAATAGACAATCTTCGTCGCCTTTGTAAGTGTCGAAGAGCATGAATCTGTGAGGGCAGACGGCGCCCTCCTCTAACGCGTCCCGAACACCCGACCACGGTTCCAGAGGAACTGGCGGTCGGAATCGGAGGGGACCGCGTGGTGGTTGCGCATATCTGGTAATAAAAAAAATCATCACAACATCTTTAAAATAAGAACTGGCGTCACTGTCGCTTGTTATATCATCAATACATATCTAATTTCACTTTACTCACATTGTCTATTTACCTTAGTTCTTACATAGACAACAAAATCTCTATTTGTTGTTTATGTAAGAACTAAAATTTATTTAACATTGGTAATGAATTTTTGTTTTGACAGATGTCGGACATTATCTATTTTAAATTGAGAATAAATAGTGGCTATTTTTGTATCAATTAAGTACTTTTGTCAAGTAGTTCAATGAATGTTCCTTACCTGATTCCTTTAAAACTATAGTAAGAGGTCTGTGACGTAGTCCTGGCGACTAGTTTCCTTCCTCTCAGTGTTCCAAGCTGGGTGGAGACAATCGGCCCTCCACCTACGCGCATTCGGTCTACTAGTGCATGCACGAGGCGGGCAGCGCGAGCGGGTACAGCTTGCAGCCGTCTTAACGCATGCTTCAATCCAACCGATTCACTTACAGTGCTAGATAGTCTACGCCATGCTCCTGTAACCTACCAAATAAAAGAGACAATGAATTAATATTTTTAAAACAAGGTTTTGTTAGATGAACTATAATTATATATTTATTATGGCGTTATGTTATAGCGAATCGTCATCAGTGAAGGATAAAATTATAATAATGCCAGGTCAGTTGGTCCATTGTGCCGAATTCATTAAAAATTGATCGCTTATGGTTTCTAGGATAGATTGCGTTTACGTTAACCTCGAGGTATATTCCTAGCAATGGGAATTAGGGACTACTCACATTTATTCAGCTCTATTCAACTTTTGTCCATAGAAAACAACGATTTTGTATGGAGACGTGTACGCGTCTATTCAACTTTCCACGTCTATTCTGCTTTCGCGACAATTCAGTATAAAATGAGGATAAATGTGTATTTATCATGCGAATGCTATAGGGAGCGTTCAGCGCTGTTCCGCCGCATTCACCATCGAACGCGGCGAAACAGCTCTTTACTTTTATGTTTCGCGATTCTTTTTTTGACTAGTTGCGACCTGTATTGTTTCTGCATTGATTTGATTTATTATTGCGTATTCATTATGTACGCAAGGATTAAAGAGTGCAGACGTATTTTATAGTAATTATAATTATTTTATTTTCACGAAATGCAGCATATTCAACGCTGTACGCAGTAGACAAGCGTTTCAGCGGAGATAGCACGCTATGAAGGCTTTTCTCATTCTTACGACGCCGTACGAGTCTGATAGAAGCAGAGTTGTATAAGTGTGACCAAAATCGTTCAGCGAAATGCGAATGGAGCTGAATAAGTGTGAGTAGTCCACCACATTATTAACAATTCCTTCTCTCTTTTTGAAATACATGATAGTGGAAAGTACTATAAAATTTTATGTCGCAAGAGTTGCCAAATTGTAAGTTACAGTGAGACGAATCGTAGGTATATTTGATTGCTATCGCCCATTTTAGAAATCTGTCCAGTTCATTAACATAACATTAGGCCTTTGAAAATAGCTATATCTGCTATTGCATCCGGCTGACCGGGCCATATTGATTTACTTGGATCAAAAAATATCCTATGTACTTCTCCATTCCAATTACTACGTGTATCACAAATTTTATGAATGGATGAATATTTATTTACAAGAAACATGGTAAGTACGTGCACAGATGTTAACAATAGGAATAAGTCCACATATTTCGTCATAATTGATCATATAAAATTTAAAATATCAATTAAAAACCTAAAAAGTATAAATGTTAATTTAATTGAGAATTAAAACAATTAGTAATGATAACAATTCTTATAAAAAATATACAAATATAATTTAATATTAAGACAGGTTCAGAGTGGTTCGATTTATACAAGTCAATGATATGATATAATGATAATCGATTGAGCCCAGGCTGAAATTAACTATCTCGGGGCCCGTAGGTAATACACGCTTTGCTATACCTATAAAAAAATTGTGTAATATTATTCTACATATAATGACTTGACACTCGTTACGAAATGTACTGAAATATGACGATATAATATATAAAAAAATACAATAGTTTAATGAAACTAGGATTTGTTAGATACGAATTTTCACATGTAATTTAATTTAAAAAATTTTCTCAAAAAAAAAATTATCGGGGCGCGGAGCCTGTTGTTAATAGCAGGCCTAATAACTACCTAATAGATAATCTGGCTATGAAATCTTTAAGGTACCGAGAGGTAATAAACAAATTAAAAAAAAACTAATAATCTCACTTTTACATTTATAATATGAGTAAGAGGATTTTTAATTATGTAAATGATCTTCCCTAATAACAAATCAATAACACTAACCAAACATAAATAAATAACTGAATAAGTGAATAATAATAATAACCACTTTCTAAGTTGAAAACAACAACTTTTTATTTTTAAATGTTAGGTATAAAAATTTGCATAGATTTTGTTAATTCGTATTGTTCTTCTTAACATTTGACCACATACAATATAAAAAGAAAATTGTAATATTGAAAACTAGGAAAATGACAATGAATATGATGACATTTTTATACCTCAGCACGGGAAATCTCTCTCTAGATAATGCAGATAAGAGACATAAAATTCTTCTGTTGTCTGTCTGTCGTAAAAAGTTCCTTATTTAAATTTAATATTCTCAAAAGTCATAGTCTATTTATAAGTTGAGTTTTACTAGTCTTACTTTTGTAAAAAAAACGTATAGAACAAGAATTAATAAATTAAGAAAATATAAGTATTTCTAGTGGTCGACCCCCCATTAGATAGCCGGATGACTTCAAACGTATTGCAGAAAGTCAGTGCAGGTGGCTCAAGTTCATTCCTAATGGTAGTCTATTGGGGAGGTCTGTAGATAGATAAATACTTTTTATTGTTTCCTCTAAAAGATTACAATAGTAAACTTATTATAAATACATATAAATAATTACAAGAAATAATCACAATGAGAAAACAATGGGTGACCTTATTTCTAAAAGCGATCTCTTCCAGGCAACCTTTGGTTGGAGAGGAGTAAGTAGGTCTATGTTCAGCAGTGAACAGATAATGGTTGAGATAATGATGGTGATGAATATCTTCACCCTAAGCTCGTATATCATAACAGGTAATAAATTATGATGAACCTCTTCTCTAGATGTAGTGAAAAAGAATACTTTTCTTATTGGATCAAAAATAAAGGTTAAAGTACATACCTACTATGAATTAAGTAATTGGTGCCACACTATAACAATTATATTGTTGCATGCAGTTAAATATAGGTATTAAAACAATTATAGTTGTGAGAAGTAGTAACACTCAATATAATAAAGAGTAGGGCTACACGCGATTACCAGATGACATACAAGTAATTGTTTTATGTCCCAGTTTAAGTAATAGTATAGGTTAACTTGACATTACTTTAAAATCCTGTAAAACTTAGAACAGAAAACTGTAAAGTAACTAAGTAGCTGGTGTAATTTATTTATGATCAGTGCCTATTATTTATAGAAACATAAAAAGTTCAATAATGGTTTATATTTACTTTTTGTACACATATTGCGTAAATAAGAATGTCGAACCAATTTAAAAGTCAGAAATATCGCGTAACGTGTTCACAAAAAATACAAGTGAAATAAGAATCTTTTCCTTTTTTAATCTTGAACTTCACATATTAAAACAGTGATTTAACTAATATTAATAACAATCAAACTTCATTGGAAAGATTCAATTAATTAAACCTAAATCATCTTAAATTACTCGCAACGGACCAATTGTATAATACATACTTACTTATATACATGTGTCCATATCGTCATAGTCGTAGAATACTGACGGATATGTATATTTAATGTTTGTCAGATCCGTCAGTATTCTACGACTAAGACGATATATGTGTTGGTCCTTTTTTAGTATTACATTACATCTAGTGATACCTAAAACCTGCTCGAATTTCATGATAATACCAATTCTAAGGTTGCGCAAGAAATTCTAGTTTAGTTATCTAATATCAAATATCAACCACAATTCGGAAGCAACGTACCTACTGCGACTGCGGTAGTCGCTAACCACCAGATTGTGGCAACGCTCCAAATATTTTATAAACCATGTAAGTTTCGCGTTTAGCTGAATAACTGAGATTGGAAATATTAATATTAAAAATTAGCTATTTCATTGGAAATAGTAAATTTTTTAATTAATAGGATTTGGTCTTGGTTCAAAATTTTGAATCGATTTTTTCATACATGATACATTTATTACAAACCAAAAGTTAAGCACAATCTCACGGTACAGCTTTCATAAATCGATCGTGTAACGAATGATTCAGATAAAACATATATTCAGCGTTTTTTTTTTTAATTTCTTTAAATCTGTTTAATCTTTTTATGGTAACGACGTAACAAATAAACATAATATACAACATATTAATTATTCGTACTAACAATTTTAAAAACGGCTGGTCAGTATTGTATTATTTATTACTAGCTTCTATAACAAATTTTAGAGAAAAAATATTCAACGTATAGACTTTTGAAATTTACGATTTTGTAATAGAATTTATAAATAATGTTAGGATTATTTAAATTTATTTGAATAGGTATCACATGTGATATTAAAATAAATATGTATCTTATTGTGATTGAAATTGAAAAGTTTGATGTTTTGCAAAGTTTGTCAGATGAATGACGCTGACCCCATTAAAAATGTAGATAATAATCAATCAGCCTTCCTTCAGCGCTAAAGGTCATCTGAATTATTGGTCAATATATCTCGAAAAACTTGCGACATAAAGCGCTATTGACTGCAACGACGACAAAGGATGTTCACTTGTATTTCTTAAGTTTCAAAATCAATGGATATAATAACATGTAGTCGTGCATAAGTGTTAAAATTACGAAACATACGTCTTTGTGAGAAAATACTTTAGCGTGTATTTTTTTTTAAGTTAATTTAGCCAAATGAACTTACTAAATTACTCTAAAAATTTATATACTGAATGTCCCTCTATCTATTTGGGGGTCGACCATTAGAAATATTTATATTTTCTATATATAGAGCATTACGTTGTTTGTGGCGATGGAGAAGAAATGTTCGAATAACAACCTCTTCTCTACAAACTTATCCTCTTATTCATAAAGATAAATATCTCCTACAAACCTACAAGTATTTTAACTATTAGTGTTTTATTATTGTCTTACAAAGCGATTTTAGCGTAAAACAAAAAGTAAAAAAATTCTATAGTTAAAATAGTTTTATCGGACAATTAGAGTTTATATGAATAAGGGGGTTAGTGTAGAGATATAGGATATAGTGATTATATACATACTCGATGTGTTCGTTGCATGTAAATGACGTAAACAGTAAGACAATATATAGGAGCAACTAATGTTTACATATACATGTGATAAATGACGGCAGCGTATGAGCTGCGGGTTAAAAGCCTACCAAATTTTTTAATTACTAAATAAATATTGGAATACAATTTTCATATTTTAATAATATATATTTGTAATTAGCAAACTGCTGTCAAAATACAAATAATAGTTATTGAAATAAAAGGTATATTCAATAAAGAATATATCTGATAATGTAATATTTCTTCAAGACATGATAAATAGTTACAGTAGATAAGACAAGATATACAGTATTGAAATTAACTAGTTATGACAACAATTTCAAAAATAAATATGTAGTTTCTTTGTTAGGTGATATTTTTGTAAAATAAAATAATATTTACATCGTAACATTTATTAATGTTCCATAAAAAATTCTGACAAAACTTAACATACCCTAAAAGGAACCATCGTAAGACATCGAAAATAATAAACATTTCGTAATGGTTTTCTTTATGGGTCAGGTGCTGTTATCGGCTTTCGTATAATAAATCGATTATATTATCCATCCATAATATGTGAGACACGTATCATATTGCGAAAATATAAGTAATAAACAGTTGGCATGACCCTTAATGATAATGTTTAATGCAGTCCTCACAGCCATCGGAAGTCATTTCTGGAAAACTATTTACATACAAATGGACAGAACTATGGATTGTTGGCAATAATCAATTCGTTTCGCGACTATTTCAGTTTATTCAGCAATAGGTACACAAATATAATTGCGATACCATTTGACAAGAGCATTTGAAAAGTTCAGAAAAATAGAACAAATTGTTTCGTAAAATTTACAAACGCTGCGAGTACTTACGTTGGCGACCGCTAATAAATTAATTGATTGTAATGGTCTCATAACAATAATTTGTGCAAAATTTTGTATATCTATTTTATATTTATTTACTATTATTTATCTCGACATGATTGGAAATAATGAATTATTTATGATTAGATACTTGATAATTTACTACATAATTGTGAGTTGAATTACCTAGAAAAATTATTTTTACTTAGAAATTTTTAGAATTAAGTTTTACTCTTAGATTAATGTAAGTACTAACTTGTACTAGGTCTATGGTTTTACTAATATTATATTAAGTTTTAGTAGTATTCAATTGAATTATGCATAAGTGATAGTGTCGATGTACTTTTAAGATGAGTAGATAGGTATATTAGTAGTATTCATAATATTGAAAAAGATTTAGTACAAAAAATATTTAGTACAGTATTTATTATTTATTTTAACTAATAACTATTTAACTAACAAATTTATTTAATAACTACTTTTTAAAAATTGTTTGACTAAGATTTTCATAATAAATTTATTTGCATTAATTAAAAAAGTATTAAGAGTGTTTAAAAACAATTTAACATTGTTCAATATTTCTGATTGATTATTTAAAAAAAAGCTCTTTAGGTGACCTAAAACTTTAATTGTAGAATCGAAATTTTCAATAACAGCTTAATAAAAGTATTATTGCATGATTAAAATTTTAGTTCGTAGGCAGAACAATTTTTAAAAATTCCTCAATTGTTTTTAATAATTGCAAAATCGCCACACTTTATTATAAACGCTTTTAATAGCAAATTGTTAGTTACGTCTAGTAAATGTTAGCTTAAGTAGTAGAAGCCACAGAGTAAGTAATCACTGCGTTACAGTAGTAGCACTGAACTCGGCACGACGTAGAGGGTGTGGTTTCAAATACCGCAGCACCTTCCGCTTTGAAGTATTTTTACAACAACAATAATAGAATAAATTATATTAATTTAGTCATATCCTAAAAAGTATGACTTGCTTATTACTCATCAGAATTACAAAGTGTACTTACAACATAGTGTATTGGAAGTCATTAAGTGAATTTGTAGTTACGTTTATGTTACATACAATTACATATATAAAAAAATAATCAAACTGAATTTAGTTATACAAGCTGTGTTACATAATTTTGTAACGACACGAAAAACTTGGGTACATAAGTAGACAGTTATAGGTATAATTACGTTCTTTATGAAATTTACTTTAAATCATATCGAACGAATTAGGTTGAACAAGTTTAATTGAAATTTGGTACACAGATAGATCATGGATAGAAAAATGGAAACTTTTCAATATTTTCTACCCAGCAACAAATTAAGTGGTAACCCATAAAGGCATGAAAATACCATCGTATTTGGAGCGTGTATGGTGTTCTATATGTATTACAATTCCTGATATTTAATGTACTATTTATGATTTTTTTTGCAAAACGAAACATGCATTACTTTAATACCTACCTTATCTATACTAATATAATAAAGTGAAAGAATTTGTTTGTTTGTAACATTCTAATCTCTAAAACTGCCTGGATGGACTGGATTAAAAAATTTGTTTTGCATTTCACAACTCATTTCTTGCCCAAAGTACCTACTTATTTCTTGACTACAAGCTATTTTACATTACGATACGACCACGAATGAAGCCGGAGGATATAGCTATATTTATTATAAATTTACTTTGATGTATGGAAGTTCTAATTTCCCATATCCATTGAAGTTAACTCAAATCTTCAAATTACGTTATTAGTCATTTCTTATATAATTATGTACTATAAAGATTTTACAATACAATACAATATTTCCTTTTACAAGGAGGGATCTGTGTTCAGCAATGGGAAGCTAGTCGGTTGCTAAGTGCCAATTGGTCCATTCGTCACAGTCAAACGCAGACTGCAATACCCATTCGCATATCAGTGCTGTGTGTCAAGTGAACGTGCCTTCCTAAAAATTCGTCTCATACAGAACTTTTTGTTCTCTTAACGTTTGTTTACGTAATAAATGTACAGTTTAATGTACATATGAATGCAGCACACTTGTTATTGCATAATTCTCGCCCGGTATTTCTGTTTAGGATACATTCCCTGGATAATAGCGCAAGTTAATGTGATGTAATTTAACGTGCACAATTGCACAGTAACATTATTTAATTTCCCTACAATGTTGTTTGTTGCTGTTGTAAAACTTTGATGCTACGTACCTATAAGCAAATAAGTATGTTGACACTGCAATAACAAATTGATTGTTTAAGGAACTAAGAGATACTTATATTAGCTTTATGTACATTGCGTACAAAATTAATTATTTAATATACCTAGAAGGTATATTAAATAATCAATGTGTATTTATTATCATTACGGAATTAAAAAAGAAGGAAGTTCTCTATTTAGTTGTTTTATGTATGTTTGTTTCCTCATAACTCAATCAGTTCTAAATCTATTTGGAAATATCTTTTTTATCTGAAAGAATATACTGATAGATTGGTCCCATAGATATTGTAACTAAATCGATCCAATAATTTAGTTTTTCACAATTAAAGTTGGTTTTTGTGGGATACAATTTTTATTATGTGTATACTCGTATGTTAGAAGATTGTATCATGACTTATATTGGCAACGATATGTATCGGTTGTGTTTTATAACATGGGATGCTGGCTTGTAAGAAACCCCGTGAGTGCCCATGCTCTTTTGAAAACTATTATCATCATTATTTCATTTTATTTAATGCTTGCTGGACAAACAAATGCAACCTAAACAATAGACAATGAGATGAGGATTATTTTATGGGTACTCCGCATCTCTAATGGGTGCCCCCGACCATCCACAAAGTCAGCACCTCTGCATGAGGGTTACTATGGGCACAGATAATATAATACTATGCCATGGGTATTACAGCGTGAAGTATGATGATCCTATTTATTCTTATAGACGGCGACAATAATATTCCATCTTATACATTATTAATTTTCCACGTGGCATAAAAATACTTGGGCATAGAAGAATGTCTACATTATCTTACCTCAAAATTTTTAAAAATAAATATAATATAGTTTTTATCGGTTAACACTTATAGTTATTAACAATTGAGGATAAGTATACTCACTTTCATAGAATTTAGACTGGTAGCGGCGTTGGCGACGACGTCACCAAGGGTAGCCGGCGGCAACGCGTCACTTCGAAGAACCAGTGCGCATGCACACAATAACACAGCGCGCCACCATCGCACGCGCATCTTTATATATTATTGGACACTTTTTATATAATTTTCTTTTATCACTTCAGTCCACTCACACTATTTACAAAACATGTTATGCTAATCAACAGTAATCAATTTTATTCCATCACTAAACTTTTTAATACATTTTAATTATTAATAGTTGTTTCTTACAGTAAATTCAGAATAATGTTTAAATGTTATTATGTTCTACCGGAATTACAATTTATCATGCCGACGTTGGTGACATGACGGTTGACTGGTTGATTATGTAACGAATCTTATAATCGATCCACGGCAGCAGCGTTTCCAGCGTCAAACCTACCACTTTCATATTGATAAAGAAATTTTGTGTATTTTCTTTAAATGTTACAATTTTGGGCTAGTGTTTTTGCAACGTATTCGAGATAACTATGAATCTCTGAGGCCGCGACAAGCTTTACTCGAACTGATACACATAGTGATTGTAAGGCCACACATCTGTCACTATCAAGCCTATGTATTTATACGCTGTATATTTGGCTAAAACTACTTTCCGAATTTGGCGGTAGATTGTATGTAGAGTTTTTTTTTTTATATATTAGCAGTTGTTATGTACACTGCATTGGGCACATTGAAGGGCAAAAATCTCATTCGCAATATTAAAAAAAACTTCAGATTCCGAGCCGCGGCCTGGCGTTGCCTGACATGACCGGCGCCGGCGCCGGTTCGCGTCGCTGCTCGCGGTCTTGATATTATTCAACATGCACTTTCACCGACACGACTCAGACCACTTGCTCACTGTGTACAGTAACAGTTACTACATATACGATATTGCACTATTTGAGTATAAAGAGTACATAGTTTTAGAACAGTTAAATTTCTACGTATGTCAATAACAAAACTAATTACCGTGAACCGTAAAATATTCGAACAATTAAAAAGTTATTCTTGACCAATAACAAGCTCTATGTTTAGTTCGTGCAAGAAAAGAAAACGATTTGAAACAAAAAACCGTTTTGAAATTCTTTGTAATCTTTTTCATTATTATTATTAAATACTACATTATAGTACTATATTATTATTTTGTATTATTAAATATGGTATCTAATTTTTAAGAAAAATAGATGTTTAACTTTGACTGTTTTTGTAACAGTGTGATTTTCGTCCTAGATTTGATGTCCGGATTGAGCAAGATATGTAAATAAAGTTTTCAAACATTCCCCATAAATATTGCAAATGCAATAATTGACTAATCCGCATGTTATTATATTATATCAATGTATGGACGCAAGACTAGGATATATCGATTGATTGAATAAAAATATGCCTATATAATGTTCGCCATACTAAATGGTACGTGTACGAGTATGTCCAATTTTATAACGTGCAATTGGTCGAGCCATTGAAGTGTCAAGAGGTAAAAAATAAACAAACAAAGATACTCACTGTGACATTTATAATATTTAGTAAGAATTGGCGACCTATTGGTCAACGCCAGTAACTCACATATACAATAAATTTTTATTGTTATATTCGTTTATATTCGACATAAAATCCACAATTTTGAATTTTATACCTTATAATTATATTTATTGCCCATCCGGTTCCCAATTATATATATCTATAAGTTGCTTTTTGAGATGGTAAACCAACATGTCGAATGAAGTTCTGAGTATAAATAGTTTTTCTACAGTTTTGAAAAAAAATCGTTTTATACTATAACAATTTTTAACGTATAAAGCATAAAAAACAGATAAAAAACAAATGTTCTCACATTTATATCATTCAATGAAGATATAATATTCTAATTCTATTAAATTTATATGTAAGCGGATATTATATAAATAAGGATATTTAAAAAAAGCATAAACTAATGAATTAATCTGTATATAAAAAACAAAAGTGCAGTAACGAAAAAACCTCCAAATTCATTTACGTCAACCTCAAATTACCGAAACCGGTTTCCCAATTGTTTGTAAACATACCTACGTATATTTCCTACCTATATTTTTGTAATCGAATATATTTATGCATCGTTTGTATGAAATTCGCAGTGAACGTCCACCTGCACTATTACAATTGACTTTTCTAGAATCTCATATATTTTATATTTAAATAATTAGCATACACGTATTATGAAATGGAAGTTGGCCTCAAGAGCAGGCGGCCTTGTCGCCCGTTTGTTAAATAGATTTGACTTATGATAATTCCCAGGTTGTGCTCGCAATTTCGGCAGCGTGACAAGGACGTATTGATTGATCCGAATAAAAAGTAGCCTATCTTGTTCTTTGTGCAAAACATTACGGCAATTAACTTAAGCGAAATTCTATTACAATTGGTATAGTCAAGGCTAAGTGCTTAGTACAAACCTGTGGGGAAAGTTTGGTCAGAACGGTCCTGTAATGCATCTTATTGCCAACATCCATTAATCAAAAATTTCTTTAAACTTTGACATATTTTTGATACGTAGATGTTTATAGCTTCCCAAATTCTACTCAACTGAATACATTTCTGTTCAGCTGATTATTATTTAATAAGAAAGTCATTTTTAATAATAATAATAATAACGTTTTAATCGCAGAGTTCGTCATTCCACCACAGAAAAATAAAAAATGGAGACAGTAGTATTTATATAGTAAGATTTATTAAAAAATAAACTTCTATATAAACTTACTAAGAACCTATGAATGATGTATGAATATTTCATATGATTGTTTGTCTGTGGAATAATTATATAAAAAAAATGAAATAATTCAGCAAATGGCATAAATCATACGAATAAAAGACATCAACGAATACGTTGCAAAAGTGCCTATACTAAGAAAACCTTTGTTACACAGAAATAATGAATCATTAAAAATGAGCACGGTTGCGCAGCGCAATCAAACTAGTTAAAACAATTTAAATGTATTTATTATTTCAACTTGTAATTCAAAGGAAACTGTGGGCTTTTAAATTAAAATTTAAAAAATCTTTGTTTCACCTTTTTTTTCTTCACGTATCATAAATTAAAAAAATATTTTAACAAGTAGATATTTATTATTATATTATATATCATTACAATAGCTTATAATAAAAATTACTTTAAAAACCAATGATATAACTGTTAGTATTAATTGTTCTAACAAAAGACATCAACGAACGCGTTTTAAATGTAAAATTAGAAACACTGTGCAAACGTTATTAGTATTAAAAAAAAACGTTGGTTGTCACAGTGATCTATCGCCAGTGAAGAAAAATCTATAATCATAATGAATCATCTTTAATAAAGATCTATACCTAAGGTAAATTATACATGGATATATAATTAAATTATAATTGTTGTGTACGAAAAGATAATATTTATTCTACGATTCATAACTTCTAGATAATTTGTTTATGAAGACAAGATTTCACAATTAGTGAAAACTTCCAGCAGCAGTATTTCCGAACCGATACGACAACATAACCTTCAAGAAAAGAGTATATTCCTTTTTAAAAGGCCGGCAGCACACCTGCAATGCCGCTGGTGTTGTGGGTGATCATGGGCGGCGGTAGTCACTTACCATCAGGTGAGCCGCATGCTCGTTTGCCCCCTGTGTTGTAAAAAAAAAAAAAAAAAAAACTAATTGTGAAATCCTGTATAATTTATGTGTGCAGGCTTATATTCTAATTATGAAGTGCAAACACTTTTACTTCTTCGACAAGTGGTATCCTACTAGGCACTATTACAAATGCGAAAGTTTGAGGATGTATGATCACTTATATATATGTACTTCTATCAAATACCAACAAACTCCAGCGAGAATAGAATTTTTACAATACAATAGGCATATTAATCGTATTATTATGAACTGATTATAGGAAACATTACGAAATGAACAAAACCATAGAGTATTCATATCACAATTAAAACAACTATTAGCTAAAAAATGTTATTACGATATAGATGAATATTTAAATGATAAAAATTTGGAATAAAACAAATATATAAATATTACTGGTTTAGTTAATAATACTAAGATTGATAATGATACTATTAAAATGATATAAAAGTATGAACAACTACATTAAATGGCATTAAATTAAAATAAAACATATGGAAACAAAAAAAATCGTTAAAATTATTAAATTAATTTGGATTTTAATTAGAATTTAATTACATTGATGAAATTGAAATTGAATTTAATTATTGAAATCTTTATGAAAATTTAAGGATCGACACCCTCTTCGTTTCTAATTGCTGTGCCCGACAGGGTCTACAATGTACTATATCAATTACTAACATCTTTTATAATAATATTGTAGAATGCAATAAATAAATTGAATTGAATTGATTTGTCTTCATTTATTTTTATATTTTATACCTCGAACTTAAATTGCGTTTATTGGCAATTTGAGTCTGCCAAAGTCCACAATGCGAGACGAAATACTGTAACACAAAGCACTGTACGCCCCTGAAGAGGACTTCCGAATGAAATGGAAATAATTATTATAAACGACAAACATAGTAATTTCATATAATTCCCGTTTTATAAAGCAATAGCAGAAAAGAAAAAAAAATCTTTTTAATTGTTGGAAAAGAAAATTTATAAATTTAAATGTTTTTGTTTATAGGAATCTTCCTTCAAGTATATGTAATGCAAAAATACTTATTCGGTGATGTCAAAAAGATTTCAAATTATTGTATATACGAGTAGCAAGTTAGATCTAGAAAGATACTAAAAATAGACGTGGTTATTACAATTATATCACTTAGAAAGGTTTAAACATATGTACTTGTATTTACATATTAGTATTGAACAATAGTTCTGAAGTAATATACATCTTTCGTAATTCTAATTTTCAAAAATACTTTCTCATTGCATGCTTACGTAATACTTGTGTACGCACATGCTTCTAGAGTTAATCTACTAGTTTAAGCTACATGTTGTAGTAATTAATAGTTACAGTTATGACGAATTATATATATAAATTTGCAGACTGTTTAATGAAATGATCAATTTTTTCATTTTAATATAATAAATCGACAATGATGAGTTTAGTCGATATCTCAGATAATGATGATGATGTTCATAGGATTAATATATTGTGCGATTGATGAAATTTAAAAAATAAATAAATGTTTAATTAATACTATGTTTGATTAAAAACGTTTTAGCTGATTTATTATACATTTTATGTGATTGTGAAAATGTATGAATGTTATCCGATTATATTTCAAACTTAAATTTTTTTCGACTCTTGCCATCCGACAAACTATTTTGTGTTAGATGTCCAAAAACATTGTTTTTTTTTTTTTAATATATTTTCTTACATATTGTAGATCATTATGATCAACTATTGATTTGTAAATAAGTATATAGCAAAATGTCCGTTGTACCTATATACCAATAGTTTATGCAATTTCACATGAGTTACAAACCTACTAACATATAATATAATGCTACACAAGATTACACGATATAATCATACTCATTTAGACATAATAATTCTGTAGTGAGCACGGCTGACGTTTTCGTTACATTACTCTCGTTATTAATTTCGAATAGTAAATTCTACAGAAGTCTGTTTCTTTTATACCTATCGCGCCTTTACGACTCAGTCAATCGCCATTAAATATACGATATTCATACTTAAATAAAAAAATTAAGTTATTGTTCCACAAAATAAAATGGCGATTTCAGTAGGAGTAAAATATTAATCATAATTGACTTAGAATTGATAAAGATAACGTACACAAAAAGAGACGAACTAAGTATATTCTACTTCTTAAACCGAAACTGGCAGATATCAAAGTTTAGCATACTTAAAAACTTAACGAGTAGTAACACACTTAGTTTTCATATAAATTGAGCTATAAACATACCCTAACTCTATCTATTCCTTATGATGAAGGTTTCAGTTTAGTATATCTATATAATAATATACAGCTGGAGTGCACGAGCAAAATCGATTACGTAAATTTAATTAAATGTCTGGAACGAGTTACATAAACCAAAGGCGGCAGTTTCGTTACGTGAGTCGTCACTCCTGGAGGCAGTGATAGTGATCGCTACCGGGAATACAGCTCACTAATCATGGCGGCGTGCACTTCCGTGCTGCTGGCGATCATAAACTTATTATCACAGTACCTAACTATTTATTTAAAGATTGAAATGTAGGTGAAGCTTCTACTTTTGAGCAAATAATTATTTTATGTACCTGCCATGTGATAACAAAATTAGCATCCATTATCTGTGAATATAAATATGGAAAACACAGAATACAGTTTATTGTTCATTGTAATCACAAAACATTATTATTTCTGAAAACTAAAATATCATGCTTCGATACTTCGATATGCTTCGATAATTTTACTGGCATGACTAAAATATTCCCATACTTTAAATTGAAACACAGCTATGTAAGCACTGCTGCTTGATGACGAAAATGAATAGGGGATATCGTTGTTTCTATGGAATGGATTTTTGTACAAACACTTCTTCTGATTTAATTGTTGGAAAAGAAAATTTATAAATTTAAATGTTTTTGTTTATAGGAATCTTCCTTTAAGTATATGTAATGCAAAAATACCTATACGGTGATGTCAAATATTATAAAGTAACTAATATCGACACGACCCAACGTAACAACAAAAACGTGTTTTATTTTATATTTACTTCGTTTCATGCAAAAAACCAAGCTCACCCATCTGTACCAAGGTAACGATTTCTCCTAGTAAGTCTTATAAATTACTAAATAGACACATTGAGCAATTTCTTTTTTGCATTTTTAGAGTTCTGTAGAATTATTGCTGTATCAACGGTTTCTGCATCTCATGGGGCTCTTGCTTTCAAATAAAATTGTATACATTCGCCCTATGTATCTAAAATTTAGCAAAGTCTATTTAATAGACGTATACATACATTTTATACCTGGAAGGTATGGCATTTGTCTTAAATAACGACCAGATATTTCAAAAACAGACAACTTGGGCATCGAAAAAAGCTTTTAAAGGTCACTAAAAGAATAATTAAACTTTATATATTATAGGTACTCTTGTCCTTTGAAGAAAATCTTGTATCTAATTTCGACTTGGACATTTTCTTTGCGTAACATGGTCATGCATCAGTTTGTAAACTTGTTTAAATGGACGAATTCAGTGATCTAATATTTTTTTCTATTTTAGTAAAAATTTATGTGTCCAAGTTATTATAATATGGTACAATTGTGTTAAAAGATTTCACACCAATATAGGGGTAGGTAGTAGTACGTAGCCCTATACCTACTAGTGATCCTTATAGTATGGATCTATATATAAATCATTAATAATAATAATAAATAATTTTAATTCAAGTAAACATAATAGCACTGTTGAATCTTAATTTGTCAGTTCGGAATTCAATTTCAGTTGAGAAGAACAGGTAAATACAGGGAACGGTTGTTGCTTTTTTCAATAAAAATTTAGTTTACAATAAAATAAATATATATGAATAAAATGACTATTACAAACTTTGTATCGATAAGAAGATAAAAATAAAAACTATAAAGTCACTACTAGAACCCGTTCACGAGTATGACAGATGAGCCAGCCATCTTGTGTTCAACCATAATGTAGTGAGTCCAACGACCCAGCCCACTACGCCACTATGCATATGTTGAGCCTTCAGGTTACTGCGTAAACTTTACATAAGTGAACTTAATTTAGATTTCGTTAATAAATGTAAAAATTAAATTACATACATATTTTGAAAAACACGAGTGGTCTAATACCTGAACATAGTGCAAATTTTATTTAATTTGTGTTAAAACGGCACTGTATACGGTAAAATTATTCTGATGATTTCTCAAATACTGTGCTAGTTATAATCGTTGTTTTATTTACATAGAGGTGTCTTATATTATCAAAATTGCAGGTAATTACTTTATATTGTCATCATAAAATTTTGAGATAATAGGGATTTTTGAAAATATTTTCTATCATAAGTTTACTATGCTAGCTAGTGAGCTAGTTTATACGCAATACAACATAAAATAGAAATCAGTTTTAAAACATTAAATAAAATTCTTTCATATGATATTCCTTTTCTTTATTTAGTATTGCAAGTGTAGCATGACTTTTAATTTTGAGGTCCCTTTTTTCATATTCTTTGACGATCGCCGTGTAGGTCCTGGCATAGAATAGGCCACCTCCTTTCCTTCCCGTGGGTGTCGTAAAAGGTGATTAACTTAATAGTAGAGAGATGGGCAGCAGCGTCCCTCTTAAAACATCATTAAAATCCTAACTGCGGTTGCCAACCCGTCTGCCAAGCGTGACAACTACTGACAAAACTTCCCTTCTGGAGAAGGTTTATGTTCAGCAGTGGACAGTTAACCGCTGATATGATGATATGATGAAGTGTCCATCGCTGATAGTAAAACTATGCCAAATATTATATCGAATTGGCTGAAATATACGCTATAACTAATTTGAACGCTTCAATTTCTATCAAGAATATGGAAGTGCACGAAATTTTTTATGTACCAACTGGTATAAGTACGCTAGCTAAACTATTCTTATCTCCCATTACTAAACTTGTTTAGCATCGTTGATCAATAATTACGAAGCTGTGTAAAATCATAAAGAAACTTACACATAAGTAAATTAACCAGCCAACCAGTCACCAGTAGATATTAATGTAACTGAAATATATTTCGAATTCAGTAGTAGCATAATAAAAATTAGGACTAAGTATAATATTATGTATGTCCATAAAACCTGATTAGGTAATGTGGCATAAATTATTCCAAAATTAAAATTATAACCAAAAAGACTTAAACATAAACAGCCAGTTATAAAGTCTTATAAAAATTTGTATACATAATGATTTACAAAAGTATTCAGAGCAAAATATTTAATCACAGAATCAAGTTGCATTATTTTTAATAAACATTTTGTTGTTGCATACATTTATAAGTTGTTAATTTAACATAAAATTGAGATGTAAATGTTATAATTAACTTTTACCTGTTTTAAGGTATTATATAAAATAACTGAATATAATTAGCATGTAAAAATGTTAATGTTGAAGTAATTTTTACAATGTTCCGATATTTGAAACGCGAGTGTGTCTCGCGGTGATACGCGCGCGTTACTTTGTGACGTTCACTGCACTAGCGATAGCGGCCGCAGCGTGCTGCAGGCCTGTGACACAGCTTAACGGTTACCCAATACCCACCACTACAAAACCAGAATGTTATTCAATAATTCAATCGTCGTTTGAGGACCTACGAGTAGGTACGTTCCTTGATAATATATGTTGGATCCAGGACACATATCATGATACAAGTCGTTACATAATGCCTATTTTGTGGTTGTTTAAGTACGAGACACTCAAAATTATAAGAACTGAAACACAAATTCATATTTTAAAATCCTTAAACTTTATTTAAGTTTAAAATGTATATATAAAAGGTTATTAAGTGTCTTTATATCACACTTCAAATCATTTATCCAAAAATTTCATAAACATCTCTTTAGTCACTGAAATTATAGAATTTTATACTACCACGAAATCTAAGAAGGAAAAATATCTTAATTGAAAAGTATCACGAATATCAGACAGTCTTTTCTTACATTTAATAGATACACTGAAATTATACTTTTTTTGCGGACAATTTTGCCCATTTTGCCCAATCATGATGTCTACAGAATAATAAAATTAGCTTGTATATATATAAAATTGGAGTGTCAGTTTGTAATATTGAAATAACCGTTTTTTAATACATGTATATGAATATACACGGTACATACCCCAAAATAACATTTTTTAAAATTTTTATCAGTCTGTCTATTTGTTCCGACTAATTTCTGAAATAGCTGGACCGATTTTGATGGGACTTTTATTGGCAGGTAGCTTGTGTAATAAGAAGTAACTTAGGCTAAGTTTATTTTAGAAAAATAAAGTAATGTTGCAATGTCAAGTACTATCCAGTACCGCGCGCTGCTCACGTGCATTCAATAAAGTTAATACATAAAACTGAAAATAAATGGTAATTAAAATAAAAATAAAAAATAAAAAAAAAAAATAAACTAATTAACTTTTTTGTTAAATTCCACGCGGACGAAGCCGCGGGTACAGCTATTGTCAATAAAAATATAACTTAATTTTGTATAAGTAAAAATAAAATGAAATTAAGTAGATGTCATAATAAAAAAAAAAACTAAAAATAGGAACGAAATTCGCTGGATTAGCAAGTATATATATATAATCATCATCATTATATTAACCCCTGAACCGTCCACTGCTGAACATAAGCCTTCCCCTTGGGGGGGGGGGGGGGGGGATTTGCCAGTAGTTGCCACGCTTGGCAGGCGGATTGGCAACCGCAGTCAGACTTTAGAAATGTTCTAAGAGGAGCGCTACTGCCCATCCCTCGCCGTTCCTTAGTAGTCTTTTACGACACCCACGAGAAAGGAAGGTGTGGCCTATTTTATGCCGTGACTAAACGGATATGAATTATTATTTAGTCGTAAGAAGCGACTAAGGGAATTTAATGGTCGAGGGATAGGCAGCAGCGTCCCTCTTAAAACATCACCAAGTGCATAATTGCGGTTACCAACCCGCTTGCTAAACATGTCAACTACTGGCAAAATCCTCCTCATGGGGAAGGCCTATGTTCAACAGTGGATGTAAGAATGGCAACGCATAGGAGGTATCAAGGGCGAAATAGTAGACTCTGTTATAACCATGGTACTGCTTATGTCTATAGGCTTCGGTTACCACTTTTCATCAGGTGGGCCAAGGGTTATTTGTCATTCTAAGTTGCATAAAAAAAGTAAAACAATTTTATTAAGGTGTCAGTTCAGTAACAAACAAGTACAATAAAAAAACTAACTACCAAGAAATATTTACATCATAACACAGGCCCACCTTGAAAAACAATCTTAAATAAGCCAATGCACGTAGAAATATGATGCCATAGAAATGCTATTAGTGTATGCAATTTAAAATAAATTCTACGAGATTGTTGCGCTTTTATAGGCGTCTTCTTGCAGTCTCCGGGTCGCACCCACTTTCCACATGCTTCTCAATTATCGCGCTCAAACTATTCTTTAATACGATATATACCAAATTTTAAAAATACCATGATTTACTTAATAAAATAATTGATATCAAACTTAGCCCTTATAGATGTAATTGAAAGGTAAGACGGCGCCAGCGTATCGACGCAGGTGAAGTTTCATACAAGCGGACGTCCTATCCTCCAAGGTACCATGAACATCCTGTCGTCGCCACGCATCAAACTAGGTAAGATAACAGGAGACTATCAAGCGCCGTAAATATTCGATTCTTAGAAAGAAATAGGTATATACTTAAGGCGTTTGGAGTTGAGACTCTGGGCTCGTGGGGCCCCGAGGTCATAAATCTTTTTAAAGAGTCTACTTTAGTCAACGCATCTCCATAGTCATTCAACATGGAAATACAGCAAGCCTAGGTGTCTTACCAATTGACACTTACCTCAAAAAAATTATTTACTTTTAATTAACGTTTTAAAGTCTTGTTATAAATATTTATAGTGCTTAGATGTGAGGTATGCATATGATTGATAGAAATTTAGTTCATATTGGACCACTTATAGTTCGATTTTATAGGAATTATTAAAATTAATGTAGTAATTTTAGTTTTAATATCACTCTACAGAGGCAGCACTTTGCATCTCATGGAACTTAAGTATTCAGATAAATTTATTACTTAATGTAAAACATAAAATTTGACAGCACATATCGAACGATTTATGGTTATCGCATAATCATAGCGTAGTAGGTGTAAGATAAGTAAGTTTTTAAAATAATAGATTTACTTTCATACATTCACATGACCGAATGAACTGACACGACATGACATTGACATATGACGTCATAAATTTCTCATTTCATATCAAATCAATCGAGTCGAAGAAAAACATTTTCACATTTTATTTACCTGTTCCTTTTTCTGTGACTTTGTACGAATTCCAGATTTTACATTTTAAAATTAAAGTTCTTAGAAAAATATTTTATCAATTATAGTTAAATTAATCGATACGAAGCTAAGTAATTGGCTAGTAAGTTACGTATACAGAGGAAGGTGAAAATACATTAACAATGGCGTCTAATCAGGGTCCTGGACCCTCAGCACCTGAAGATCTACCTCCTCCATATTCTGCAGTCGTGGGCAATCCACAATATGGCTTTGTAACCCCATCTGGCGAACCATTTGCTGCTCCAGGAAACGTGTACCCTCATCCACAACCCAAGCAATTTACAGCAACTGGAGTATATCCACATCCACCTAATATTAATAACACCCAGCCTCATTCAGGTAGCATACCACCACCTCCTCCAGGTGTGCCAGTAAACATAGTCGTTCCTCCAGCAGTTGGCACTGAACCTGCTACGATAAATTGTTTTAATTGTGGTAAAGTGGTCACAACCAGAGTTACATATACTACGGCCTGGCATACACATTTAGTAGCTGGATCCATCTGTGTAATTACCATGTAAGTATTGTTTGAAAGTTTCCAATTAAAATTATAGAAATGTAAATAAGGCCTATAAGATCAAAGACAACTAAATCCAAGTCTGTCAAATGTTGAGGAAACTACAAAAACTAATATTTTGTCAAGGATATGGAATGATATTCTATATTTTAAACCAGATTGAAAAAACAAATTAATATTAGTAATCATTTGAATTTTAATTAATAGAACTCCTGTATATTTGAGTATAAAGTGAAAATGAAATAGATTTTATGCTGCCTTTGATTTTATAGGCCTCAAATTGAATGACAGAATGTTCTTTGTCTATTACTTTTTCTTATGGCACTGAGCTTATTGTATGGAATGCATTTGGTTATATATAATAACTGCTCAAATTATGACATTTGGATATATACAGAGAACTGTACAACAAAATATGATACAGATAAAAAGGCATATTTTGAGCAACCTGTTCATACTTTGCCTACTCATCTTTTTTTATATATTGGATGTATCATAGGTCTATTCTTTGTATGACATGATAAGGGTATTATATAAAGTTGTATCTTAGATTGTAAGGATTTTAAAACATGGAATTCTAGACAAACAACAAAAAATAGTATTTGTATACTTGATATTATTTTGTATAATTATTGTTATGAAAATAAAAATGCAACATATGTGTTTAGAACTTTTAAAAATACTTAAGAATGATATACTTATTAATAGAGATCTAACACTTTCTTTTATTCATTTAGCATATTAAAGATTTTGCTACTTATAATATAATACATGTATAATATATTTTATAAGTAGTGACTGATAATTATTATAAAATAAGACTGCACAAAATTTTATCCAAAATCATACAGCTTTTTAAATATATGAGTATAAACCTCTGAAGGACCAAACTTTCAAATATATAGTTCTAGCAATGTCTCTCCTGCTTGTATGAATTAGAATATAATTCATTTTTTCAAATTTGAATTAATGTGTTATTTAAAATTCATCACAGTAACATATATGGCCAAACTTCATTACAAATTTTCTCATTTATAATGGTGGTAAGTAGATATATAAAAATTTATGCATATAAAATATTGTTTACAGGATGTGTTCTCTATGCTGCTTGGGCCTCATCCCTTATTGCTTTGACACATTTAAGGATGCTGAGCACTATTGCCCCAACTGTAACACATTTATCGGAAAAAGCAACAAATGTTAATCATCAAAATATGGAGTTAATAGTCTGTAACAAAGTGACAAATAAGGCTTAATCAGATATTATGTATAAATGTAATTTTTTTATGCCATCATGTATTTTAGTTCTCAAGTAACATTAAGGTAAAAATTCAGGACATTAATGTATAATATATGGCAGTATTTACACACCAGCTTTTAAAAAGATACACTTAGTCTTTTTCAGTTTATAGAGTGTTATCTCTGCACACAAATATATGTATACCTTAAAGATAGTGGTTCTGTATACCTATATGTCACATACATAGAAATGAATAACAGTGATGACACTTTATAAATCTAAAGTAAGGCAAGTATTTTTTTTATATGTCCAATTTGTAATATTTACTGCCCAGGTATAGTAAAACGTGTTCTTAAATAAATATGTTCTAAGAAAAATATTTTTTGAGGTATATACATTAAAATGTTAAAGAATTCTGTACTAACTTTTATGTTAATCTCCTTATTTTCTAATTTTCATTTTTATTTTCTTAATTTCTCTTTCTATTTCAAATTTAAATGCACATATTGGTATATGAAAATTTAAAAATGTACCTTACATTTCAATAGTGCCATAGCTGCAAAAATTGTATAAAAAATTTGTCTCCTAATAGCATTCCTTTCATGATATTTTTGGGAACTCACTCAGCTGTCATACATGTTAGGATCTTTTTTGTCTTAAGCTGTTCAGAGGTTAAAATTTTTAACCAATAATAAATATTGTTTATTCATTAGCTATAATTATTTTATTAAAAAATGATTACATTGAATCTAGGAATATAACAAAAAATATATTTTGACTTATGTTGGGTGATCAGTCACATCTCTATTTCAATAGAACCAAAAAAGAACACAGTTTCACAGATATGAATAGAATAAATTAATTTTGACAACATATAATGGTTTTATAAATTAACTTGTATTTCAGTGGTTGTTGGTTTGATCCTTCATAAGTATGGTTTATGGTTTAATTCTTCACAATACACTTGTATTTATAAACATCTGTTTGTATTCAGCTAGACGTATATATGTATATATATAAAAAAAAAATAAGTAAGTCAATTTATTTTTTTATTCTTTAATGTAATTATTATTAGATAGTAGCAATGTTGTTTATAATTTACACCCAGTACAGGATAAACGGTAACTACAAGTTTTTTTTTATATTTTTACATTGTATCATAATTATATATTTCTTATATTAGTTTATAATATTTTAATGATTAGTTTATAAAATTAAATATTCTTTTTCTAAAAGTCCCTGAATTAATAAAAATATAAATGAACTTGTCTACTTCTACATACTAATCATTTATATCTAATACATTTTTATCTCCATTGTTCAATAGGTATGTTATGCAATCCAGTGTTTTATCCACATTTCAAAGTGTAAATACTGGAAACAAATAAGTGGCACATTCCAATTGGTTAAAAAGACATCACATAATATATAATGTATTTAAACATAATCACAGTTTTCCTGAATATAATACAATAAGTTGTTAAAGTAGCTATTAAATAATATAAACAGCAGCAGTCTTCACAATTTGATATTAAACTTGCCATAAATTTAAATATGTTAACTTTGTGATTAAAATGTGTTAGACTGAAATACTATGACAAATATAGATGTAAATATGTATTTGACTTATGACTTGTCCATCTTTAATTAATAAACGAAATTAAAACAGATAATCTCAAACACTATCTACTTTATTAATATATAAAAATTTCAAGAGTTACAAAATGTAGGTTAAAGTTTTTTGAATTTAAATTAAATAGATAGCATTAGACAAGGCATGAATGAACTCGATTATTTATATTTTATTTAAACAATTTATAAAAATATGTCAGTGTTGCAAGACCTGCACTGGACTTACTGGACTGTTAAAATTACTTAAAATTCGCTCTATTTTTTGTGTTATTTTTTTAGTCTGTGTATCTAGGTTTTTTATAGGTATATAAATGGTATACTGGTAGGATAATAAGAGTTCAGTAATATGTTTTTTTTTATTTCAAATGAGTGTTAAACCAGTAAACGTGAAAGTTACATAGGTGTACATTATTTTCATTGTCGACTTTTTTCTGAAAGAGTGTACATATGATTTATATTTATTTAAATAATAAATGCTCATATATTGGCAAATAATATGTTCTTTTTTTATTTAAAAAAAGTGTTGAACCAGTAAAAGTTACATAGGTGTACATTATTTTAATTGACTATCTATGAAACTATAGACCTCAAATATACGATACATTTAAGGTTATAAATGTATTGTAAGTATACTATACACTGGATAGCAAATAAACCGGGCCACCCGCTACTTTTGAACTCTAGTCCGATTTTTCAAAAAGTATAATACTTATTGCTCAAGAGCATACAGATTGGACGTTGGAACAGTGGAGTAAAGTACTCTTCACTGATGAGATAAGGATGAGTCTACATGAAAGTGAAAGAGAACATTATTCTCAGTGTTGCATCGAAGAAACTGTTGCTTATGCAAGAGGATCTGTAATGGCGACATCTCATTAACTGCACATTATTGCATTAGCTTTAGTTTTCATTGAATCGACAGACACGTAGATTTACTTCTCATCGCTACATTTCTGAAATCCTCGCAGATCATGTGGTACCTTACGCAGGATATATCGGGCAGGATATGCAGTTAATGCATGATAATGCACGGCATCACGTCGCTCATGTGGTGACCCAATATCTACATGACGTTAGCATCCGTACGATTAACTGGCCAGCTCGAAGCCCGGACTTGAACCCTATAGAACACTTATGGGATGAGTTGAAACGTCGGGTTCGAGCCCGGGTACCTGCACCAACAAGGCTTCCAGAGCTGCGAATCGCAATTGAAGAGGAGTGGAATGCAATTCCCAAAATTTCATCGTCAGTCTCGTGAGATCTATGAATACGAGGATGCTATCAGTTATCAGAGCAAGAGGAAGGAACACTCAATACTAATCATAAACTTTTTTTTCAATTTTTTTCTTTGTTTCCGGCTTTGTTTTTTACTTGAACAAACGATTTGCGCGACTGGAAACGACTCATCTTTGTAAAATTCTTAATAAACACTTCATTGATTGATAAATCATGTGTTTCCATTAATTATAATCGTAATGAAACGCACTTTCAACGGGTATGACTTTGGCAGTTGTAAGTTTTATACTTTTTGAGAAAATTGGATTAGAGTTCAAAAGTAGCGAGTGATCCGGTTTATTTGTTGTCCAGTGTATAAAGAACTGAACTTAGGTTACGAGAGAGGCCTGTTTCCAGCAATGGTACAAAATAGGTGAAAAATACCATAGGTATGATAGAGCATAATATTTCTTATGTAAACCGTCAACTTGTTTGACTTTCTTAGTAAATAATATAAAAAAGACGCCAAAATCATTACCTATATCCCCCGTTGTACAAGTATCAGCCGGAAACTTGTCCTACGAACTCATTTGCATTATCAATGACATTACTAAAAAGTACGCTCTCTGCGCAATAAACATATTTATGAAAATCAGCCCAGTAACTTAGATGAACAAAAATGAAAACATAATTGTTTTCCCTTTTATAATTAATTAAAATTTATCTTTCTTGATCCTATATAATAGTAACTATATATCTTGGATTACAAGGTGTTATTCCTTTTGTCAAAGATTTGCTATATTACCCTACAGTGCTTATACCCACAATGCATATGGACTGCTGCTTCACTTACTTTTCTCATTCTTACGACGCCGTCGCGGTTGATAGAAGCAGAGCTGTATAAGTGTGACCAAAATCGTTCAGCGAAATGCGATTAGAATTGAATTAGTGTGAGTAGTCCCTTATGATCTCGTCGGCAATAATATTTCTGGTGCTATAATCATAGAGAAAATGTAAATGAATATCTCTTTATCAGTTTTGATAAGATAATCGTATAAATGTAATGTATGTATGTACTGATAAGTGCTCCTATTTTTACTCTTGAAATGTAAGTATCTATATAACCAATACTCTACATGTGAATATATTTATAATGGCTTCAAATAGTGATGAAAATCAAATTAATATACCAGCGGCAGTGCTGAGAGTAGAAACTGAAACAACAAGCTATCACCACGAACCGCCACCACCGTACTATTCTGCGGGCACAGCAGTAACAGAACGGCCTATCATCCATCAGACAATAATAATACAAGCATCACTGAGAGATAAACCTATGTTATACGAGTGTTCTGCTTGTCGAGAAACAGTGTTTACGAAAGTGCGTTATGTTAATTCTCAAAAGACACATTTAATAGCCGGTTTTATATGTGGCTTCACAGTGTAAGTAATTTTAATTATTACATTAATTTAATGATTATCTTTTATTTATAAGTTGCTTAATAAGGTTTATAGAATAATACAACAAAATATAATGCAAAATATTTTTATGTTAAACATTACAGTACAAGACAATAGACTATTTTCTTCTTATAAAGAGAATTATTTTTATTTTATTATCATCTGTTTTCAGATGGTGCATGCTATGCTGCTTGGCTGCTATACCTTATTTTGTGCCAGCATTTAAAAAGGCTGAACACTACTGTCCAATTTGCAATCAATTTCTTGGTTCTTATACAAAAATCTGACATCAAATTAATAGTCTTGGTCTTAACAGAAATACACATATGGAATTGCCCATGTGTACATTAAATCCTTACAGTTAGACATTTTATTTTATATTGTAGGAGGATGCTCCACATTAAACTATGACCTATCAAATTTCAAACAAAAATTACTTATTTAAAATGTAATAGTTTTAGATAATTATTAATTGCAGTTTTTCATGTAAAGTAGTATATAGGCAGATAATACAAAGCTATAATTATTTACCCAGCTTACAATCCATATAATTATGTATCCTCCTTAATACGGACCTTGTCCTTACTTTGTAAAATAATAGTGGTGTGCATAATAAATGTGTATTTATTCTATACATTTTAATAACAAATGATGAAATCTAATACTCAACACATTTTAAATGTTCAGGAACAGAATTAAAAAAAAAATAGATTTATCATAACAATTTCAGATAGGGTAGCAAAAGCCTTTGGCTTCTATTATTTCCAAATTTATTTGATTTTATATTTATATGAGGGAAAGATTTTATAATTTTTAAAATATAAATGATATTTTATAGATATTAACATCAATATTGGTGCTGCTCATTGATGAAAAGTGTCCATACTTAAGTATCATATGTACATTTACTGACAATTTAGAAAAAATAAATGTTCAATATTCCTGAATGAATATCTACAAACTTTATAAAGTAAAATATTAATCACAGGCTGCTCATAAATTTCCCACTATATTGCTACTTTTTTATATATTGTTTTATATGTAATTAGCAATATTATTTTCAATATATTTTAATATTATATATTAAAACATAATTAGTACATGAATATTTTTGTACAATAAAGTGGTATTTTAGTAAAAGTGTTTTATTCCTTACTCTCAAAGCTAATAAATTGAAAATTAATAACATTGGTCATGATTTACAAATCAATTATGAAGCAATTATACAGACTATACAAAATCCTGCTTTTAAGCTTTTGGACAAGGAATCATGGGCATTATTTGAAACACTATAATATAAATAATTTTACACTAGTAAATTGTTAAATACAAAAATTTACTGTTACTAGCCTATTATTTATGAACTATTATAAGGTACTTGCAATCTAAAACAATCTGATGCAATCTTCCACTTCCCATCAACAGCTACAATCAGGAATGTTTGTTGAAATGGTTTCTTGGTGTCGTCGTTCTGGTAAGTTACATCTCCGCATGCTTGTATGAGGTATGTTAGTTTATTTGCCACAACAGTCTCATATATTGGTTGAGCATCTAATGTTCTAAGCACATGATTGCTTGCAGGCAAGTCCATGAGGAATTTTTGTATTTTATCGTTACCGGTAATGCCATTTCCATTCCAAACTAATAGACCAGTATCGAGATATAATTTTGAGGTTAAGTGCCGACTGTTGTCCACTTGTTTATAGAAAACACGGGTAAATTCTTCTGCTGTCTCACATGCGTTATCAACATTTTTAGCAGTAACTTCTGTCATGCTTGTAATTGAATTGTCTGACAATGCCCTGAAATTAAAAGCGAAAATTGTGAAATAGACTTTGGTTGTATAAGAGTAGTGACAATAAATCGTATTCTGTGGTGCTGACTTACTTCAATAAAAACAATAATTTATTCAATCGAAGAATTTCTTACTTGTTAAGATAATTAGATGGATCAACAAAAATATAAAACAAATTGAAATCATAGGATGTCTTTTGTAAATATGTCAATTCAAATCACAGAGTACTTTGTATATATAGGAAACTGTGCGCCCTGCCATCTATGAATATATTTAGTAGTAATAACTCTTTATTATGGTGCCAAATAAAAAGTTAGTTAAATCAATACATGTATTTGTTTTCCAGTGTTCTTCTTATTTTTATAGACCTATACGTAAAAAAATTCCATTTCGCTAGTACTGAGATTGTCAACCCTGATTCAAATGTCATTAATTTTACAGTTTATACCCTAAGTGTGAACAGATTAAGCGAAATGTACCATTTTAAGACCCTAGTTTGGACTTAGCAAAATTTATTGATTATTAGAAAAATATATTTGAAACCTTAGCAGAAATTAAATCAATTTTGTAAATTTGGTACATTTTTATTTTTATCAAAAATCTAGCGAATCATCAATTAAGTATAGTCACATTCCTCGCCGTTTTTTTTTCATTCTGTTTATGTTTTCGTAATTTGAATTTTCTGTTTCGTTTTTCGTAGTTTTTTCATCGATTAAAGTATTGACCCTGCTAGTCTTATTATCCTATCGTATGACTTGAGTTCTGCCCTGCTATTAACTTGGTAAATGACATCTATGAAAAAGTGTTTACAAAGCAACAAAATTACAAATTACGAACTAACTTGTGAGTATAATGTTCAATACAGTTTTCTTCAATTAAAGTTCATCGTGCCAATTTAATGTTATCACATTAAGTAAATTAAATAAAAGTAAATAAGTATATTACCACGTTGTTTAATAATGAGATCGGGTCGCTGTACCATTTGCGCTACCCATAAATATAAAAAGAAGCACAAATTATTACCGTGAAAATAAAGCATTCCTTATTTAAAAGGATACTCTAATCGTTACAATATATGTTAGTTAAACATGTAATGCCTTGGTTTTTATTGCTATGTGGTAATATTTCTTCATAATTTGATTTATGTAGACTTCTATATTGCCATGTGGACCTGGCATAGAATAGACCACCCCTTCCTTTCCCGTGCGTGTTGTAAGAGGCGACTAAGGAACTTCTCACACTTATTCAGCTCCATTCGCGTTTCACTGAACGATTTTGGTGACACTTAGGGACTACTCACTCTTATTCAGATCTATTCAGCTTTTGTCCATAGAAAACAACGATTTTGTATGGAGACGTGTACGCATCCATTCAGCTTTCCGCGTCTATTCTGCTTTCGCGGCAACTCAGTATAAAATGAGGATAAATTTGTATTTATCATGCGAATGCTATAGAGGGGGCGTTCAGCGCTGTTCCGCCACGTTCAACGCTGCTCCGCCGTATTCACCGTCAAACGCAGCGAAACAGCTCTTTTCATGGATGTTTCGCGACTCCTTGTCGACAAGTTGCAACATTTATTGTTTCTGCATTGTTTTGATTTATTATTGCGTAATTATTATGTACGTAAGGATTAAAAAGAGCAGACGTATTTTATAGTAATTATAATTATTTTAATTAAGACCATGACCACACTTTTCACAGCATTGTGTATCAGTCCGTGACATGCAGCATATGACTCACAAATAGCCATGAGTTTTCATCGATATGTGGCCTTGCCACTAGTCACTAGTAGTACATCTAATTTCCACCACACGTCTAGTCTCAACATTGATATCAATTACCTGTCTATGTTGTATAATATTACAAGTCCGATCGGCACAGTTATAAAACTAGGATGGAAACTCAAGATATTTGAAATGAGAATGAAACTCATTATGAGTCGTTTTGTTCTATGCCTCTGTCACTCCACAATACATTATTACGTTCAGATTTTAATTCTTCTATCTTAGGTGAAACTATATCTAAATTACACTCAATAATAGTTTGTAGACATATCGGTAAGCATGTAGACACTCACCACTAGGATTGATCGCCCTTTTAACATTATTCTTATTGCACATATGCGGAGATTATCACATGGCACTACTACAACATTGGAAAATACACTGTGCCGCCAGAGTGGATCGCGACACCGCCGTGCGGTCGCCCGTGCAGTATTCCCTCCGTTGTATCGATCACTGAAGTTTCCGTAGAGGTAAACTTGCAATCGATGCTGTACAAATATGATAGGTCACTCGGTAACAACCACGTTTCTTGCAAGGCTATGATATCCGCTCTTTTACGGGGGTAAGGGGATTGTTAGTAATGTAGACTGAGAACCCCATTGTTAGCAATATACCCAACCAGGTTGACCTCCTCGCGGTTCCCCCTGGAAACTATCATGGTTAATTCCTGATGAATTCATCATGATGGGCTAAATGGCCTGTTTTCATTCTCATCTATCACCCTTCACTGGTGCTCCGCCAGCGTATCCCGTTAGCGCAGGCGGGGTTACCATACCATTTTCACCCATCAAAAAAAATCCGCTCTTTTAAATAATTCCCGTATCCCTTCTATAGAGCGCTTCACATTCTTACAATTGAAGCTAACAAAGTTGTAGATCCCACTATCCATTATTTTGGTGTGTAATGCCGTCAATGGAAGTATGTGCGTTTCCAGTCGATTTTTTAGTCTAAAATAAACAAACGGTCGACAATTTTTTTTTTTTCTTTTCTTCTCGACGTTCGCCATTTATTATTAGACCTTACGGCATCTGCATAAGATTCAACAATGACTCATCGCGTTTCGTATTAGTCGGTTACACGGCTATTCTCTGTTTAAAAGTATTATGGATAAAGGAATATTGTGGATTACAGTCGTTCATCAGTACATCAGTCAATATTAATATTTTATTAACTTACGAATAATAATTACACGTAGATGCTAATTGTTTAATGTACTGATAATTTTGATTACATTAAAACAGTATTATTGTCAGTAAGTACACTCAGTGTTAATTTACAAATGTATAGTGACAATTCTCTGCCTATTGTTTTGTTAAATAAACATTGTTATTATTTCGTGATTCGGCTTCAATATCTGCAATAATTTCATATTCCGATCTCTATTCGATTTCTAGATATAAAATGTTTTATTCACACTTAACCGTAGTTAGATTTACTACATATAAGCTTTAACCCGTATATGGATAAGGGTTAAAATTAACCATTTTCTGAAATAATTTTATTCTGTATATCATTTTGTGGTAAAACTAGAGCTGGTTACTCGTATATGAAATGCCGTGTGGCGTAGTCCATTCACTTAAGTTAGTTTAATATTAAATGAAAAGCAAAATAATGATTAAGAAATATTTTATTTGATAATGTCTTTATCTAATATATTAATTTATCATACAAAGTGGCTTACTTATTTTACAATTACATTTCATACTACTACAACTATGTTCATTTTCAGGACATTTGACACAATGATTTACTTAGGTACTAAATTAAATGTGTCCACGTTATTCAAATAAAATAAACACTGAAACAATTACCTATTCTATCAAGCTTTGATTTAATTATTACTAGAAATGAAACAGTCAGTTTAATTAATTCAAATCTTACCCTAAGGCACTGACAGAAATGATTATGCATTAGATACAAAAAGCTATTTTTTTTTTTATAAATAATATAAATCTAAAGAGTAAATAACATCCCTTAAAATCGTTAAAAATACTTAACTCATAATTCGGCAGCTGCAAAATAAAAAAAAGCTCAATTTAGTAATAGCAGCTATACATGAATAATGGGCCAATTAAATACATCATTTCAGGCCTTTTATAATATCATAATTTTTCTGTATGCCCCTTTAACTCAATCAAATAACCATAATTTCTAATCCAGTAGAATCTCAATTATTCGAATACCGATCATCCGGACTTATTCACGGCTCAAAGTTTATTTCCGCCTCCGACGTGTAGGTACTAAAGCTCTCATTTATTTGCACGATAGTGTTCATTTTTTTACTTTTTGCGTTAAAGATCGAAACGAAAAAGAGTAGTGTTGTCTTTTAAAGACAAAGTAAAAATATTTGACAGTTAAAAAAAAAATATTGAATCTAGCAGTAATTTGGCGCAAATATATGCAGGAGCTTCTGCGATATCAGATATAAAAAATAATTCTAATTACACATTGAAATTCTCCTGCATGCTTGAGAAGGAAGATGGAAGCTAGCAACGTAAAGCCATTAAATTCTAGAGAACGCAGTTTTTACTTGATTCTTACAAAAGAGAGTATGTGTGCAGCCCATGTCTGGACGTATTTTATGTGATTAAAGTATTGAATTATAAATATAAAAAAACAAAAATAGAAATAAATTATTAAAGATTCCATTCTATTCTTCAATTAAATCGCAAGACAATTTCAAAGAAATTACAGAAGCAATGAAAATCATTGGTGATGAAAGCATTGGTGATGGGCGTGATGAAGAAAATATCAAGAGTGACTGAACTGCAATAGTGAAGATCCTGGATTCTATAATTAACTGATGAAGAAATAATTAACAATTTGAATAGTAACGAAAAAGAAGAGACTAAAACCGGTGACGTATGTCAAGTACCATCTCACGCAGAAGCTTTTGAAGATCTAGATGTTGCTTTTATAAGGTTTGAAAGAGGATGAATCAAATCCCATACAGTTACAACTGAAGCGCATCAGGGACTTTGCCGCTATGAAAAGATGTGATTCATTACGTTCAAAGATTGATATCTAATTATTTCCAATCAAAATTTTTAATTGTAAAACCCTTTACATATTAAAAAAAAAGATATTAAAATTTAATTATTGTTTGATTTGACTTTCAAATTGATTATCTAGATTTTCGATTATACGGAATACGGCTTTATTTGATTCGGATAATCGAGATTTTATTGTACAATAAAAATGTTTAACATTTTGTAGTAACTAATTAAAAAAAAAACACAGTAAATAAAAATATTTTATCAACATCAGATTTTTACGTAAATATATGCTCGATTTTATTCAAAGTTGTTTTATAAATAAATTTGAAAGTAAAATTAGGTTACAATATTAATATTAAAATATGATTGGAAGCATCAACATACTAATGTACATTGTAGTCATTGCCAAATTGATCACAAACATTTAACTTAAATGATAACATTAAAACATCAAACTTTAATAGCTCAAATGAATCGATACTCTTTATGTATAATAAATACATCGTTATATAGACATATTCGAGTTTACAAAAATATTTATAAAAGAAATAGCATGCAATATTGGACTTCACTGATGCTCATTTCGAACAAAATAGTTATTATTGCACACATCAATTACGTACTTTCTGTCACTAAAATCTTTCCTGTCAAAAATAACAAACGCCATGTCTTTAAAAAATGATCGTAAAATTATGCATAAGCATTCAAAATTGAATTATTCTAAAATTAAGACGTATTTTTTAATACTAACTTGAGCATCTTATTGTGTCCATTGAAAGTTAATGTGGGTAATTTTTATATAAATGATACAGATATACAGGGAGCTTTATTATATTGGTAATACTTTTATTAGATTCATAAAACAGCACTCTTTTAGTAGTTTTGTGCATGTCTTTCCATACAAGTATAAAGTAAAATATATTTCGTAGTTTATCGTATTATCTGACGGACTTATTCAATAGAACTTTAAAAGTTCAAACGTGGCGCTTATCGTTGAAGGAGCCAACGGCGGCAACGCAACGTATGTACGCAAGCGTTACCTGTGCCCGACTTCGTTTGTCAAATAGGAATGACACCCCGATACTGTTTTAAATAATCTTGAATTATTTAATTGTTATTTTTCTTCTAACCCAACCTGTCAAATAAAACAATTATGTAAATGTAAATAATGTCACATAAACAAACTTCAACTGTATACTAAAATATATATAAAATATTAGTTTTCCATTTGCTCTATCTCCTTCAATATTAAAAAAAAAAAAATTAAATGGGCTCTTTTCTGTATGGATCGAAAGTATTTTTGCAATTTTTATAGTTACTTTTTGGGCGTCCGTGCATATTTAAAATATTCAAATTCATATATAATTGCAAAAATCATCAATATTCAATTATACTTATTTTATAACACAATTATGATATGGAAGTTTATATCATATAAAGATATAAGATACAACGTTGTATACTAATTTATAAGCCTCAAAGCAAATATTAAATCTTCAAATGTTTTGTATACTGATGAAACAATGGGTTGTTAACTGCGCTCTTGGTAGCAATATACTATCAGGTTGACCTCCAAACATCATGCTATCACAGAATCATCGTAACTATAGATTATAATCTGGTGATATCGTCACCATGAGCCGACCGATCTGCTTTCATCTTCACTTATCATTCCTTACTGGTAGCGTATACCTAGCGGTAGGGGTCCACCCCTAACGCTATCGGTATACGCTACCAGTACGTTAACGAACGCTAAGGGGTTGGAGGGGGGGGGGGGGATAGTACTAACTTGTAAGTAAAAACTTCATGGATTGTTTAAGGAAAAATTTGTATGAAATAAAGTATGTATATAAAAGATTACCTGTAAAGGTCCATTGCACACATCAATGCCACATTTATCTGACAATCCAGCCATTAGCCTTTCCTGAAAGAGAGTAAAAAGAAAGATTAAACAAGACATTCTTACATAAGTCTTACTTTCTTATTCATAAAAATGTCAAAACTATCATAAACCTATTTTAGTTATTGAACCGTTTTCTCTCTTTCTTTTACACTAAATACCATACTTAACAGAAAGTGATATAAACGTGTAATAGTTAAAGTAGATAAATGCTTCTAAATAAATCGCAGATTTTTAACTGGTTCACATTTTAGGTCATAGAAAATAAAAATTTATAATTTAATGCAACTAATTTTGAGGTTAAAATGTCTTTATGGTAGGTAGATATATTAATACTACTAGATTACTATTTAACTTTATAGGATTGCTATCTGACGTTTTCGCCTTCGTTTGTTATAGTGCGTTTACGAATAACATTTTTTGCCATTATAGGTTTATGATAAGCGTTTCCTTGTTATAGAGGGCTTAAAACGAATTTTTTTATAAATAATATGGTAACACTATCAATTAGAAAGTAGTTTATTTCTTACCTCGCGACTTCGCCCGTGTATCAATATAAAAACTATTCCTAATTAAAGGTATAATCGCCGTGTATGTCAATATTAATTTAAATCCATTCAGTAATTTAAACATCTTTACGAACTTTCAAATTTATTAGCACACGAAATTAGTCATATACAAAAATCCGAAGTCGCAGATAATAACTACTTTAAATATTTCTCTTACCTCTGCATGCCGTTCAGATTCAGTAAAACTGTGGTTGTGGTTAGCAGATCGTACTCGCTCGAGTTCTGCTTGTAAATTGTCAATTTTTTTCTGCATCTAGTCACAAATTAATAGATAATAATTATTTAATATCCTCATTGCAATAGTTAATAACCGTCACCAACATATGACATAAATGTGTTGTACTGGACAAAAGGGGAAAGGAAAGAGAGGAGTGACTTGTAACCTACCAAGTAACGTAGATAAATTTAACATTTAAATTTCCATTATAACTAATTATGACCAAAAATTTGCTGATCATAGAAAAACATATTGGATTATCTATGATTTATTGTCCATGCACGAGTTTTACTCTCTATACAATAGAATAATATAGGTAACGTGTATGTATACCTAATAAAATCTAATTTGATCAACTATGGATGCTTAAATAATAAAAGTTGAAAAACGCAGTATTATTTCGTACCACTTTGATTTCAGAATACCAGAGATTTCAACTGAGATAAATAAATATTGAAATATAGTTTCCCTCTGATATTCAAAATCAATAATAATATTTATGATTTAATATTGGGGAAAGCGATATTACACATACCTACCCGCCCGCCTACGCACATCTATTATTCATATATATGTTTATATAAACTTTCCCATATTCTCTAAAGTATAATAATATTCGAGATAGAATTTACCACAAAGCCTGTAATATAGAAAACTTTAACGCCATAGTTGCACACTTAACACAGAAGAACACAAGTGCCATATGACATTTAGTCCAGTATGTACCTCTGCTGTGATGGTAGGTAATGTCTTTTCTATGCAGGAGTATGCGAAGGCCAAAGGTTCCTATATAAAAATGTTGTCAATAAAACAAATACTAATTATAGGTATCGACACAACCGGATTTTATTTACTTAAGTTGAATATATTTAATAAGTAGTAACTATAAAATATACATACATATTATTTATTTTTTTCTATCTTTCTCTAAACGATGTATTAATTTTTTAACCATTTAAATTTTAAAGGTTTTTAAGGTATTTTAAGTTTGCTTATTACCAAGTCATATATACAGCAATTCTCGCGGACGTTACTAGTAGATGATAACTCAGTATCAAATGCAAATATTACAATCCGCAAAATAATAATCAGCCAGCGTCGACTTCATACATCATCATCTTTTACGAAGTAAAGGAGTTTTGAAAACCTTTATGAGTTAATCGAAATAAGACGCTGACCGAACCTATGTATAAAAAATGTATGTTAATATAAATTACCTGCATCACTGCACTCCTGAGATCATCTATCTCACGTTGTTTTTCTGCCAATTGTTCCGCCCACCTTCGTTCTTCTAATGTTACATTTTGTTGTAATTGGCTAAGAACACCCTCCTAAGACACGAAAGATGATTATTGTAAATTTGCCATTTTAAAAACTAAATATTAATAGTTATTTTTATATAACTTTAAGTAAGCCTACTCGATACAGAAGAATTAACATATTCGGAGTTTGTATTACTATTGGATCTAAATTATTATACCTAAACTGTGTTAAAATTATAATTGAATTACCAATTCCAAACTCTTGTGGAAGGCAAAATGGCAACTTATCCATCGTTTTGTAGGGATATAAATTATTTGGTGGAGATATCATTGTTTATTATCTGAAGGACGATTCGGATGTGTCTGAAGTGTTGGTGTTTATAATCACTTTGTGTTCCCAATTGCAGTGCTATTAAGTTTCTGAGTCTGATGAGCTGAATTTATTGTCATATGAACATTAGCAGGATAGTTTGTTATAAAATGAGGTATATAAAACTGAAATAAAATTGTATAAACTTACAGTATCATTTATAATTTTCTTATAATTATCGACGACACTCTGTAGTTGTTCATTCTTTGTGATCAGCTCATTGACACGGGAATCTGTCGTCGGTGCTGTTGTAGTCTGTGGGATTGAAGTCTTTTTCTCATAAAGTTTCCTCTCCGTTTCTCTCTTCTCCAACTCCTTTTTAAGATTATTTGCAAATGACAGGAGCCATTCGCGACCGGCCACTGAATTAGGCGCTGCGACCGGACAAGCACCGCGCAATACATTCGCTACTTCACTATACTGTGCTTCCTGTGCTTTCGATATTGCTTCCTAAAAACAAAAATGTACAGTAATCGTAAATAGGAACACAGATGTTTATTTTATCGCATACACGCAAACAAGTTTATGAACCATCATGAATGGCGAACTGGTAATTATCCTGATAAAAAATGAGCATACGATTGCTAAATCACCGCCACCTACCACCATCCATGTGAGTTACCAAATCGCTTTAACTTTCTAAACCACACTCAGGCAATAAGTATTTCCATACATTTGACACACATAGATTTATATAACTATATATATATATATACACACACACACATGTATACAGTAGACCCTGGCTCGTACGTTTCTGAAAAATGGCCCTTAAATAAAAGTGGTTTACTATGTCAGAGGTGCTGTTGTAGAAGTAGTAACCACATACAATATGGGAGAAAAGGGATTGTTAGCAATGGAGTTTGACAGCCCCATTGCTAGCAATTGCCTTATTAGATCGACCTCCACGTGGTTCGCCCTGAAAACCATCGTAAACAATTCTTGTTGAATTCGTCACGATGGGCTAACTGACCTACTTCATCCTCACCTATAATTATTCACTGGTGCTCCACCGGTGTATACCGATAGCGCGAGTGGAGCTACCATTCCATTATCATCCATTAAAAAAAAACACATACAATATTGTTATGTCCATATGCCTATTGGTCATAATTACCACTTTTCAGATGATGGGCCATTAAATTGTTTATGCCGCCCAGTATAAAAAAACATACAATAAGAGGATGAAAGTGAATTTTGAATTTTATAAATATTTTGTATTCGGCTGTATAAACATATTATACTGTTATAGCACGTATTTAGAGCACGTTATTACACTATCAAGTATATAGGATCATATGTATAGATTAAATCATAGTGTATACAGATAGACTAAAAGTAAAAATCAATCTCATTATATTACTCACAAACCAATATAATATAAACACTTTATTGACATTAAAAATGAACCACTAGCTTAGTCCATATATTGACATATTTGATAATGTAATATCCGCCTACAACGAAATACAAAATTCGGTGGAAAGCAACGACGCACTTTATGCTTGTAATACAGAAAAGCGAAGCCGGCCAAAGTTACCGCAGTATATGTATTTGTACACTGAGATTACAAAATGGAAAAGCGACACACTTACGTGCAGCGAGTCTTGGGCCGGCAACGCACTGGCTGTTTTTGACTGTAGAGACTTTTCAGCAGATTGTAATGCCTCCATTATTTTCCAGTTTTTAATTCGCAACTCCTAAGCGAAGGGAGTTATATAAAATGGTTAAGATTAATTTTAATAAAATATGAATGAAATCCAAGGTGGAAAGTAGTTTGGATTTAAGTGTCAATTCGAACCAACGCTGTTTATTTACATTATGATTACATGTCTATTAAATCTACAGATTTTTTCTAGATTAAGTATAAGTAGATTAGTATAAGTTACTTAACGTTAACGTACGTTAACGCATATCGTTATATATATATAAGTTGTATATATATATAACGATATGCGTATAAAATAGTAACTAGACAGTTTGAAAAATTCTAGTCCACATTTTTCTTATTTAAAAGTGATATCTTTTGAAATTTTTCTCCTAGAATGTGTCAGCCGAAAAACAGGTGGGCAAAATTTCTATTATAATACAAATCATTTAAAAATATTATGATTTATTCATTTATTATATTGTTAAATAATAAATTGCACTTAATTCAAATAGCCTTTCCACCATTGAAATGCCGATATGAAAGTTAATGAATTAGAAACAAAAAATAAACGATTAAGGTAATATTAATATATGATTAATAGATTTTAAATTAGATATTATGATATCCAAAATAGATTTATACCATATTTGGTCATTTATCTCTACAGATAATAATTAACAGCCATTTTAAGAATTTTTTGTATCTCACAATAAAAATAGTCAAATATGTATTGAGCTATTGTTACAACTCAGGTCAATTAACTCGAAAATAAAATTCTATAAAGTCATGGTCTAGGAATTTAGAAAAAAAATAATAGATGAAGAAAAATACGCTAAGTGATAAATAATTATTGAGGAATCATGCAACAGGATCACTGGGAGATGCAAAAAAGTGCACAGTGTTAAAATAATAAACTATCACTCGTAACGATTCGAAAAATCCATGATATATAATTTCTACAATATATAAATACTTACTGATAAGTGTCCGTATCAAATACTCACGTTATTCTTTTGTTGATATTGAGAGAGTTGCTCCTGCAGCCGCGCAAGTTGCTCGCGTTGCTCCTTGCTGGAACTTTGTGCGTTTGCCAACTCACTACGGAGAGATTCCACAACACTCTCGACCTTGGCAAGTTCCGCGGCCTAATGACAACATTATTCAGTGTAAAATTGAATTTCATTTATCAGTATTCAAAATGAAAAAGAAACTTTGAAATAATAGCAAAATCAGCAATTGATATATTTTTTATCCAGTTAAGATTTCTTTGTAGCATAATCTAGGAATGGTCTGTCAGTGCATGTTACAAAATTAAAAAAGTGTATATGTAAAATAATAATAAAAAACATTTTCACTTTACCTTATGTTGATCACTGGCATTCGTGGGAGGCAATCCATTCTGTGCAGGTACCACTTTCATTTGTTTCAGCTCCGCCAATTCCGACTCGCGCGCTTTCAACTGTTCTTTCAGTGACGCGAGTTCGTTTGACAACTGTCAAAGTAAAGACCATAGGTATAAGTTATTAGTAAATGCATTTGCTAATAAATACGAGGAGAAAAGGTTTTACTATTTGCATATTTTGTAAGCAAATTCTATGCTTAAAATAAAATTTTGTTTATATAGATATAAAGTAATAAATTCTTTACCTGTTGCTTTTGTTTCTCGACTTCTTCCCTCAGTTTTTCTATATTATTCTCTGCCGTCTGTGCACGTGATGTTAGCCGCTGAACTTCTGCTTGATGTTCGGTTGTCGCTATAAAACATACATTTTCTTATAGTAAGACAAAAAGTAAGTTTTAAATGTTATAGTAGTAATTTTTATTCGATTCGAGAGTTGCGGTAAGAATTGAATAAAAACAGACTCTAAAAGCGCATCATTATATCTGTGTATTTTAACTGAATATGTTTTATTATCATATTCGTAAAAATCTACAAATAAAGAAAAAAAAGCAATATTATGAAAATCAAGCATTTAAGAATCGTCATTGTTAAGTTTTTGTTCAAAGTTCTAGATACCAGTGTGTCTCTCCTGTGAAAACTTCAAATCCTGTTGCGCAAGCTGTTCGGCATATTCACCGCACACTCGATTTGCATCCTGTAAAATCGATGAACAATATTAAGACTCTACATCAGATACCTTTCTTACATTAATAATGCATGCATCCAGTTTCAGAGATGTTTTCTACCACGAACACTCAGATTATGGAATGAGCTCCCTGCTGAGGTTTTCTCACGAGACAACAACATGGGGTTCTTCAACAGGGGAGTAAAGATTTTTCTTCAGGGTGGGCAACGCGCGCGTAATACCTCTAGTATTGCAGGCGTTCATAGGCTACGGTAATCGCTTACTATCAGGTGGGCCGTATGCTTGTTTGCTACTTCAGTGGTATAAAAAAAATCTAAGCGACGATGATCAATCATGCAATACCTGTAATGATCTGATCGCGTATTTTTTGTTTTTATTTTTCATTAACATTACAATAAACGTTTCTCCCATAAACTAGTAATAAAAATATATCGTAGCATCCCTATGGATACCCATGATGTCTGTTCCCTACAAAACACTAGTGTGTAGTGGAGTGAGTACAGCGAGTGTAGTGAGTGTGCGTGTGTAGAGAGGTGTCGTGCGACGTGACCTGCAGCTGCTGCGCGAGGTCGGCGTGGTGCTGCTGCGCGAGCATGAGCGCGTCGCGCACGGAGGCGGCGTCGCAGCGCGCCTGCGACAGCTCCATGGCGCGCGCCGCGCGCTCCGCCTGCAGCGCGCCCACCTCCGCCTGCAGCGCGTTCAGCTGCGACACCAGCTGCGCCTCGTTCTGCACACACACACACACACACACAAAGGTCATTAAACACGTTTATACTTCGCCTTATCCAAGTGCGGCAACGTCGCAATACAAAAACAATTCAACAACTTTCAATGTTTCCAACTGATTAAGTACTCTGAAAGCAAATGAAAACATTAGCAACGGAGCTATTTTAAATACTTTGTAAGTTAATAAACAATTGTAAACGACGCTGCCATACTTTTGTAAGCTAATGTATTAACGCTTTTAAATACTAGCATTAATTTATATATAAAGAGGACATAGGCTTGGTTAATCAACATATCCCCGTCACACAGACGAAGTCATAGGTGAAATATAAATGTTAATAACAGCAGCAACTTTTATCAAAACATTCTTGTAGATACTTACCTCTGTCAATCTTTGAATATGCATCTCCATTTGAACTCGTTGAGCTTGGGCTTCACCTTCAGCGTTCAGTTTAGACTGAAGCTGCAAAAAATATTGTATAGTTAATGTTACATATTTGTTTCTGTCGTCCACAGTTGTTTGCCATTCTAAGTTGTAAAAAATATAAATTTTTAAATACTATTGTTTTAAGAGAGAAATTTACGCAGAGTGTTATGACACTGCACCATCATTTTCAAAATCTTGTAAGATTGTTTGCAAATAATCTTGTAAACAATATTAGTGTTAGAAACATGTTAAACTAACCTTTATATAAATAAATATTTCAACTGTTTCCCTGTTTTGATACCATCAAAGAAAGAATCGCTATAACGTGCTCTGTTAATCGCCTAATACTAGAATGCCCACTTGTAGCTATAAACTGTAAATACTGGCGCGGAGTCCGTGTGTGCGTGTGCATGAGCGTGTGCGTGTATGTATGAGAGAGAGAGAGATGGTGACATACGAGGTGGTGGTCCTGCTGCAGGGCGCGGTTGTCGTCGTGCAAGCGCTGCAGACGCGCTTGCAGCGTGTGCAGCTCGGCGCGCGCCGTCGCCGCCGCCTGTTCGGCCGCGCGGCCTGCTGCCGCCGCCCGCCCGCGCTCCGTGTTCAGCGTCGCCCTGTCACAACACACGCACCATGTGTTAAACATATGCATGGAGAATATCGATGACAGTCTGACACATATATATTGGGTCCCATTAATATCGCTCATACCGGTCATATATCTACATTATTTTCGATCAGGTTCTTCCTTATAAGTTTATATATTGGATAGCCAATATTTATTATATCCGTTATTAGGCGAATGTATACATATTGTAACTAAATATACTGTACTGTTTTTTTATTCTGACAGTACAATTTTCCAAAAAAAAAAAATTGTGTTCAAATAATTCCAAAGCTAAATATGAAGTAACAATTTTTACAAATGTAGTCTGCCTGTCATTTATGTTTGTTCTGGCATCACGCAAAAACTATTGTATTAAATCAGATGCGGTTTTCACAGTGGTGTTCCTGAAGGTCTAACTTAACTTAAAATATGATGCATGTTTTATCTTATATCTTATCTGGAAGTGGTCTACCTCACTGGTTTTTCTACATCTGAAATCCACGCGTACGAAATAACGAACAAAAAGATAGAAAATAATTATAGTTACCACTACTGTTTAAATTTTTACCTCAACTCCTTTAATTTTGCATGAAGAGCCTGTGAAGCTTCCACTTCATCGGCAAGAGCTTTCTCCTTTTCAGCAAGTTGCTTTTTCAACTTCTGTATAGGGTCATTCGGCCCCTGCAAATAATAAACACATATTTAAATTCGTATTTATAATAGTAGTAAGATTCAAGAAAGCTATAAGAAATAACTAGTATCCAATATAAGTTCAGCAAGTCTGTAATGCAGACCTCAGTCCACTCAGAGTGCTCGGGCAGTGGGTCGTGATGCTTGTTAAGCAGCGCGTCGGTGAGAATCTGTATCTCTGTGCGCGAGAGCGGCGCCTCACGGACCACGCGTACTAGTTCGCCCACGTTCACTCCCGCCCCGCCGTCGCCCGCTGTTAACAATCAAGAACCACTTATTATCTCTCTTCTATTTATAATTCAAGTCCTTATTGTGTATAAAATTAGATTTACAATACAGTAAATGAATACGATGACATGTTTTTTAGGATGTCACCCACGTGGATCCAGTTATTTCCCGTTTAATCACATATTTTAACGAACTAGGGCGAACTCTAGCGACATCTACACATACTCATTGGCGCCCGACTTTTGATTGTTAAAAACCTTTGTATATGACCAAACCAACATAATATTCCCTTTTCTACCCCTGTTCCTGGAAAGACATTCTAGTCAAGAGACTACATTTGCGTGACTGGAATAAAACTTTAAAAATAGCCTATATCCTTCTCCATCCCATATAGTATGTGTATACCAAATTTCATAGTGATTATGTTAAGCTGTAAAGATATTGTAATACAATATATTTCTACCTACATTTCTTTAAAAAGATATTGCTTAATTTACTGCAATTCTTGACTGCTAAGTTATTGTAATTCTGCAACAGGAGCCTGATTAGTAAAGAATTTTGATAATTAAAACATATGGCACAATCTCAACAACACTTTCTAATGTTTCTGTATGTAAATTATAAAGATTGTTACCGAATAAAATTATAAATATACTTCTTAGACACTATATTTACATGATCAATGAACTCACCCATGAGCGTCACAATATTGGGTTCAGGCTTTTTCTTTTTGTTCTTAGTGGCTGGTGGTGAGGAGGCAACTGATGGTGCAGAACTGGAAGTCAGAGCTTGCTTCAGTAATTTTTCTGTGGTGAGTTCACTCGGCTGTGGGGCATTCAATGGAGGAACCACCTCCTCGCGAATGACCTCTGCCACCTCCTCATTGCCTTTTTTCTCTACTTTTTTACCTATAAGTTAAGAATGACGATGATTTCTGATTTCGGAGATAAATTAGATAACAATTTATTGCGATCACAAACAGAAAATATGAAAGAAATCCTCAAGGTTCAGCTATTTAGTTTGATTCTTAATTTGGATTAAACAATATTTCCTCAAATGTCAAGACACAACCAAATAATAGTTTACACGGTATGAAGAAATCAAATAAAATATCATAAACACACATAAGTTCATATATTTTGTGGTATCATTATTTATCACTTATAGAATACATAAAAAATAAAAATAAGTAATGTAAAATTTAAATGCATTAAAAAGTCTTTAAATGTTTTGTATACTGCATACTCTACAATAAATACAAATCCGCACACACGTAGTTTGCGGGAATTTAAATTTCACACAAGAAAAAAATAAGTACGTAGCTGAGTTTTTGAATGAATGCTGCTAGAGCGAGGGGATAGTGCGCGGGTAGAGGGGAATCATATCGGTTAACGCAACGACGAGAACAGACGCCTAGTGGGCGGCAATAAAGTGCCCCCTCCTCTCACCCTCGTGCAAATTACTTTTTCTTTTCTATGTTTGTCAGTCGTACGCGAAATGTTTTTAATTATCCATCGGTTTGTTTTTTAAGTGCATGGCATCCTCCGTTATAATGTACTCATATTGTGAATACTATGAAATGATGCCTCACTATGTCGCGTTATATAAGGTCAGAATGGAGATGACTGCATCGGTCGCGGAGGTACTTATATAATTTTCACTAATTAAGAGACTTACTGTGTTTAGTCAATTTACAAAGTACTTTTTGCATTTTGACGGTCCTAAGCTCGTAAAAGTATGAAAGGAAAATTCGCAACTTATGTATATGATTTGAGGGGAATGACCTTAGGAGAATAATACGGTGTAGGTACTTATCCACGCGCGTAATGCGCGGTGTCAGTACTCAATATTTTTAGGATAACTTTACTGTCACATATTTTTATAGAACACCATATTGTGTTCTATAAAAATACATGACAGTAAAGTTAAAAAGTGAAATTGGATACTGATTAAAAAAGTTCCATGTATAAATAAAAGATACCTTTACGTTGTTCTTTTGGTACATCGCCGCTGTTGTGACGCTCCCGAACAGCTTCTTCCTTCACGGGTTCAGGAAGCTGCGCCGGTTTGACAGCTGCTTTGCCGCCTTTTACTACCTTCGATTCTTTCTTCTCCTTTTTCTCAACCACTTCCTCTTTCTTCTCTGGCAACTAATAAATAAAAAAAGAATATTTATAACTCAATACCGTTCTACTTATATCCTATAAATATTGTTAGCTATGAGACAAACAATTTAATAACTCAATATATAAAATAAAATCTTACTAATATTATTATTACGATAACTACTAAGTCTACATTAAATACACAATTTTTTAACTGAAGTTAGTTTATCAAATGAATTTTAAATCAGTAAAAGTAGATTTCACAATGTTTGTTTATTTCACCCTCACATATATATTTTTAGATCTCAATAAGGAAATAAGTATCAGGACCAAGCCATCAGAAATGCATGCAGCATGCATTAGTTGAGAAGGTATGATTATCATTCAGTTGTTATTCCCCAACATGACATTTGATGGACATATATAGTCATAATAACCGAGTTAAAATATGAGAAATCTCTATAAAGATGAAACAGAAAAAGAAACCAATGATAAAACAAAATCAGAAACTTCAATCCAAAAAAAAAAAACAAACACGACAACTGACAAGTGGAGCGCAGCTGAGCAACTCACTTTTTCGGTGGTGAGTGACGATTGCATTAACTCGAACTCGTCCTTGGGGTGCATCTCCTCGAAACGATTGGAGACTGTAGTAGTGGGTGAAGGCAGCATGTTTGGATCGTTAATGCAGCTCGGATCCTCTTTATTTAATAGTATCGGCTTAACTTTAGGATCCTTACCGCGTTTGCGGATCTGTACAGATATAGCCCTATGTACATATGTATATATACAAAGTGAACACATACTGTGATACTAGTGGTAAGTATTGGTAAATTCTAGTACATTAAAAGTGTGAGAAAGTATAGTCAATGTTACAAGATCTGATTCATTGCAGATGCAGAATTAGCAAATTTAAGAATGACAAGTTAAAATATATGGCATACTATAAAGGGTATCTTATTTATAAATAAAAAAATATATAAAAAAAATAAGATAAGGGTATAGTACCCGGAATCCAGCAAATACTTTCGACATTGGACTTTCCGTACAAATATTTAAAATCTACTTGTAAAAATATTTTTAAAGTCATTTTCGCATATCGACCTATGTTCTAAAAGAAATTCAATTTTATGAATATTAGTAGTGCAGAGTTTTGAATAATTATCCCCTTCTATTACATCCAATAAATAGGTAAATGTTACTTATTATGATAACTTTACCTACAGTCAATGTTGTTATGATAGGTGACATTTAATACAGGCGGGAAAGGGATTGTTAGTAATAAGGTCTTACAGCCCCATTGCTAGCAATATACACTATCAGGTCAACCTCTATGAGGAACCACTCTTGAAAACCATCACAATTAATTCTTGTAGAATTAGCCACCATGGGCTAACTGACCTGCTTTCATTCTCAAGTATCATCATTCACTGGCGCATCGCCAGCATATACTAATAGTACAGAAGGCGTAACCATTCCATTTTCACCCATTAAAAAAAAATTAATACATATCCTATTTCCTACTAATTTTATAAAGGAACTTTTTACAGACATTAGATGTCACACTTTAATATCATTTCGTGATACTCCTGATATTTTAAGAGTTATAATGTGCATATATACTGAGATAAATACTATTATATTTTAATGTAAATTGAGTTTGTTTCCATGACAAACAATTGAATGAAATTGATGAAATTATCATAGGGATAGAATGAGTGAATTAAAGTGATATAATAAAGACTAGTCATACATGATAGTTAACGAAATTCAGTTAGTGTTAGTATTTATTAATAGGATTCCAGAGAAAATATTTTTTTCCTCTAGAAAAAATCTATATACAATCAAATTCTAGAAAAATAAAATTCTTCAAAAAAAAAAGCTTTCATCTGTTTGACTTGATTCACCTTAGATTATATAGATGGAGCATCGAGGCTTACAAACAGGTAAAATTTATATCAATTAATTGCAAATTAGCTGACTCGTTTTTTGGCATAGAATAGGCCACCCCTTCCTTTCCCGTGGGTGTCGAAGGAGGCGACTAAGGGATCTTATGGTCGAGGAGTGGGCAACAGCGTTCCTTTTGAAACAGTACCAAAAGTCTGACTATGGTTGCCAACCCGCCTGCCAAGTGTAGCAACTACAGATAAAACCTTGTAATGGTAAACACCAAAAAGAAACGACCAGGAACGGGGTCCTAGCGGCTCCGCTATTCCTAACCAAGGTACTAGTCGTGATAACGGTGATGCTCCACCGTAGTGCGATAAGTTGCGGTCAACTTTTTGTCAGCAATTCAGCTGACTTATTTTTTATTAGTATTCCTACGCACATAATGTATCTTGACGTATGTATATTTAATAATTTAATAAATAAAATGAGTTTTTGCGCTCTAAAAAGAAGCATACATATAAGACAAAAATAGAACTAATAACAGGAATCACTTATAACCGGTAATTATGTAAAATTTTAAGTATTTCACATTTTTTTAAAAAAAAATCACGCCATTTTTTATTGTTGCAAGTGTTCGGAAAAACTCCTAACAATTGAAATTAAATTCCCGAAATGAGGTGGAGTTTTTTCAATAAGAATTGAATTATTTTTCTTTATTATTATATTTTGTACAATTTTATTACATAATATAACTTCAAAATGGAGATTTTTAATTCATCTATATATACTTTTTCTAAAGGATTTTTGTTATATATACAATTCAATAATTTTTACGTTTAGTCAACTTAATTACAATTAACTCATATTTTCATTCCCATAGATAGATATTTCCAAAAACCCATACGCATAAAATTAAAATGGCTCCCACTTCCATTAATTCTGAAATCAATACATGTTTTAAGTCTACAAAGTTTCTGAGATATTCATATTCAAAGAATCGTTTAAATAAAAAAAGAAAAATTTAAACTGATTGTAAATTTTAGTGACATTATCCATCTATATTTAAAGTATACATGGGTCCACAGATAGCGATTTTTAAACTTCATCTTAAAATGTTATTAATTTTCAAAGCAATATGAAAAAAATATGAGGTTTTATTTACCACATTCTTGGGAATATAATAATGATAATAAATAAATAATATAATTAAATATATAAATAAAATAAATATATTATAAAAGAATAAACATAGTAATAATATTTTAGGTTACAACTTTCACTTATTTACCTTAATTTAAACTAATAATTCAAATGTGTGCCTTATCATCCTCATAAAAAAGTTAACATGTTTTTGTCGTAGCATTTGCATGGAGACACTATCTATATAATCTAAGATCTGCACCAACAGGACTAATAATAGGTATGTACATACCTCGTACTGTGGAGTGCCATTGGTACAGATACATTGTTATTAGAATTTTTTGTTTTGTTAATGGTAATATATTCTAGAAAAAAAAAAAATTCTGAGACCCCATTAATGAACACAAACACTAATTTTAAAGAATACATTTCAATAATTAACACATATTTTTACTAAAAAAGGATGGCCACTTGTAATCATCAGCCAACCCTAAAAAATTGATAAAACAAGGCAGAAGATAAGACTACCATACAATGGTGGAACAAACTACTCAATTATATTTGATTTAGTAAAACTAACAATCCCTATATTCACATTGACATCGAGTGACATCATAGGCTGCATGTGATGATATCACGCTGGATGGCACAATCAAGTGCAGATGAATTGAATTAGTCAAAGTATAAACTAGATATAAATATGTATTATAAGTCCTGATAGTGTATTTAAAATATAGACCATTGCTAATGTCCATGTTTAAAAAGAGTCTACTTTTTTTAAACAACAATGAAGAAATTAAAAGAATGAAAAAAATTAAGAAAAAAAACATTATTTTTATGATACTCGAATTATATAAATTACTTATTTTTCAAAATATATATAGAGAAATAAAGGATCACAACAACTTAGTACATATATGACATATGACAGTATTAGAAGTAAAATTATGAAAGGTATGATGTATCCTATGATGCTCATAGAATGTTTCATTTCTACAAATAATGATTACCACATTTCATTATGTAGATCGTCAGTTTCTTTGTTATTCTAAATTGAGTAAATAAAATTATAAGCCGATAATAAAGTCAACTTACCTTAATGTTTGGAGGGGAATCCCTAGGGACATCAACAACTACTGGTGGACAGAATTCAACATGCGGCTTCGATGCAGGTACAACGTCATCATCAACGCCACTCTCAGCTGGTGCCTCACTCTCCAACTCACTGCCAGTCGCTAATCCAGTATTATCCTTGTTTTTCTCCTTTTTTGCTAACTATTAATAAATACAAAAAGAAATCTAATTAAGTTTAAGATAAACAAAAACAAATTGATTAAATTTATCTGTACTGCAGAAACATAAAATATTAAGTACTAAAACAAAATTAATTGCTGCCTAAAAAGTAAATTATTGCTACGCAAAAAAAAAAGTTTGCCCCGAATTTAATTTAGCATAAGTAGATAAATATTTCATAGTAATATTGAGAAAATGATTATATATAAAAGTTATGATAACCCTATTTCTTAAACATTGCATACCTATAAAGATAAGATAATAAGAACAAAAATTCTATTTATTTCTACTTATCACTATCATTCATGTATTTTTCTGTCAGTTGTCTATGAATAAATAACATTTACCCGTAGCTTAACACTCAATGTATAGTAAAGGTGCCTTCTGATAAGTATTTTTTGTCTCTCATTATAGGTCTTCTACAGTCTCCTACATGCTTTTATTCTGCACCAAAGCTTCCAAAAAAAGGAATTTCTTAATGTATCTAAATTTTTTGTGACTAAGATATTTTTGTGAATTTTACCAATTTTTCTTAATCACAAGTGTTTACTCCTATGTTGGATGCACAATATTCTATAATGATTGAATTTTTTAATAATTCTTGAGGAGCGAAAACTGTTTGTTACAAAGAACGTAATTATATTATGGTTAAGTTAGTTTTAATTATATAAGAGAAAATAACATTCATAGGATAGTACACTTACAGCATTTGCAAAAGCAAATGTTAAAATACTATAGCTATATGCTTCTAAGTTATAATACATATAGAATTATAGATATCCGAACATAACTGTTCATGTCACACCAAATACTTCTATATGCCCAAATCATCTGCTACGTAATTTAATTAAATACCTACAACTGTCATGTTTTTCCCATGTAAAAGTGGCAAATCTTTTATTCGTCATAATTAATATTGCATGAGAGTTTACCTTCTTATTAGCTTTTTTGTTACTCTTCTTTGGTTTGTTCTTATTTTCAGCTAAAGCAAGCAGTTCAGTTGTTGCTTTGCGTTGCTGAGCTATTGCTTCTTCATAACTAGTGCCAGAGGCTGAAAACAACCCCATTAGCAATAGTACAGCAACCACAATAACTCCCACGCCGCAAAGGACCAACACTGCTTGCAGCTCCATTGCATTAGCTGCATCCACCTTTCCACCTGCAAATAGATGAAAATTAATATAGAATATGAAAGTTTCTTTTTCAAGAGTTTACACTTAAATGTCTGTCTGTTTATCAAAGGAAGTAATTTACAATTATTTATATGACTATGGAAAATGGAGCTTTCTACTGACCGAAAATTTTAATCAGACTGAATATGTTAATTACAGAACAAAGAGCATATAAAAATATCAATAATAATAAGCTTCCTCAAATCCACTCATACGTCTGGATCAACCAGCTGATTCAATAGGGGTCAGATACGTGACTGACATATTACTGGTACGACCAACAGTTCAATAGCAACCCACTAAAAATGGAGAGACGAGGTAAAGACAGGTATAACGTCACTTTACGGGGGCGATGGGCAGGGCGCATCTGGAACCTCTGATGGGAGCATACAATCTATTGGCGATGAGAAACTAAACAGATGGGTCTCTATCGACAAAAAGATCACAGCCGACGTAACTGAAATTCAGGATATACAATGTAATGCAATAGAACTGGTTGAGGGTATTTCGTAGGAGGCACAAGCCCCACATTCTGTGACCACTGAAACTGGTAAAGTTAAGGTCTGCATGAAATGGGATAACAATATGCGTCCTATATATATACATATATTATACGTCCCTATTGAAATAAATAGAACTACTTACATAAAACAAAACTACACAGAATTTGTTCAACGATATCCAAATGTAAATTTACTGAGCAGCGTATTGCTGATCAAACAAGTAATCATAAGAAATAGATTGATAAGAAATAGATCACAATGCAAAAAGCAGTCATCCTAAATACATGTCGTATCGTATGCAAATTCTTGCAAGAAGATTCCCCTAAACTTTAATTAATAGAAACCCTTAGAACTGCTTGATGTAACAAACCTGTAAATCTAGATTTAAAAAACAAAATAAACATTTTGAAAATAAAGAATAGAAAATTTAAATAAAATGTAATAATTACATACACATAGCCACAGGCGCGTGAGCATGCACATGCACACATAGGCCCGCGTGCACACACACAAAAACTCACACACTGCACTTACTTGGTCTCAGCCCGTAAGTGCAGTATATGCTAACAAAGTAGTGTATAAATATATAATACTCTTTCAAATATTCAATAGATCTAAGCAGGATTTATAATCTCATTAAATGAAAATCAAACTATGGCCAGGCTGAAAACTTATCACCTTACCCTCTTAAGTGATATTGTTAATCTTCATAACAAATTTAAGAAATAACTTTTACAAACAATCAGAAAAATCAGAATTTCACAAAATATACATACACATAAACATGTTACTTACACAATTAAACTTAGAAGACAGTAATGTCAAATGGAATGTAAAAATTATACAGGATAGGGACAAGATTTTAAATTGACAACAAAAATCACTGCACAGAAGGCCATTACCATGGTTTACAACTACCACATATTGACAAAAAAACATTGAATGTGTGGCAAATTCATGGAGACCTATTCCCTGAAAGTGAAGCTTTCATAATGCCAATCTAGGTCTGAGTGGATAATAATAAAGATTTTAAAAAACATATCACTCACACTATTACTATAACCGGCATACCGCAACCATGAGACTTCAGAAACAATTCAACATGTGACCAGTGCCTGTAAATCCATAGTCCAAACTAATTACAAACACCGACATGACATTGTAGTAGCAAAAATTTTTCAATATGTAATAGTCTAATATAATCAATATAATATAATCACAGAAAAACCAGCATATTACAAATACCAACCACAAACATTACTTGAAAACAACTATTACAAAATATATTGGGAATAAACCATCAGAACAGACAAAACAATACATTATAACTAGTGTCTGACTGAAACAGGTTTTACAGCTGAAACCGAAACCAAACTTTCGGCCTTGGTCTCAGTTTCGGCCGAAACCAAAACTTACTGAAACATTTAAAATTTCTCTTCTATACTGAAATCAAGTGTATTTTTTACACAATTATTTACACAAACATACAGATAGTTAAAGGGTAATAATAAACACTATTTAAAGTATGTAACAAATATGTCATATATATTTATATGTAAAAACATGTTAAAATTATGACTTACTCTTGGAAGTAAATTTGAAAAAAACTTTCAGTTAGACAAACACACACAGAAAGATTCAGCGCGGCCGAAAGTTTTGGCTGAAACCGAAACTGGCCTTAGTTTCAGTAGAAATTCTGACTGAAACTAACCGAAACCAAAAGTTCAGTCAAATACTAATTATAACAGACATCAAAAACAATATATTATAAAAGACCAGAAATAACTATTCTCAACAAAGACAACAAAATAGTTTTCCTTATAGACATAGCAATCTGCAACACTCACAGCCTTAGAAAAACAATTTACTCGAAGTTGTATAGATTTTTCCATAGAAATTAAATCTCAGTGGTATCTTCATACTTCAACAGTAGCAATCACACTATCTTCAATGGGTGTTATTTCGAATACACTTCACACAAACCTTGAAATATTGCATATACAACCAGCTACATATACTGTCCTCCAAAAAGCTACTAAATACATGTTGCCTAGTGCCTAAATTCTTACTAATGTAACCATATTTGATTGATATCTTGAAACACTTAGCTTCAGCCATGTATAGAAAACTTTGTAAAGAGAAAAATAATAATAATTAATATCAATGTACTTATTATACAACTCCATCTAGTCACAGACTAAACAGACATACTTAAATACTTATTTTGTAAATTCATATATACTATATATAGAAAACACAAAGACCAACCATTGATAGGTGAGTGAGTGAGTGAATAAATCCTTGGCATTATAGTTTATGGCTAATGTTTTGTAGGGATCACAACAGTAAACCTTATAAATTTTATAATTAGTTAATTTCATAGTGTAACAAGTGTTACAATACACAAAATGGCCACTTATATATTTTATAGGCTATGCAAAAAGTGAAGCTATTGAAATAGTATGTTCTTAAGAGAAAAACTCTAAGACAAAAATAATAAAAAATTGTTGAATGAAATTATCTACATTTTATACATTTCTTGAGATTTATATAATTCATATATATATATATATATATATATATATATGTATATATATATACGTATATATGTATATATATACGTATATATGTATATATATACGTGTATATGTATATATTATCTAGATTTGTATCATACTAGAATTTTATTAAAGTTTTTATTTACAGGTAGCAAACAAGCTAACGGCCAACCAAATGGTAAACTGTCACCTATAGATATAAACAGTCCATGGGCACAACATAATACACTGTAAATATGAATATAATGCTGTCTTCTTTCTTGTAAAATATATCACATTTGTTTATTTTCCTCATTTTTATTCAATTATTACTTGAAAACTATTAATTAATAACATTTAAAAATCTGATGTCTTAATATTATAGTATAATAAACAAATCTTTTAGTAAGTAATAAAATGCATTTTTAGAGTTTAGATAAAAAACTTTTTATATACAATCTAATAATTCAATCATTAAAAGATTGATTAAGAGGATAACCCTTTACATTTCTAAATCTACATAACATTGATTTGTTAAACAAATATTGTTTATATCCAAACAATATTAAACTAAATAGTGATCATATATATATATACTATGAAGTATATTTAATTTAATGTAGATTAATATTTAATTCCTATTTCAATCACCGATACTTCATAATATAACTGAATAGATTCTGAAAGTAAAATGGAACTGCTCTAGAACTGAAAAGGGCTAAATAAGTTGTAAGATAATATATACATACAAACCTTTAGTTTATATAGTATTTATATATAAACAGCTTGCCACAAAGATATGAGGTATATTTTGAAAAAATACATGGGCACCTCGGGAACTGGCTAGGTTCACAAAATGAAGGTACGAGTCGGGACGAGATGACACGTAAGCAATGACACATGTCAAAGGTTATTGACAGTGCTTTCTCTTATTACTATCTTTTTTGATTAATTTCGTAGTAATTTAGCAATATAAGCTTATTATACGTTAGAGACATAACAATAATAGCTATAAATCATGCTACATTTCAATAATAAAAACGTAGATAGAATATTAAATAACAAGATAACAAGTGGCCATCATTATTTACTATGGAAATTGTACAATTTCTATATGTAGTTTCTGCTTACCTGAATAATTCAGGTCCGGTTACGTTGATGATTTAAAGATATTATACTACTAGCACAGTTTCAACATGTAAATAAATTGATAAATAACAAAAATTGAACGCCGAATAAGTGCGGCTTTTTTTGTTCAGTCAGTATTGTGTTACCATTATAAGCAGTGTTGCCAGATAAAACAAACCGGAATTCGCTAAAAATTGGACCTTAATTTTTAATCATAGTATCTCTAGTCTGTGGCCCTCAAGTAGAGATGGGCAATCCACCTGGGTGGGTTTAAAGTCTGGTGGGTAAAAACCGGGTGTTTTGGGTTTATTGGGTTTAAACCCCATAAACACCCAAATTTTTGGGTGTTTATGATTTTGTACTTCATCATCGTCATCTCAGCCGCAAGACGTCCACTATACTGGACATAGACAATATTATTATGCAGCCTACAGAATAAAAAACTTTTAATTTGATTTTGAGTTTATTAAGAAAGAGATGAAAGTAAAATGTAAAACTACAGTCAATCACTGTCAGATTCAGAGTTATTACAAGCGATGAATTGTATAGGTTCGATAGGCTCTATTTCGTCTAAACTGTTATGTTCATTTACTTGCTCAATGAAAGCTTCTAAGGTATTTTCTTCATTAAACTGAATGTCCTCGCATTCAGCTTTATGTTTAAGATTCCAGTTATAACAAATGAATGAAATTTTTTCAGTTCTTTCAGTTGTAAATCGATTTCTTTTGTTATTATGTATGTAGCCTTGGATACTAAAGGAACGCTCAGTGGCTGCCGAAGTACAGGGAGCTGATAGAATACGAATCGCTACTTTGCTTAACTCAGTGGAACCACAAATACCTTTCCACCATATTAGGGGCTCAATGCTATCTAATGAGCTCCATACAAATCCTCTGGCCCAAAAGTTTTCTTTAGCTTTATAACACGCCAAATCTGCCATTACATTTGACAAACTTAAGTGTTGGCTTAAATTGTAGATAAACTCCATACCCTTAAGTTCTTCCTCTTGAGTAAGTTCGACTCCTAGAGTCCTGGGGTCTAGAATATATGCTGCAAAATGTATTGGCCTCATTGCCATATTGCATCTTGAAGATACTGATGTTAGAATCTGCTGTTTGCTTTCTTCGCTCAATGTCGAAATCTCATTTAATGCAAAACGTATCTTAGCTTGTACATCTCTAAATGTAATATATGTGCGATGCAAACGATTCTGGTCGCTCTCTAAGTAAAATATGCTTTCAGTGACTGGTTCCAAAATACTTATACATTCCCCTGTCTTCGTCCAGAAATCATCACTTAGAATTAAATCTTTAATATCTCTTGAAATTACCACATCTTCTCTAACTGTTAATATTTGCAAAGCTATCTTATTTGCTTTCAAACTTTTTAACGAAGTAACATTACTTCCCCATCTTGTAGCACAAGGCAATTTTAGTGTTTGTGTAGAATCTTCACCCTGCCTTGATTTTATCAACAAGGAACTTAATCGTTGACTCCTTTTAACAGTTTTTATTATATTTATGGCTTGCATAATAAACACAGTTACTTCTTGTATCTTTACAATATCTTGGCACAACAAGTTAAGGATATGTGCACAGCAACCGAGAGGAACAACATGTGGATATTTGAGTTTTGTTAATTCGAATGCCTTTTGTATATTTCTAGCGTTATCGCCAATAAGTACAAGAAACTTATTTGCTCCATACACTTTCATTACTTTTTCAACTTCTTGGCTAAGGTATTCACTAGTGTGAGGATTACTTTCTGTATTCAAACTTTTAACGTATGCAGGTTGAGGTTTTGATATAAGAAAGTTTATTATTCCTTCATTTCTTAAATTAGACCAGCCATCGCACTGAAGGTGTAAGTAACTACAAGCATTTAGTTCCTCATTTAACTCAAAACGCATTTCTCTATATATTTTATCTAAGTATTTTGTCGCTAAAGCTTTACGTGAAGGTATTTTAAATTTTGGTTGCAATTTTTCGAAAAATTGTATCCATAAAGGATGTTGCACCATCGATAATGGCGTCCCTGTTACAAATATAGCTCTCGCTAATTCTGTTTTTATATGATCATCGGTGTCTTGAAACTCAGCATTTATTGTAGTGTTAGCAGACGACGAGGGGCTTATAAAAGAATCATTTGTCTCTATCTCTGACAGTCCAGACATTTTGGTTTTGGACGAGCTATCTTTTATAAGTTTCATAGAGTCTTTTAATGTTTCTGGAGATTTTGGACAAGTGATAAGATGTTGAAGCATTTTGGCAGCATTACTGAATTTGTAGACCTTATTACAAAGCTTGCAAGAAACAGACTTGTTTGGTAAAGTACGGTAGTGCTCCCATATGCGTAAATCTTTAGGTCTCCCCATTGAACCTAAAAAAATGAACGATGATTAGTTGGTCTGACGAAAATTCAACAATAGAGTGCCTATTTTTTTACAATGATTATTTCTTGTTATTTACAATAAATTTATTAAAAAAATAATAAAATAAATACAAAAAACCTTTGTAAAATTACATCTCCTCGGAGGATTAAACGCAGACGCTAGTTTATTATCGTATTGTTCTGTATTTTTCTCAGCAACTTCTTTAATTCGATTAGGTACTTACGCATATTATGTTAAAAATAAATATCTAGTACACATCTTAGGCTATCCACCATTATTATCCAATGACGACTCTCAGCTAACTATGCACTATCATCCAAAATAAACGTGTATGGAAAATTTTATCCCAGTCGGTTGAGGATTGAGGATAATTGCATCAACATACGAACATACCTACATACTTTTATTTACATAACGCAAGCTAAATAAAAGCTTGTAATAATACATCTAATTTTAAGTTAAAATTGTTAAGTGATCATGATATAATTGTATCATTCAAAAATCCACTTACCTTTAATTATTTCTTGTTAAGTATAAATATTATTTCAAATCTGCTCCCTTAATATGCACTTTTTTACTGCTTTTCCTACCTAACACGTTACCAGGAAGTCACGTTACCAGAGTCAGAGTAATAGTGAACACGTTTGACAGTGATTGTCGTCGCCTCATATTCAGCGTCGACGAATAGGGGAATCCCCAGTCATAATGTATTGCATGCGTGGCGGTCTTACTTCAAATCCATAAACAAAGAGATAATTACAGAACTCGATACTAGATGGCGCTGTTTTTGTTTGAAGAAAGTTTGCGGGCTAAAATACATAGAATTTCATCAATGACTTCCACAAAGAACAACATTTCTGTTTTTTCTAAGTCCGTATCTCTTCCGTATATTTCATAAGATATAAGCTTGGGCTACATTGTTATGCAACGTGATTTTGTCGCTGTCTTGCTAGCAGGGTTGACAGATATACGATTTAAATCGTACTCATACTATTATTTGTCTATTTTTTAATGTACGATCGTAAAGATTATGATCGTAATTCGCACAAAAACATACGACTTTTTGGTTACCTGGCAACATTTTTATTATGAAACGAACATGCTCACATCATCAGTCACATGCAACAATTTATTGGGGATTTCCCCTTCACATCTGGCAGTCCTGCTTGCTAGAATATAGGTAAGTCAGCCACAGTTACTGACGATCGATATTTAAAGGGTATTGTTTTTGTGCTAAATATTTCATAAAAACGTTATTTAATACTTTGTGGATTATTAATTTAGTTGATAATCACTGGAAGTAAAATGGATGCTAATTTGAGAGATCAAGATCTTCGTATAAAACAGTTAATAAAAGAAAATCTACGTAAGTACTCTTTTTATACCTAGGTAGGTAAGGTATAATAAACACAAAAGGTACTTAGATCGTGTGTGTTCGAAGCATTTATTCTAATAAATTTAATTTAAAATTGTAGAAAGAAAAAAATGTCTGCCAAGCCGTAGCCGAAGCCGATCTCCAAATATATTTGGCGATAGTGAGACCCAGTGTCCAGATGATTTACCCAGCGTCGTCGCAACAAAGAAAAAAAACGAGGATAAAGTAAAAGAAAATTTACTGAAAGAAGAAACAAACTGTTCTAAATGCTTAATTTATGGAGAAGAGGATAAAAGAAATGAGTATTTCGGACTGTTAGTGGTTCAAGAATTTAAATATATACGGCCATGTGTGCGAACGAGGTGTTATGAAGAAATTTTAAAGTATCTACGGGAAGCAAAAGGCCAACATGTTGATCAACTGCAACATGAAAACACTGAAAATTAATTACTTTCATTTTATTATATATAGATTTTTAAAATTTCCTGAAATATTATTAGTTAACGTTTTATTTAATATTGTAGAATTGATCAATACAATTTATAAAAATAATTTATTGGTATTACTTACATATTTTCAAAAAAATACGTAAAAACCTATTTTTTTGGGTGATTATGGGAGTTTATGGGTGTTTATTGGGTTTTTACCAAAGCACCGGGTTTAAACCCGGTGCTTTGCCCATCTGTACCCTCAAGTAGCCTAAAATTGTAAATTTTTTTTATTGCAATCAAAATTGCAATATAGCCTTAAAAACAAGGAATTACATAGAAGGAATGATAAAACCGTAAATCATATGATTGCCTCCTTTCTTCTTATACAAATATAATTAGTAAAAAGAGGACGAAAGATACTTTATCAGTTGTTATTTTACTCAATTCATAGCAGACTAGTGTATAGAAAATTTTATACGGCCGTATAACTCTACCAAATTAAGATATAATCTGCTTGCATACTTTCTACATTAACTGTGTTAAATATATAATCTAGAAATACAAAATTTGTCATTAATAAATAATTGACATATCAAACATTTTCTATACACTAACTACCGTAATTGTTTAAACCACAAAGTCTACACTTAGGCTCTTGAGCCTTGTTCTAAGACTCAGTAGCCTATCAAAAATTCATGATATAATTAAAGAAGTATAAATTTTGTAAATATAATGACGAACCCTATTAGTTAGCATTTTGTATATTTTAAAGACAGACAAACGCATGTATGTGTACAATGTATATATTAAAATTAAAAAAAAAATTAAAAAATCTCCAAAAAATTCGATTTAAGCTAAGTTTAGATTTGATGCATTCCAGAGACCGTAAAAATAAAAAAATAAAAACTGTCAGTGCAAATGCCAATGTCAGTAATTAGTCAATCGTTGTAATTGAAATTTGTCAATTATTGTAATATTAACAGCTGTCCTCTTTATAATCATTTTATATCTTTATTTTCAATAACATGTTGCGTTCTTATTATTTTATAAATCTCCAACGTTAAATTGTGAAAAATAACAGATCTTCGTTAAATAGATTTAATCTCCAAGTATGTCGATACCTCCACTTGTTTGTAGCACTCCTCCACCTCCTGACCAATGCGAGGATGACAAAGATGCTGAAGATTTTGATATGCAGTATAACCGTAAGTATAATAGCTCAAATTGATGTAATCGAATAAATAATAATGATATATAAAGCACTTATAACACATCATTGTTCCTCATTATAAAAATAATAGAATGTATTACTTTCACAAGTTATCTTTAAATTCAATTTGAACCTTGAGAAAATAAAGTACTATAAAAGATAGTAGCGGTAATGGTAGGACCATATTCTTCCTTCATTACTTCAAAACAATGGGATTCAATTGGCAAGTCTGGTTGATATGCTCAGAATTCCATTTACATTATAATCATTGTCCTACATTTACATAAGTCAAATAATTAAAATCGAATGCTTTAAAGATCTTACACTTTTCTTCCTTTTTTTTATATCTAATTTTTAGGCAAAACCAACAAGCTTCCTATCTTTGACTGAGTATAGATTTTTTGACAATTGCTGCAAATGACTATTTTATATCTCTCATTAAAATCAGTATTTAAAATTACAGTTGTTCCCATTTCCACAGACATGTGAAAATTGCACAGATATGTGAAAATCCCATTTTCAAAGATATATAAAAATCTTTTATAATACTATTATGTTCATCATCCAAATAATCTATTAACCATATTGAATTCCTCTTCTTCTTATGCCAGCTTATTTGTTTAATATAGAATTTATTCCTTGTTATCTAGTGACTGACAACTATTCAAAAAATAATATAACAACCCACTTACTTATATAACTCAATTACAAAATCAGTTTAATAATTGTTTATTGTCTCATTTATAATTACTTCATTAATATATATGTTGTATAAAAAATATCAGCAAAAATCACTAATACTTAATTTGGGAAAATTATGATATCTAAAGAAAAAAATGCTTATGTTATTCTTACACTGTGGTACACATGAATCCCACACCACTTGTAGAGGTATTAATAAAATTCTACATTCATCTACTTATATCTACTTATATTCTACCACATCTGAGTATTCTGATACTTCTCTATGGTTGACCGGAAGAGGATGCTTATAGCATTAAATCTGCGATGTACACATATATGTACTAATGAATAAATAAATAAAATAGTTTTATTAATCAGTAATAATCATAATTAAACTAAAATACACAAGAGCTAACATCTGTATATTAACCATAAGTTAAGAAATATAAAAATAAACCATTCAAGGGTGCCCTAGCATCTCATGTAGGGTTCAAAAGTTAATATTGTCTATTTCCCATAGAGACTATGATTTTCACATCACACTGTCATTAAATAAAAGATTGTTTATAAAGCATTTTTGATTGAATTTACAGTTTCAAATTATGATGATGAAGATAACAGTGATTATAATTACGGAGATTTTAGTTCATATGATCAGTTTGAATCATCATTATCAGAAAAAAAGGATGAATCTTCAAGTACTGAAAAAATTTTAAAAAATTATAACAAAAATGATGATATTTTAAAAGAAGAATCTGAATTACAAGTTGAAGGAATAACAGGGGCCAGTATAACAAATAATTTGAGTACTGAAGAAGATATTGTTGAAGATTTAGATTTGAAACTGGATCAAGAGTCTGTGAGTGCCAGCAGTAAAAATGAGGCAAAGTATGAAGATACATTAAATGACAATGACACACATAGTTCCATAAAAAATGAACTGTCAAACATTCCAAGTAGTAGTAACATTAATATTAGTCATAATATACCATCTAGAATTCAAAATATTTTAGAAGATTCAACCAAAGGCTTAGATCATGTTGAAGAAATAGAATCTTTTAATGTAGTAGGTGAAAGTAATTTAGAAATAAATAAAAGTGAAAATTTGCAAGATTTTCCCATCCAAAAAGTATGTGTATCTGAAATAAATAAAGAAGAATTTCAGACATCTTCTGTATGTGATACTGTATCTGAAATAAATAAAGAAGAATTTAATATATCTCCTATATGTGATACTATATCTGAAATTAATAAAGAAGAATTGAATACATCTTTTGAACCTAAAAATGAAAACGTATTAAATGATGACTTTGATGACTTCCAATTTATTAATTCTGATGATAAAGTCATTGACAGTTATCCTGCTATTGCTGATACATGTGAAAATCCTTGGGAAAATAATGAAGGGGAAAACTCAGATTTTGGTAATTTTACAGCAAATTTTGAAAATAATAATAATGATCAGTTAAATACCACATTAACACATACTGATTTATCTTCTGATAATAAACAAATTGAAACACAAATAAACTTAACACATTGTGTTGAAGATGATGAGGATGATTTTGGAGATTTTGATGACTTTAGATCATCTGGTGTAGAATCTACAGAAATGGTATTACCTCAAGAACCTGCATCCGTTTATCAACAAGTACCAGTTTTAAATTTACAATCACCAGATAATGAAGTTCAAGTTATGGAAAGAATAAATAAAATTTTAAATTCAATATTTGAAGAAGAATTAACAGAGACTGATGAAAAATTTGAAGCAACACTTGATGGTTTACTTAGTGAAACATGGGGTCACTTGATGGAAACTGATGTAAGACAACCTTACATGGTAAACTGGAATAAATCACTAGCACAGAAAACTTTATTGAAAGCTTTATGCATTGATTCTAGAAATATTGTAAGTACATTTAAACTAATGTTTAAACATCTTTCTTTATTATAAAGTTATGTTTGTACTCGTGGTTCATATTAATTTTCTACCTGATATGTAAACAATATCGACTATCTTAATCTAATATATACATCTCTTTCTATATGTTCCAGTATACCTCAAACTGAACACATTATTTTGAGATAAATGTTTCATTTTACTTACTTTGATAATAGTATTATGTTGAATTCCTAATATGTAATAATAATTAAATAAACAATAGAGTAATATTAATGTATAAACATTATGTATCACGATTTTAATTTAAATGAAATTTTTTTAAAGTTTGCTTGAAAAATAAAACAGTTTTAACCCAATATGAAAAAATGTAATCACTAGGCACATGGCAGCATGGGGCAAAATCTTGTTAGGTGGATCAGCTAGCCTAGCTAAATATTTTCTTGTTTTATATGATTATCAAGATTAAAATTTTCAATTAACTTTATTTATGTTACTTCTTTGGTCTATTTATTGTACCAGTTGATATGTTCATCATTTTTAAAATTGCAGTTATTTGGTCCCAAGTGGAGTTATAATAGTATGCCAAAATATGCTGCAAACCTAAGCACAGCACCTCTTCAACCACAAAAGCAAGCCACACCAAATACACAGAATGATATCCCTAATATTGATAAAGTGACAAACAAATCTGGAACATGGACTGACCCATTTACATCAAATGGACAAGAATGTAAGTATTGAAACTGGAAATATTTATTAAAATTATTAGTTTAAATTATGCATAGGTCCATATATATGTACAACTACAATGCGCAAATGGTAAATTATGCCGTGAATACCACTAACAAATTAGCAATTTACAACACGAGTTTTGCACCAAACTTGTAAATGGCAGGTTGGTTTTCATGCACTTTTTGTTTACCACACTACTAAATAAATAATTTAAGTGTAAAAATTAAAATTAAAAAGAGAATTGAAGAAATTTTCGTGCTGTAACATAGCATCATAGAACATCACAATATATGAACTAGATTAATGCTATTTTCTCACAAGTGTACATTTTTTTGCATGTCTTGCACATGGATACCTTACCACCCATACTCTCCGCTTGATCCAATTATCCTATAGTCACTTATGCTGAAGCCCTCCTCCTAGATTTAGAACATCTCATGGCTACTCTTGATCAAATGGCTCACAACCATTCAACTTTGAAGATATCCGAATTACTTTCACATGGTAAGTAACATTCTTATCAAAAGGGAAACAAATACTAGTTCAATTGCACAAGCACTGTGTATAAGTGTACTAATGTAATAATATTAATATAGAATGAAACCTGTATGTATATTATGAGAATTCAAACAACCAAGGTCTGGTAACACAACACGGCATAATCTAGAATACCAAGCAAATTTAGAAAAGCTTTTTCCTAAATTAAATCGAGAATCAAAACCGGGAATTTAATTATAAAAAGGGAAGTGCCTACTACTGTTCAGTGTAGTAATCCTTTAACTATGTACTGTTACCTTAGTAATAGCAAACTAAATTATTTTTCTCTCGCTTATATTTTGTATTTCGTCATGAATGTAAAATTCGGCATAATAAAATTTATCAATCAGCAACACCTATTTTCTCTAAGTATCTTGGTCATGCAGACAAGTGTAGATCTTTTGCCATCCTGTTAGCTTGGGACATGGAGACAATTAAGTCAACTGAATTATACCAAACCACCATTTATAACATTATTTATATTTAAATTAATTTATAGACAGACTGACAGACTGACTTTCAGACAATCCCTATGAGGCTTTTTTTTTATACAACTTAGAATGGCAAACAAGCTGACGGCCCACCTGATGGAAAGTGGTAACTGTCGCCTATAGACATGAGCAGTACCATGGACATAACAGAGTATACTGTTTCGCCCATGATATCCCCTATGCGTTGCCATTCCTAAGGACTCAGGTGTTATTCCTCTGTACCCTGTAAATTCACGCCATATCCCACCCTTTAAACCGAAACACAGCCATGCAAACACAACTGCTTCACAGTTGAAACACGAATGGGACTAAGGTACCCAAGCAATCGACTTTTGTACATTGGTATAGTCACTCCAGTGTACTAAAGTCTCAACAAAAATTTGAATAAAAAAAAAATGTTCTGTCAATATGTAGTTATTCTGTAGTAGAAGAAGTAGTAGTGAGAAGATCTAGATTAATGTAAAGTCACAATGAGTCTAACTTTTAATAGATATAAATAAAAATTTATTAATATAACAAGCCTGCAATATAGTAAATATTTTTTTATGTTTTGTAAAATAACTCTAAATATAAAATTTTCAGCCTGCAGTAACAACAGTGATAAAACAGTTATAGAACCAACTCCAACTGATTTAGATGTATTTGAAGCTGCAATTTCCACTAAAGCAGATAAAGTATATTCAAGTACTTTAAGCGTTCAACCCATACGTCAAATAAATCTTCCTGACACCCATATTTTTACACCCACTGATTCAGAAACTCCAAGGTCTAAAACAATCCATTATAACTGTGGGCCCGCTCCTACAGTACTCATTCCTAAACCAGTTATAGACAATCTCCAAAATAAGGAAGATAAAATTAATAATTCTCTTGATAATGTAATTGGTGACACTGATGAATACTGGGAATTTCAAGATTTTAAAGGAACAACTGATACTAATTCCTCCCAGCCAACTGTTAGCTTACCTCAAAATCAGCTTCAAATAAAAGAAGACTCAATTTGTAATACCTTACCTAAATCAAATATCATTTATGAAACCCAATTGTTGCAACCTATTAAGATGGAACCAATAATGCCCACATTGAATTGGCCTGACCCTGGCGAAGTCAAAGAAACATTTGATGATTTCTCTAATTTTATATCCAGTTCTTCTACTAATAATGAGAAACAAGATGTTAGAGATACACGAACTGTTAATCATAACACATCAGATATTACGTTAATAGATAAGAATGTACTTACTGTAACTAAACAAATAGAACAAACACTAGTGGTCAGCGATAGTTACGATGATGATTTCGACACATTCCAATCTGCTTTACCATCTAATTCAAAAACAATTTTCGAGTTAAATTTTAACAATTTAGAAAGCAAGTCATCACACAACGTTCAAAGTCAGAATGTATCAGCACCATTGAGAAAAACTGATTTCGATGTAGATTTTCCAGTAAATGATAATCTGAAGTCTGATAACATATCATTTACTAATAACGCAATGTTAAATGATGCTTCATCGACCAACATAGATATTACAAGTTCCCAAGTACTCAGTACAAGAACCGGGACAGGGGTAAATCCATGTGTACCACTAGAGAACACAAATATGTTACAACCAACACTAACACCCTATACAGGCCAAATGCAGTCAACAAGCAGTGGACTAACGCAATCTCAGCAAAAGAGTGGTCAAATTCTACAACCATTGTCGTTGGAAAGTTATTCTCAGATTAATTGGCCCAACCCGGGTATAGACTTGCAAGATTTATCACGATTCAATCCTGTGGAATCACTTCAGTCTTTGAAAAGTGATTCTACAAGTGGCCACAGTAAAACTGCTTCTCCAGTTCATAATAAAAAAAATATTGTAAATAATCAAACTGTTGACGATGATATTTGGGGTGAATTTGTGTCAAGTAAACCTAAACCGCAACCGACGCCACCAAAAAAATCAAGTTTTGTTGACGACGATGAATGGACAGATTTTGTTTCAAGTCCAAGTGTAAAACCAAATGGTTTAAATACAATCAGTTTTAATGTTCATACTAATTCGAGTATCCAAAAATCGATGAATCAAAACAAATATGGCATGAAAAATAATGAAATACCTTTAGACATTCCAACTTTGAATTACATAACACCTAAAACCAATAATCATAATTCATACAATGATAGACACTTTCAAAATTTATAACAGCATATAGTAAGTAATATTATTATATAAATTATAAATCATCACTTGTACTTAATTGTAGTAATTATCTGTAAATAGAGGTGGTGGTGTATACATATAATATACTTTTAAAAAGTTTCAGGTAATTTGTAATATTGTTTGTATATACTTATTGATATATATATATATATATATATATATATATATATATATATATATATATATACTCATTACAAATAGAAGTTATATGGTACTAAATTTAAAACTGTAGTAACAAAGAGCACATTGGAAGCATAGAGAGAAACCCGTCCTTATAATTTTCATAAAAATGAGAGACTATGCTTGTTGAAAGATGTTGCTAGTATGTCTATACCTATCGTAGTAGTACTTTAGATGCAGAAACAATGAAAGATTTTTATGAATAAAGCAATACTTAAATTTTATGAGTATTAATACAACTTGTTTCTGTGTAATGTTTATCAATAAAATATAACTGTACCTAATCCAGGTGACAACTATTTAAAAAAAAATGTATTATTATATAATTTAAATAAAATTATATAATTGAAAAGAAAAATTTTGATTTTATAACAAAATTGGTACAATAATTATGTTTAAATAGTTGTCTACTATACATATTTTCTATACATTGTAAATGAATGTGTTATAATAATAACATACCATTAGTCTTATATAAAATCTTATTCAATGGAAATAAAATTAATATGAAAAAGGTTGTAAAGAAAAATTTAGTTTGAAATTAAAACTATTATTTATTTCAATTATTATATTTCTTTATCAGTATTTTATCAATAAGGTAATGTAATTATTAGAGCTTGTTTCACCATTCCTAGATGGCCACTAACTGCTAGGCAGAAATAGAAAATAATATAAATATATCTACATTGTCAAATTTATGATTTTATCTATGAGCAGCGAAGCAAGCTCTCAGACTGATAACAATGGCGAAATTTTCGTTAAAATTATACAAATATAGTGTAACTGTTTTATTGTTTCTAAAGAATTGTATTAAAATATTTCTCTGAATTATTTCATATAATGTAAATATAAAGACAAAATACTTATATCCTTCTGAAGTTATTTTTTATTTTCACATCATGTCTCTGTTTCCGAGTCTGAGTTTTCTATTTCGTCTATGTGCGTACCAATATTGTCCTTATCTTCATCTTCAATAGGTATAATAAATTTTGGCAAGTTATTTTCCATTGTTAATCTAAACTGACATTGCTCAAATTCTGGCCATGACACAAATCTAAAATTCAAAAGGAATCAATAACATTACTGTAAGTAATAGTTTAAAATAAATCACCTAATAGGTACCTATTATATGTCTATAGTATTGTTATTTTCAAAATATTATAGATAGCAGCGGCGTTAAAACACACTGCCTCAGTTCAATCCTTGGGTGTTTCTATGTATAATATATATGTACTTAAAAAAAAATTAAGTTCTATCTCATTTCTATTACAAACTTTAAAAAATGTTTATCTATGTCCTTGACGTTTCAACTAGGTTGCATTAACTATGATCACGAGTTAATCCAATAGATAATGAAAAATACATACTTTTTGAAAATGGTTATCTTCTGACTAAGACTGAGATCCCCAAATTCTGTGAATATTGTCATATGTGGAAGTTCAGCGTCTTCTTTACCTGGTGCTATTTCTTTATTAATGTCAGGAGGATCTTGTCCTGAGATTAGCCATATGCCACATCCTGGTATCCACTGCCTAAAAGCGGAACAATATTACAATATTTTCTTTAATGGATAATGGAATGGTAAACCCCTCTCTCCTCAGGATTGATAGTAATATCCATTGCTAGCAATATACTCAGTTAGGTCGACCTCTATATGGTCCACCGTGGAAACTATTGTGCTGAATTCCAGGTGTATTCATCAAGTTGCGCTAACTGACCTGCCTTTTCATTGTCACCTAAAATCCATCACTGGTGCCCCGCCAGCGTAGGCAGGGTTACCATTCCATTAAAAAAACCCCTTTCTCCGAGGGGATTATTTATAATAGGGGGTCTAACAGTCCCATTGCTAACAATATTCCCTATCAGGTCGACCCCTACTCGGTCCCCCTAGAAACCATCGTGGTGAAATGCCGTTAAATTTGTCATGTTAGATTAATTGACCTGCCTTCATTTTCATCCCACACTGGTATCCAGCCATTGTATAACAATAGCGCAGCGGAGGCTACCATTCAAATTTTATTTTTAAAAAGGCCTTTTCCCTTGCGCTGTCGGTATACATTGATGAGTAATCAGTGAGGAATAATAGGCGTGGACGAAAGCCAGTCAGTTGGGTTATCGTGACGAATTCAACAAGATGCCAGAGGGAATCGTGTAGATGTCGACCTAACAGTACCCATTACTACTAATTACTTACCCCGATACTTGTTTTCTTGATAAGTGAAAATGGTATGGTTATAACCCCGCCTGCGCTAACAGGATACGCTGGCGGAGCAGTGAAGGATAATAGATGAGAATGAAAACAGGCCAGTTAGCCCATCATGATGAATTCATCAGAAATTAACTATTAACCGGTTTGCACCTGTACTGCTCAGTTTGCTCCCACTTATCAGGCTATTTCTCTGCTCAATTCTCTGATTGTTCAGCAGCCAGATATTGATATATTTATAGTTTCCAGGGAGAACCGCGAGGAGGTCGACCTGGTTGGGTATATTGCTAGCAATGGGATTATCAGTCTCCATTACTAACAATCCTCCCCCCCCGATACTTGTATAGGTACTTGTATATACTTGTTAGGTCTAAGTTACGCTTGCTTTAGGTCTAAGGTATGCTTTTTTTTACTAACGGATGTACTCGTATTAATTACTTGTATCTTATTTGTACTGACGGTTCTTCTAAGATTATTTATTTGAACTCTATGACTTTGACCATGTTGTGCATAAGTCGTGGTTACAGCTACCTAGTAAGTAATTAATGAAATGCTGGAATGCCTTACATAAAAGAAAATCATATTCGTTGATTATGCACAGACAACTGTGAATATTATTAACAAGAATACATAAATAAGCACAGAAAACTTTTTGTAGATTTTCACAATTAATTCATTTGACTGATTCTTATAAATTTTTAAGGTTGGGTTAATAAATAGGACTTTCTCTCTACTTTATTATTAAATTTTCTAGTTGATTTTATCATTTATTCTTATTACTGGTAAGTATATATTTTTTAGTAAGTATATATTCTTTGCATGATAGAATCTAAAACAATGTATGAAAAAGAACCAAAGTAACCGACATAGCCTGAAGGGTAAGCAAGCTGAAGTAGCAATGGGCACATAGCTCGAAAATCCGATAACCAATGGAGAAGAAAGGTTCTTGAGTGGTGACTCCGTACGGGCAATCACAGTGTACTACGATCCCCACTAGATAAAGTGACGACCTTAAATGCATTGCAGGGAGTAAGGAGATGCAGGTGGCTCAGGACGGTTCCTTATTGCAGTCTATGGGAAAGGCCTATGTCCAGCAATGGACAGACAATGGCTGAAATGATGATGATATATTTTTAATTTTTATTTTATGGAAATTATTTAATTTATGGTACTCACTCTAACATAGGTATAACTTTTGTAGATTTAGAAAACATGTGTGGTTTGAAGAAATACCATAGCAATGGTAAATATTCAGGTGGACAAGGCAATTTCTTCTTTTGTGTTATGTTAACTAAATACATACAATGCTCATCCATCTACAAATAAAAATATTACATTGCCAAAAATAACAGTAAAAAATATATGCACTTAGTATATTTTAAACCGACAAATAAACGAATACCTAGCTGCATCATTTCATTTTAATAAAAATATTTTTACTTCAGTTTGTGTTTTGAAAAAATAGGCACATAATTTTTTTTTATTTTAAACCATTAACGCATAATACATAAGTAAACTACATATAATAACTTTATTAATCTTTCATATGTAAGTAAAAATTATAAATTTCTATGGTAATATATACATACCAGTGTCATCCGTTTACTAGTTGCTGGAAATGTCCATGGCAAAAAATGAGCTTTTGGTACTGTATTTAATACTTTAAAATCAAACAACAGCTGAAATAATGCTGGAGTCGACTTATGCTTTTTTAACTGTATTTGACTATCTGTAAGAAACTGTAATAATTAAAGAAACATATGTTTTTATATAAAAACTGCATATTGTTAAAAAACTTCATGCTATTATAAGGGTTTATTCCAGAAATAGCAATACTTTTAACTATTTGACCATCTTTGTAAGTAAGAATACATAAATTATATAAAATACATAAATTGTATGATCAACCTCTTTCAATATACTCTGGCATTATCAGAAAACAAAAACAAAGTAATAATATTATATTACTATATTTCTTTTTATCCCATTATAGAATATGTTTTGAATATTATTCATCTAAAATATAGTAATGTAACAACTATATATATATACTTACTTCATAATGATAACCAGGCATGGTAATAAAGAGATCTGGTCTTCCTAATTGGTTTGTTGTATTGTGAAAAATAATATTGTTTATCAAATGCCTCACAAAAGATAAGCCAGGCATTGACCCAACTATTTTCACTACTCTATCTGAAAAACAATATACTTTTAGAATTTGTGCTATTCAAAGGTACAGTACTTACATAAATCCATATTTTTTTACTATTTCTCTAAGTTTATGAACACAAATAATTTATTTGCATGTTATTTGTTTTACTAACAATCTAAATAATAGATGAATTTTCTCAAGAATTTTAGTTTCTGACAAACGGTATCAATTACCTTTTACCAATCTCATTTTTAACATTATCTGTTGTTAATAGGTATAGGCAACAAAATGTGTTAAAGCTGCTTACGCTTCTTATGTATGAATATAACGAAAGCAAGTCCCTGGTTTATTTAGGTATTGTAAACAGGCTTAGTACAAGCACTTACTATCCTTATACTTTATATCCTTAAATATACATGTACAATTACTATAACGATATGTTATCGCGACAACATTGCTATCAAATCAGATAATGGTTGACAATAATTAGTAATGATAGGCAATATTTGAATGCGAAATTTTTATCACATAATATATTTAATTGAGTAACTATGTGTGTGACCAGAACAAGTTTATTTACTAGGATAAAGAAGCAAACTATTTAGTATACCCATCTCCTATATACTAATATGTATGTATACTAATTTTATAAAAACAATCTCATAAATTTTTGTAAAAATGAACATAACATTTTCAACATCTTTTTAAACATAATAACAGATTCAATTTACATATACATTAAATGATGCCTGAATAAATTATTGAGATTTCAAGATCTTATCATTACCATATCAGCACTGAACTATTCACTGTTGAATATAGGCCTCCCCCTTGGAGAGCTTTACTAGTAGTTGCCATGCTAGACAGGCAGACTGACAATCACAGTTATGTTTTAGTGATGTTTTAAGAGGGAATTACTGATGCCGATCCCTCAACCATTAAATTCCTTTAGTCACCTCTTACATTCTCACTCATAGAAAAAGAAGGGGTGGCCCTTTCTAAGCCGAGACCATACATCTAGAATATAATTGTAATGAATACTCACCATTATTATCAGTAGCTAAATCACCTAACAGATCTTTAATTCTAGTACCTTGATCCATTTTGTCTTTAAAAGCTAATTTCCACATACCAAAAAAATCTGCTATTTTATATTTTAATCTACCAGGATGCTGCATTTGTAACTGCTGTAAATGTAAGTACAATTGAGAAATAGACAAGTGTATGTACTATATTTTTACCTCCTTATTCATAAAAATAAAACTGTTTTTAACTATGACAATGTTTTGTCAATTCATAATTGATTCAAAACTGGGACAACTTTTCCTTTTTAAAACGTAAAAATACAAACTCTGTACTGTGATCATGTTGTATGGCTTGTTCCTTTGTCTTTCCTGTTGTGGATAAATTGATACTACTACTATTGAGAAAACAAATTTTCACATTCAACATACATAAAATCAGACATGTCAGAGGATACTTTTATAAATTATATTTAAGAAACATTTGACATTTTTATAAGAGTATGAGTAGTAGATATAAGTTATGAAATAATACTTACATTTATATGAGATGAAAAGTGGTTCAATGATTCAAACATATAAATATGATTGATTTGTGAGTTGAGCAGTTCCTTAGTTAAATATCCTAATCCAGGATTTACTTCCACTACCGGTGAAGATTCATCTATATGTTTGTTAAGTGTAGCTGCTATTATTTTCGCTGTTTTTTTATTTATCAAATACATGCTTTCTGGAGTTTTATATTTTTTAAGCAACCCTTTGGGTAACTGTTCTTTCAAGTCTTTATATTCAGGAAAGTTATCTAAATAATTAATAACATCATTAGCAGCTGCTGGTTCTGATTTCTTGTTTAAATTGTCTAATTTATGTTTAAATCTGAATGTATACTTTTGGGGATCACTTTTCATAATAACGATTAGTTTTTGAGCTTTTCTAGCAAACATTTTTTATTAATATAATATAGATTTATTTAATAGAAAATTTGATTATTAACAATAGGAAGATGAAGAAAATAAACATACATAAAACATAACCTCAAATTTTTTGGTTCTGTTTTTTTTAGATTAATGTACTATCTTGGAACACAGATAAGAGAGTCTGTCTTAATTATATTTGAGTGACGCGGTTTGTCACTATATGACAGTCTTAAAGTTTGACAAGAGTAAAAAAAAACATTTCAGTTACTATTCTTAATCTATGAAAAACTCAAATATTACGCGAACCGTTATTAATTGTTAAAAATATTATCTTTCTGAATTAGGTATTATTTTGCGTAATTCCATATCACTTTTTATTTGTTCAGAAGTTATATAGATATAACTTTTTATATTAGCCATCTATCGTCGAATACTATTAGTATTACTTAGTACGATTGCTCTTTAATCGCTAAAAAATATTTAATGCACTTTGATAAACAGTGCCATTTGCGATAGTTACAACAGACAATTAAGTGCGTTTATAACATAGTATAATGTAATTACGTATGTTTATAACCGTAAACTTAGTATAATATATTTACGTACATTTATAACCAAAAGGTGCATATGTAATTTCAGTAATGTTATCGGTTCGAAACTATCGACCTGTAGAGATCCTAGTTTTTTTTATTTTTTAATGGATGATAATGAAATGGTAAACCCGCTTGCGTTATCAGTATACGCTATCGTGATGAATACACCTAGAATTCAGCATGATAGTTTCCAGGGAAGATCACGTGGCGGTCGACCTGATAGAGTATATTGTTAGCAATGGGACTAATAGTCTTTATTACTAACAATCTCTTCCCCCCCTTGGGGATCCCAGTTTTAAGATACGATAGCATGAGCCGAGGTTGATACCGCTTTGTCGTGTGCTCAGGCCAAAATGTTACATATCCGGGGGCAGATGACAGCGAAAACTCATAACTTTCGCGACTTTACTGTCTGCACTCACCGCCATTACATTCGATAAAGTTTTAAATATCATCTGGGGTAGACACAAGATAATTCTAGGACGAGCACGGATTTCATTGTAATTCATTCAGTAGTTGTTGCGTGAAAGAGGACCAGTACAAACTTTTAAAAAAGTTTATATAAATTTTCATATTTATAATAGTAGTACGATTTTTCGCTTAACCAACTTTGAAGATTAAGAGGTAAGAATGATAGTAATATTTTATTTTGTTTTTTTTTTTTTCATATTTCTATAATAACGCAGTACAAGAAAAAATCTGTTTTAAAATGCACTTATGAAGCTGTTTCATATGATACTCTACTTAGTCTAGTAGGTCCATTTCGAAATTTAGAGTAGAAAATAAAAAAAAGAAAATAAAAATATGTGTATAAAGAGATAAAGATATCCCAAAGACAGTGATAGACGTCCGGACGTAAAAAGTAAGTCGCACTATAAAAGTTCTTTTGTTCTTTTTGTATAAAGCTCTAAAAGTTCACAAGAATATGAGATAGAAAAATGTCCTTTATGAATCAATGATTTTTATTTCTTTATATCTAACTAGTTTTATGCGCGTTACTTCTTACTACTTAAAGCCGTATCAAATATACAAACGGCCAAACAAAATTTTTTAAAATTATTGTTTTAGTATCTATTGATCTTCTTAAGATCCTTCATATTAAGTTTTCTTCAATTTAGTATATTAGTAAGATAAACCGGTTTCGGCAGTAATGTACAAGAATCCTTATTCTTATTGTACTAGACAGATAAATACTCAGACAGATAGATAGATAAATAAATAATATTTACTTGATAATATTTTTAACAAAAATTAGGTAATAAATATTTATATGTTTTATTATTATCATAGCTATAGCATTATCCTTTATGTTGTTAGGTGTAAATAGTTATTGTTAAAATTCTTTCATTGAAAACATTAAATCGCACCAAAACATTAAATGTGAAAAAATGACAAGTGTTGCAGATTCAAGTTAAAATGTTAAAATTAATTCTTTTTAATATTGCACGTATTGGCTACTTATACTTTTTTACTGTAGAAAAATATAATACAATCTGTCTTCTGAATTCTAATTTAAAAAAAAAGATGTTGAAAACATAATATGTATTTTATTTATCTCGTTGTCCTTATAAATATATAATAGTGTAGCCGCAGTTGCATCGCAATTATCGCATTTTTCTACACCAAGTCTTGCAACACTTTCATTTCAGTTCAAGAAGAACTTTCTATTACAAAAACTTGTAAAATCCCATGTAAAACCAAGTCAGTTATTTTAATTAGTGTTCATGGATTTATTCAATATTATTCAATAGCTTTGTTATACATTGATATCAAATCTAATTACTTATTAAAGTTTTTAGTGACCGTATTAGTATTAAACATCTTTATTTCTATAATAATTATAATGACTTTGCAATTGCACGACATTCTACTAATAAAATAATTTATTCTTAAGTGCACTGTTTAAATTTACTTAGCAATCGAAATAGTAGATTTTGTATTACACTGTCTCATCTTATCTTATTAATATAATAAAATTGTAATTAGACGATGTCTGTATATAGTAGTTATTTAAGAAAATAATAATATATAGGATCTTAATAAAACTAATAAATGTCAAAACAATAATTTTTAGAAATGTTGTGTGTCTGTTTATATGTTTGTTCTAGCATCTCGCAAAAACTATTGCACCAAATTGGGTTCAGTTTTTACAGTTGTATTCTTGAAGGTCTAACTTAAAATTTGGGGTATGTTTCATCTTAATACACTATCTAGAAATGGTGATTTCAGAAAAAGGAATAATGAATTCCTTTTTTTGAAATCCCCGCATACGAAATAACGGGCTAAAAGCTAGTTCTTTTTTAATTATGGTGCTGTGTAATAGCCAGGTCATTATAATTATTATGAAAATAAAGATTTATTGATACGGTCACTCTAGTTATAATATATTATAAACTTTGATCACTAAAAATTCAAACCACGCTTTACCCACAATGAAATTATATGGGGGTCAAAAGTGACGTAAGGCGCTTCCAGAAAAGGATGGTACGGTTGTGCTTGACTCGGCGGAGGCACTACCGTGCCCCTTGAAACATGTCTGCATCGTTTTATGAGATTAACAAACAGAGAAGTGTTACATTTTACATGTATCTGTTAATGTATAGTGTAACGTAAAATGTAACTAACACATCTGTTTTTGAATATGGTCCACTATATTCTTGAATCTACATCGGTGCAAGCGAATGTAAATAAATATTTATTTAGGAGAAGTTCAGGAGCATAGCATAGCATAGCTCTCTCGAGATAAACTGGTATTACTAGAATGGTGAAGTACATGCTCCTTATAATATGTACAGAAAGCCTCAGCAGAATAAATATTATCTAATATTATATCGTAATGTCCTCGCGTCTATAGAAATCCTATCACATTTACATTTTCTATCAACTCTTAAAAGTCTGCAATCATCATTATGTAATCAATATAATGTATTTAGATAAAGTTTCTATGAGGCTAATCTGTAAGTAGTACATCCTTTAAGATAAATAAGAATTTTTCAAATCGGTTTATAACTGACAAAGTTATAAGGTAATAAACATGAAAAAGTACGACAGAATTAGGTACCTCCTTCTTTTTGAAGTCGGTTAAATAATTAAGTACCTATATTTTTTTCAGAAAGCAAACAAACGAGATATTTAATTTTATTTAATTTGTCATAAAAGTTTTGTTTATAGTCCTGAACTTACAATGTAAGGTACGACATGAAAACAAAAATTGATCGAGTGCGAATTGGGCTCACACATAGATCGTAATAAAGATTTTTACCTGTACCTGTACACTAATATTATAAAGAGGAAAGATTTGTTTTTTTTTTATGTTTGTTTGTAATGGATAACTTCAAAAACTACTTAACCGATTTTAAAAGTTCTTTCACCTATAGAAAATTACATTTATCAGCGAGTAACATAGGCTGTATTATCTTAAAAAGAATTAAGAAGTTCTTGTGAAAACTACATAATCTACATAATTTAAATTTAGAAAAACCTTTTATTGGCCGTACAACTTCATTATAAAATGTTTGTTAATTTTATTTGTAAACCGCTGTTGATTTTTTAAAATAAATAAATAAATTACTAAACTAGATTTGTAAGTTACATTGTCAAGGGAGTCAGTGGATACAGGTGGCTCAGCGCTGTTACTTATGACTGTCGATAAAGGAGATCTATGTTCTTCAGCAGTGAATAGATAAATTATTGTGAGAATTTTAAGCGTATTTATTTTTACTTATGACGTAAGTCCATGTCGTATGAACCGTAAACATATTTTGATATAAACTGTGTTAGGAAAAATTATACTTTTCTTTTTTAGTACTATCACCGATAATTTATTACTGTACGTAATATAACTGTAATTCAAATTTTTCTCTTAAAAACATTTAGAGAGTAGTTTGTACCCTATATCCTCTCTGAACATATCAATGTGGATGGACGATATCTTAGTGTTACGACTTTATCCGTGTTGTTAACCATAGATAGTAGTTAGTTCTTATTATTTGTTTTTAACGGTGCCTTTTTATCATTTCGCTACAGAAAGAAGTACAGAAAAATAAACTACAACTCAATCTTTTTACTGAAATATACCTACTTAAGTATTATTTTAGTTTCTACTGGTGTCTAACAAATTAGTAGTAAGAATGTCTCAATAATATAAAAGTGAAATTTCAATTTTAAAGATACAGTTAGCTTTTCAGTATCGACATCATTGTCTCACAAGCAAGTTCTAAGAATACTACATAATAGAACCTGTTTAGATTGTTAACGTACCGTAAACATAAGTAGACGAGCTAATTAATGTACATATTAAATCTTAGGGCAATGGACATTAGGTAGCAATTATTGTGTATTAACATCATAGTTAAGTTATTTCATGACTATAAATGTAAATAAAGTTTTCGAATGACGGCCGTAAATTGTAGAGGACTGGGGCCAGACAGACGCTAGTCAGTGTTCAGACTCGGACTGCTCCTACCTTTTTATACGTCAGACGTAACCATGATTTCATTCAAACAAGTTGTGTTTTTGTGCTCCGCAGTCCTTGCTCTCGCTACTGCCACAAACGTGGAACAATGTCCTGGTGAGTCGTGGTAAAATATTATACTTATATTATCTACTAAATATTTTGTTATCTTCTATATAGTTTCAACATCTTGTATATAACACTAACCTACTTATTAAAAAATTGCGGATCTTCATTCTGCTTTTCTGACATATAACTTGGCAAAAGAGCATTGTTTACCGTAATGTTACATTGCATAAACAAAAGTAATTCTATCTAAATAATATTTAAAATTTTTAAACATTAATAAAGGTACAACACAGTATTTCTATTTGACAATGTTGTACTAAAAGCGTAAATAAATAATAATCTTTAAGAACTAGCTGATCTGGCAAACAAAGTCCTTGTTCTTAAGGCAAACGTTACTTTGCTCCTTACCGTTATCTACAGAGTCTCTTTTTCATTAACGGGATAAAACTACACTATTGGTACCCTAAAATCGGTTGAGCGGTTTTGGAGATTAGCGTGAACGAACATTTGTAACATGGGAATTTTATATCTACCTATAATAACTAACTATATCCCGCGACTTTGCCCTTTTCAGTATATAAAATACCCTATGTATTAAGGATATAGGCAGCTTACCCATATATTAAATGTCATTCTTCATCATAACATACATAAAATATTACAAATTTTCACATTTATAATATTAAACTTAAAACTCGAAACGTACGAGTATGTGTGTATGTGTAATGTATGTATGTGTCTAAGAAGTTAAATTGATATTACTGTTTGTAAATGATTTATAAAATAAGATATTTTTAACCCATAGGCAGGCATGTACTGTCAACTAGTATCGGCTTTCAATTTTCGCAGAAACAAACATATCTACATTATGTTATATGATAGGTACTTACATAGGCAGGCAACCTGTTTACGCATCCGATCGTGCTTCGTTTAGTTTTGTAAACATTAGGTAGGTACATAAATGACTATACATTAAATACGAAGTCTTGTAGTCGCTTTTGCAGAACAAGTTTTTCGCGTCAACTCATCAAACGCTCAAGAAATGCCAGTAATATATATCTCTAGGGGTCTATAGTAGTTTTGGTTCCATTAGATAGTATAATCTGTTTTAAATAAACTTAATTGAAATGTCAATAAATGTCCTGAAACGACCCTATGGTCGGATCAATTATTTGTAGACAACCTTCTGATATCCAATAGTAGTAGTACAAATAAAAAAATTGATTATGTGACGTTTTAAAAATCATTTATTAATATATTTTAGAGCGAGCTTTTGTGACTTCACTTCACTTCATCCTATGTAATAAGTTTATGACATATAAGCACTTAGATATAACATGTAACAAATATACAAATATACATCTTTTACAATATTAGTAGGACAGTGCAATTTCCCCTTCGTATTAGAGTACTCTATGTCTTAGTTGAAATTAGCTATATATATATATATATATATATATATATTGTCTACGTTAGCGAATACATACGGGATCGATATAATTCACGTAGTCACATAATACATAATAATATTAGACCTCACATGAGTCTAAGCTGCATTTATAATTAATTAATATTTTTTTGATAAAAGGAACAATTTTTTTCCATTACTCCTTATTGATTGCTAAATTGATTTAGAATTGATAAACATATTATATAATATACACACAACGAAATGCAATGAATATGCGAGACAAATTGAGAACATCCTCTTTTCGGAAATCACTTTAAAATCGTATAAATTGTCTCTTGAAAAAATTATGCGATTATGTGATACAATTTTTAATTGCCGAAGAAGCGAGTTACATTTTTTTTACGCTCACATGTCACATCAATAACTTACTTTTGTTGGATGAATGACATAAAACTATCTAGTATAACTAATTAATGTTACCAAAAATTTTTTTATTATTTTACATACATTTTATATTGATACTAAATTAAGATTATGTTCCCCAAATAAACCAACTTCAGTTGCAACAAAACCTATTATTTTGATTTCAAAACTAAACTCTAAGGATTGATATGAATTAAATTTCTAATAAATTTCAGTCAAAATTATTATAAATTTTATTTATAATGGCCCGTATAAGAGCAATCGCGAAACTATAAAATTAATAGATAGGTATAGAAAAATTATAGCTTAATATCAACCCAATTGTGTTTTGATTTACTTTTACTTCTAACGACAAGCCTTGACATTTATTTTGGTATTTAAAATATTAAACTAATCTAAGTAAAAAAGGTGTTTACGTGCCTAGGTATTTGAATCAGTATTAACTATTTAGATAAATAACTACTGATTTAATCTAATAGATTAAAGAAGGTACCTAATACCTCTTTTTTTATTGTTGGATATGATTTTTATTAAAAAATGAATATTACGTTTACACTGATTGGTGTAATAATAATAAATTTAAGCAAAAAAACTGTGATATAGCTTCATGTATGTTGCTACTTGTGTAGATCACATACATATCTAATCGTGTTCTTGTGTATATGCGTTAGATGCATACGAATATGTCGTTTATTTTTAATGATGCAGTTAAAGTCTAAGAATAATGCTGTTAGGAAGCAAGTAGATAAAGTTGTGATACATATTTAGTCATATCCTTGAAGTTATCAATAATGGTATATAAGTATATTTGCTATGCATTTTGTAAAGGTCAAAATTTTAAATATTACCACCATACATATTATTTATTTATAATTTTTTTTGACTGGTTATATTGTCACTTAAATACTAAACTACGAGTAAACTGTCAGTTTATCTAATAATGCGTTTGGAAGAAATCTTTTTTAGAGATAAGCTCGCCCCTGTGCACTATTATATTCAATTATTTTCTTATACAAATACCCTTTTGTGTACAATAAAGAATACATAAGTACTAAACAACTATAAGGAAATACTAGGAACAGCTTTGTCACCTTAACTCCTTTCTGCTTTCCCATTTAAAATTTTTAATGGATAATTATGCCAGTTACAAGAAATGTAGTTTTAAGATAGACTATTTATAATCGTATATTAGAAATCGTGTCTAAATTAGTGTCACGAAAGACGAAATGTTGTAACGTAACAAAAGTATACAAACGTTGTTCTGACATATAAGTTAAGGATAGGGACACCCTAATCACTTACATTATGAAATACTTTTCATAATACTATGAGGTGTACTTCACCATCTATTTTTATACGTACCAAATTTACATAAAAAATTTATAAAAATCGGTCAAGGCCTTTTGAAGGAGTACAACCATAAACACCACGACACGAAATTTTTTTATATTTAGATATACATATATCTACTTATAATTAAAAATCTATTCAAAATTTATAAAGATAACGCATCGTTTGTGTAGAGCGTGATTTACATATGTAAAATGTGTAAATCACGCTCTGCGTGCGGGACAACAATAATAAACACTAAAACAATTTCAAATCTATAGTGTATGTGGTGGAGATATAGCATTGTGACGGACGGACAGGTACAAGGGTTTTTACGTACCGTTTCAATACGGAACCCCAAAAACAGCCAAATATATTAGCTAAAATGTATAAATAATAGGTACCCCTTTGTTAGCGGACGGTTACTTAAGCCGCAGGCTAACAAAGATGAGAATGATTGCAATATTCTTCGAATTCGGTTCGCTCACTTTTTTTTACTTGGTTAAATAAACATTTTGTTTTATAGCTGTAGTTTTGGTTTTGTTAATTTAAAGGTAAAAATGAAGAATGTTTTCTTTGTCTTGCAAGTATCTACTGGTATATTGTGCATGAATAAGATTTTGGTTCCACAAAAAACATGGAAGTAGTTATTTTTATTTAAAAATTAAACTACTGGACTGTTTTCGAAAAAATATCTATGGAACCAATCTGAATGATATAAAAAAAAAATTCCAATCCGTTTATTTCACAAAAAATAACCGACTTCAGTTGTGGCAAAACTAGTTCTTTAGATTTCGATAAAATTTCTATGGTGCCAATCTGTAAGTATATCCTTTCAGATAAAAAATACAATTGACGGAGTTACGAGGTAACAAATGCAAAAAAAAATACAACCGAATTGAGAACTTCCTTCTTTTTGAAGCCGGTTGAAATATACAAAAATACATTTTTGTTATCTTTATTAACTCCGTCAGTTCTAAACCAGTGTGAATTTTTTATCTGAAAAGATATCTTACATATTGGTCTCAGAAATTTTATCCAAATCGATTTAGTAGTTTAGTTTTCAGGTCAAATTAAATGGTTTTTTTTTTTTCAATAAGTGACAGTGAAATGGTATACCCGCCAGCGTTATTGGTATACAGTTACCAGTGAGAGATGATAGATGAGAATGAAAAATATCAGTGGGCCTATAGTGACAAATTAATAAAGAATTAATAAAGATGGTTTCCAGGGGAAGCCGTGTGGAGATCGACGTAATAGAGTACATTGCTAGCAATGGGGCTGTTAGCTTTCACCCAAAGTAAATGATTGTGACAAACAATTGAAATCGTTTTTTTTTTTATGTGGGACAATCTTTAGTTACACACTTTAATCACGTAGCCTCTCATTTGGGCCGTTCTGTGTGACAATACTCGATTATAAAAAAAATATTAAATTTATTCATGTTCATACATAATAAAATTATTACTAAATGACGTAATTGAATTAAGATAAAAGTAATATGTAAGAGACTCTTATTATAATTCAAGCGGACGAAACAAAGGTATAATCTTAGGTACCTAGATATAATTAAGTATTTTAGCCTCTAAGTCACATTAAATGTCCTTATAATAAAACCAGCGGATGCCTGTAATTAAATCTAATTACACTACGAACATAGACAAGGACAACTACAAATCATATATAAAGATACTCGCAATGCCCATGACTTCGTCTGCGTGATCAATACATTTGATTGACTTAGATTAGGATAAAAAAGTAGCATATGTCCGAATCATGGACAATTAAGGGAACTATTAAGGTATGCTTAAGACATCAAATGGTATTTTGAGATTTGACTTTTTTCTATTAATTTCGTTGAATAGCGTGCTTTCATTTTATTATCTTACGTAGTCCTTTCGTTGTTTATCCATTGTATCAATCATTTACATTGAAATTTTTTTCTATAATTATATAGCGAGATAAAAATGCATCCTAGTTTTGATAGCATGTAAGATATAGATCTTATCTTACTAATATAAAAAATGTAACTATGCAATGTCTGTATATTGAAGACATTTAAGAAAATTTTATAAGAGGGGTTTTAATATGAGCAATAGAAGACATATATTTTTCTAATTTTATCTGTCTGTCTGTCGAACATCATGCAAAAACTACTGTATCAAATTGAATGCGGTTTTCACTGTTGTGTTCCTGAAAATGTGAAAATTTGACTGGTTTTTCTCCTTCTGAAATCCACGTGCATAAAGTAGCGAGCAAAATGTTAGTTCTTAAATATTCGTACTTTGCAAAAAAAATTAAAAAAAGGCGGTTCTTAATTCGGTTGTAGTTTTTTATATGTTTATTACGTCAGAAATCCGTCAGTTCCCAACCGATTTAAAAAATCCTTTTTGTATTTGAAAGAATATACTTATAGACCAGTTCCATAGAAATTTTATCAAAATCAGTTCAGTAGTTTGGTTTTGAAATCAAAATAACCGGAAATTGCCAGAATTTAAGCCTTTTTTTTTGTAGAACATAATCGTTTTTCATTGTTCTTGTTCGCTATTACCATCCTTTATCTTTGGTATTATAATTTTTATCCTTAGTAGTTTTTTTTTTTTGTGATATGGTAGTGAATCATGTTAACAGAACCAACAAAATATATCTAATAGCGTGCAGTCAAATAAGTACCTATGTAGTTTACAAGTTTATTTATCTAGTACGTAACCTAGAATGAATCCTTGTCCTCATATAAAACTAGATTTGTAAGTTATATTATTAGCAATTATTTATTAAATATGAACACTACCAACTTCAGGAAGGAAGACACTCGTAGACGCTGTGATTCAAAGGAGGCACCGTGGTCCAAAATGGGCGTGAGGTCTAAGAGAAGAGAGAGAGAGAGGGACTGTGGAGTGAATAGCGCGAATTTCCAATATACTCGTATTTATTTTTCGTTATCAGCATCAGTGAAAGTGCCGGATACCGTCAACATTTTACCTCAGTACTTAGTAAATCTTCCTCCGATGAGTAGAATTGTAACTTATAATTTTTACTTATTTCCGATAAAAGTTTCCGGAGCAACTGTAAATTACTGTAAGAGAACCTATTTATCCTAAAACTACATTCAACAAATAATTTTATATTTTCTCGAATTATTCTTCACACCAATCAGTCATGATGCTCTCGCTCTAATATCGTGAACCCAACCCAAAAAATATTAATTTATACTACAATAGCTTGATGAACAAGAAATGAAAATTAGCATTATAGGTACTTTCGGACTTTTTTAAAAATCTACTAAGACAAACAGTACGTATTAATAATTTATGTATAGTGTTCTGTGAAAATTGTATATAAATGAAATACTTGTAGTGCTATATTATTTTAATTTGGATTAATAAATTTATAATCAATAAATCCGCCCGAACATTACTGTTGGAGCACAAACGTAATGGTATCACTTTATTACACCTACCCAATAATTCGCATGCGAAACATATAGTATGACGTGTGACACGTACTTAATATACATATATGTAGGTACCTAAGTAAGATACGTATCAAGAAAATGATTCAAACATCATTTGAAATTCAAAATTCAAATTGTTCAACATTATATTATTCATGGTCTCCGTGAATGAAAATAAAGTTACGTAAGTAAGTAAGTACATATAACTTAGATGTGATCGAGGAAACTTACGCTGTTATAACTGCGGAAGCTGATAGATAGTAGATGCTCTTTGATTTCTGTAATAAAAACCGCAACGGTTATGAATCCAAGTGGCAGGCTTTGCAACCATTTTGTAATGAAGAGTAATTATTTACGGATGACGAATCCGTATCCACTTACGTTTACGATCCTCGTCCTTAAATAGCGCGGATTCTAAAATCAGCCAATTATAATGTCACCCAAAATATGTAATTTGCAATTTATATGTATAATCATCGCTAATGAACCTACTTACCTACCTTATGATAACTGCCTAATAGTAATAATAAAATAATAATTAGATATTGTCATTATTGGTTTTTTTTTTTATTTATCTATATTTAACAATTCAATTTCACATTTAGGTATAAATATGCTAGAAAGCTGTCTGCTTTTTTCGCATACAAGCTCGCGTATATTATTTAACAATACTTACGTAACAAGGTAACAACCTCGTATATAGTTATTAAATACGTATACTTCAAAAAGGTCTCAAATTGGTTGTAGTTTTTTATGGTTGTAACCACATATCTCTATCAGTTTTAAAACGATATGAAAAATGAATTATTTTTTATTTAAAACGATATTATTACAGATTAGTCCTATAGAAATTTTATCAAAATTTGTTCTATAGTTTTGTTTTAAAACAAAATAACCGGTTTTGCCACAATTAAAGTAGGTTAAAAATAGAAGTTGGGAAGAAGACACGGATGGGTCAGAGATAATTAAAAGGGAAGAAATGGTAAAATTTAGTCAAGCCTGTTGTTTCAACGCTGCGCATATGAATAGATACGAACTTTGGATAAGACTTCAATCGAATAAAATCCTCGAATTCCATAATAGTTTGCAAGAATTGAATCCATGATCTTGAAGAACGATAACCGAAGGATATAGATAAGTAGAGCGCGGCGCAATATAGAGACAATAAGTAAAATGTATAAAAAGTAACAAGGGACTGTGAAAAGCGAGTGATACAGTTAAATAATATAGACCGTATGATGTTATATCTGCTACAGTATAAACTATTTTTATTTATATATTTATTTATTTATTCATTAGTACAAATATGTGTACATGGCGGACTTAATGCTAAAAGCATTCTCTCCCAGTCAACCATAGGGCAGTGTCAGAATACTCGAATGTGGTACTACTAATTATTGATATACATACATACTAAAGTTACATAAATAAACGAATAAATATATATGAATAACAAATATACTTACACATATATGATATATACTATATAATACACGGAATTAAGAATAATATAAAGCACTTACTGCTCGGATAAAGATAAAAAGTGAGCGCTTTTATGCACCTAATATAGAAAATAAATCTATTATACATAGGTCCAAGCGTTAAAATGTTGTTTTAATTACAGATAGATCAATAGAGGGTCTGTCAGAGAGTGTGCAGCTGAGTCCATGCAAACGATCACCCTGCCTTCTAAGAAAAGGAACTAATCAGCACATCACAGTACATTTTACACCCGGTAAGAATGTTATTGTAAATCTTAGAATATAAAGTAGGTATATGAACACATCTATATTGTAAACATAACATTTACTACTTTACTGTGCGTTAAACAAGTTCAATGTACTTGAACCTTTGTTTAGAGGTCTTCTACAAAATCATGTCTAACATTTGTTTAAATCCAAACAAAATAAGTCCATTAAAAATAAAAAAATGTTTAAAGTAATATATTTTTTATAAGTAATCGATATAAGTGATGACTTATGGAACCGAAATATGGTCCTTCACGATTGCTCGTATATAAAAGTTTCAAATTAGCGATCTATGGAGAGGGCTATACTCGGAGTTTCTTTGCATGATAGAATCCGAAATGAGGATATCCGAATAAGAACGAAAGTACCTACTCCGACATAGCTCGAAGGATAAGCAAGCTGAAATGGTAATGAGCTGGTCATATAACTCGAACTGACAACAGATGGAGAAGAAATGTTCTTGAGTAGCAAACCCGTACGAGCAAACGCACTGTAGGACGACCCCCTACTAGATGGAATGACAACCTCAAATGCATTGTAGGGAGTCAGTGGATACAGGTGGCTCAGAACCGTTCTTTATGGTAGTCTATGGGGTAGGCCTATGTCCAGCAGTGGACGAATAATGGCTGAAAGCATGATGATGATGAATGATGTATAATTTAAAATTCCTGTTATTTTTAATATATATTTAGGCACATAAAACTATCTGTAAACATTATTATGCTGACTAACCAATATTTATTTACTCAGAGTTTTGACAAACACTGTTTAGATAATCAGTGTTGTGAATATTTTGGATTATATATTTTTGGCCTTAAAAATTTATTTGTAAAATTATACTATAATCAAATGTAGTTGCTGATTTAGATACATAACTGCTTACTGTATGGTATTAATGATACTTTTCAATTTCACACTTTTAGTGCTCTCAAAAAACGTTTTCATTTTTATATCTATATTGCATTATACGAAGGTACTATAAGGTATTCTAGATTATATATAAAACCTGAAATTCAAATGAAAGTAGGTACATTATTTTATTTGAGAATAGTTGTTCAGGATCACGAATACCTATTCCTATCCTTGGGTTGTACTCATAAGCGTTTCCGTTTCGAATTACAAAATTATTATGTGACTAGCGGTTTCTCCCAATTTAGCACAGTTTCCTTAATATAGTCTGGTAGATACTTAATTTTCTATAAGTAATAGAATATTAAAAATCGGTTGAGTAGTTTTTGAGTTTATTCATTACAAACAAACATAAAAAATCTTTTCTGTTTATAATATTTAAATTAATATGCAATATATAATGTTTAAGTAGACATTGCATGTATAAGAATGTGAACTTTGAACAGGAAAATTCTGAATTTATTTGCAGATCAAGATATTTCGGTTGTCAAGAATCACGTCACGGCTGAGGTATTTGGGGTGCCACTGCCTTTTGTGGGAGTGGACGGAAACTCTATTTGTGACAAAATAACGACGGAGGATGGTGAAAAGGCATCTTGTCCTTTGAAAGCTGGCACTAAGTACATCTACAAAGATTCTTTTCCCGTTCTAAACTTTTATCCAAGTATATCGGTAAAAGTACACTGGGCGCTAACAGAAGGAAAGAACGAATTAATGTGTTTTGAAATACCAGTGAAAATTAATTAATTAAATAAAATACTTTGTTTGATACAATAAAAAGTAACAAACCTAAATAAGTTGTAATAAATTGTACCTTATATTTTAGATTCTTGTATAAGCAGTGGTAGGTAAGTAGATTCATCGTTTGTTATGTCAGTTATTCGTAAGTACACGTAGGTACTGGAGTTACAAAACGTACATACTAAGTATTATATCATATGTGATATAAGCACAAAAAAAACGGAAATAAAATTACCTATTTATATAAACAAATACTTTGATTTACTTACTCAAAGCACAAACAATAATATTATTCGCATAGAATAATATTTATTATTTATATAATTATATTATATATGTTAATTGTGTGATCATCGATAATTCTCATAGCTCATCGTTGCAACGAGTCGAAGGCTTCAAGCTGGTATTTAGATGTTGCCGCCCATAAGTGACAGCAATACTCCATGTGGGGCCGGATTTACGATTTGTGGAGCATTAATCGCTGATCCGGCGTGAAGTAATGCTTCGCTCTATTGAGCACACCGAGTTTTTTGGATGCCAGCTTCACCTAATCATCGAGGTGGCCATGGAATTGCACATCACTAGAGATATCGACACCAAGGATCCCAATGCTTTTAGAGATTTTAAGAAATGTGCCTTGGAACTGCGGAGCCACAGCAAATGAAGTTCTTTTAGCGGTAAACGCGCAAGCTTGTGTCTTAGCGGGGTTAAACTATTTTTTGAAACTATTTTATGTAAAAGACGCTCTCCAGTTACTCGATACGTGTTACATACCTATCTTACTACGGACCTTGTATACCTACAAACACAAACAATTACGGTTTGATTCTTACTCAATTACCTATTTCATGTAATGCATAAAGTTGTTTATATTTTCTGAGAAGTAGGTAATTAATATGTATAAGGTAGATAGATATATTAATTATAATTGTTTTCTTATTATAAATATTACGTTCAATAATAATTTTACGCAAATAAATAATTCATTACAATTCGGAATAATGTAAATATAAATATAGTAGTTACTCACGTCCATACAAAATAACAATCCATTGTAATTAATAATTCATAATTTGCTGCTGGTCTCTGCTTATTTACAGAATAACCTTCATTCCAATATTGAATACGAAATATTTTAACCAAACCAAAAACGATGAGTTTCTCAGACAACCGAACAAAAGTAAGCGCTATGTTCTCGGACTGTATTTTTATGTACGTTTCCATATCACTTTTGATACTTTCTGCTATCCTAGCGGGGGGAGAAGAGATTGTTAATAATGGGGATTAGTAGCAATATACTACATATATCAGGTCAACCTCCTCGTGGTTCCCCCTGGAAACCACCGTGATTAATTTGTTGTTTGATTCGTCACGGTGGGCTAACTGGCTTGCTTCGTCCTCACCTATCATCCCTCACTGGTGCCCCGCCAGTGTATACCGAAAGCGTAAGAGGGGTTACAATTCCATTATCATCCATTAAAAAAAAAGTACATTCCTATCCTATTTTTCTTTGCGAAGCAACATTTACTTGTAAACACAATTTCGCGTTTTAAATTCAAACAAGTGTTCGAGTATTATAACATACTAGCGACCCCCCTCCTGGCTTCTCACTGGTGCAATATTTGTTTGTGTAACTTTTAAACTGTTCGACACATTTTAGTGAGGCTTTTTAGTAGTGCTCATGTCTATAGGCGACGGTTACCACTTTGCATCAGATGGGCTGTCAGCTTGTTTACCATTCTAAGTAGTATAAAAAATTTCTTAAAAGTGCTTTTTCAATGAATTAAAATGGAATAATGGCCAAGTCTGCATTTTTTGTAAAGTTAATTAGATTTATGTTTTTTATGCATGGTGATGAAATGGAAAAAATTATGAGGATGAAACTAAACGAGGTAGTCAAGTCAGTTGGCCCCATGTGACTACCCATAATTACTGCCCAAGACTTCCCCCTGAAAACCATCGTAGTTAATTATTATTGAATTTATCACGTTAAGCCTACTGACCTGGCTTCATCCTCGCTGCTGCCCCGCTAGCTTATACTGGGAGCACAGGCGAGGTTATCATTCCATTTTTATCCCATAAAAAAATTAACCTAGTTGTCAAGTGAAGGGTACTTGTAGTAGAGAGGATTGTGAACTCACAGGAAAATAACCACGCGGTTAATGTCTAGTGAATTGTTTACGGTGGGACAATTGATCTGACTTAATCTAAATACGTTTATTTGCTTGAACATTATATAATTTTTTTTCTTGTTTTAAGGTACCAAAATGTTCGCCTTATGATGTTATGCAAATTTTCTCTTCTCAAAACTTTCTCAGCCATCATCATTCAAAGGGACTAGTAACCTGACATTAACGAATGAAGCCCAAGCAGACAAAGTTGACATTCCATATTCATCAATAGTTTCAGATATAATAAAGTACTATGTGATTTTTATCCATTATAAAAACCTACTTTGTAACATTACTACCTACCGAGATGAAGTATAATTTATACATAAAAAGAAGGTCATGAGCTGCTTGCAATGAACACAACGACTTTGTTACGTAAATGGGTTTAGACTGTAAATAAACACTTTACATTTCTATATAATACTTCCATTTGACATAGAAGGTTAATATTTATATCACACACAATATGTATCTTTTTTTTATACAACTTAGAATGGCAAACAAGCTGACGGCCCACCTGATGGAAAGTGGTAACCGTCTGTATGGGGGAAAGGAATTGTTAGTAATGGAGACTAAGAATCCCATTTCTAACAACATACCCAACCAGGTCGACCTCCTTGCGTTTCCACCTCGAAATTATTATGATTATTTCCAGATGAATTCATCATGATAGGCTAACTGGCCTGTTTTCTGAAAAAGAAATTCGAATATAGTTCTTTTGTTTTTCAGTTGTCTAAAATTTGTATCGAATATACGTTGATACGGAAATAATTCTTTATTGTATTATTTCGTAAAATCACAGGTTATGGGCTCAGCACGCTTCCACTGCGAATTATCTTATCCTCATCGATCACCTTTCACTGGTGCCCCGCCAGCGTATCCCATTAGCACAAGCGGGGTCGCCATTCCATTTTCATCTAATAAAAAAAAATATGTATCTGTATATATTATAACCTATGGTTTCAGCCATGTTATCCCTATAATCTGATTCGATAGAACTTAAAGTAGCCAAGTTGTTGTAATTAATACAGAAACGCTCTCGATTTTCTTTTTCAAATATCTCTTATTTTGTAGTTATAATAAATAATTTTTCTAACAGACGGGCAAAAAATATTGGGTAGGAAAATTTTGTATATGTATTTATAATACGTTATACAAGTCTCACATGACGTTTAAAACAATGAGTTTTAAACATTTTTTCCACAGATCGTATACACAATATGTATATTACGTGAAGTATTTTAATTTATAAACACTTTTTATACTCCACTAAGCTGGCCAACAAGCATATGAACCACCTAATGGTGGGCAGTCGCCGTAGGATATGAACGCCTGCAATATTAGGATCTTTACGCCTGTACGCCATTCCGACGAAAAAACCTCTTTTAAAGACACCTTTTTTAAAGAAATTGCCTTGGCTTCACTCTTTGTCGAATAGCGATCATGCAGTTGCGCATAATAATATAGTGACATGATCCATAAGAGACATACACCAAACTATGACTTACACCATTAGAATAAAGAATACCTTTTTATTCCTATAATCGAACAAGCAGTTATGTAGATATTTTTGTCCATTTTGTGATGATGTTTCCCCACTCAGCCGTGGCCTTCAAAAGCGTGAGAACTCAACTGTACGCATTTTTCTATAGACATAGGTGTGTATAATAAAAACAATAATTACTAAAAAACATTTATTGTGATTTTTTAAAATATGACATAAAATACAATCATAATACGGATTTAAAAAACATAATAAAATGAGGCAGATTCAATAACTTAGAGCCAGTTCCCTCTATACCCTAACAACGAATCGGTGATGATTGGTAGAATCAGTGTCAAACTATGTGTAATAAATAACTTTAAATGTAGGAAGTAGTCACATAATTATGATTAGATTAAATATGACATGAATATTTTCTTATATTTTTTTACGATTTTCTAACGTCATTTTCGCCAACCATAAAAATTATTGGTTAACAACTTCTTATTAAACTAACTATAATCAACGTAAATATCTACTAACGCAATAGTAACATAAACCGTAACAAAAGTGTAATGTGTTACACTCACATTAAGTCTGGATAATGATTATACTAGGTACTATCTATAATTTCATAATGTTATTAAATTACTTGGGCAGCAGAAATAACATTATCTTGAGACAGATTCGTAGATCAATTAGCAAAGGTAGTGGCAAAGACAGCTCAAATAGGACCAGAATCTTATTGTTACATGACTCGAAGCCTTAAGCTCAGACACCTCAAATTGGAAAGCCTAGAAACAGCAAATAATAATAGCCCTTATAATAATGGCCCTTGCTGATTTTGTTACAATGAGGAAGAAACGCCACAACGCTTAATTTGTTGTTGTAGTCCATTCAAACATAAACGATATGTCTCCTTTGGAAAATACACTTTATACCCTGAGGAGATAAATAACATCGCTACAAAAAACATCTTAAAATACCTGTCACTAACAGCGAACTTTAAAAAGAGGCGAGCACAAAAGATTCTGGAAAGGTCGCAGTGTCACAGGTTTAAAAATAATAAAAAGAATACTAAGGACTCTGCCAGTACACAACAGTTATCAATCAGATCTTTTGTTACACATTTTAATTATAGAATACAATATTAGAAGAGATAGACAATGGAGTCGATTTAGAAGTTCCATTTTCCCGTTATTTATTCTCTATATAATTTTTTTTTATCTTTATTCTAAGTCCCAATAATAAACTAAATTTTTACTGGAGTTGTATCAAAACTGCTTTACAATTACTTCTCGTGGTATGGATCACATACCATAATAGTTTTTCTTAATTATTGTTTTGTAGCGGGACCGGATGATGTCGTTCATCTGACATAAAATTATTTATACATATATACCATATATGAAGCTAACATAATCGTTCACTCTAGAGGTTCATACTATCGAATATTATAAAGAATTAACAATTAAAGTTTACGTAGGGCATCTATTATCAAATTTTCATTATCACTGAGACGAAAAAACTGAAGGTTAAAAATAAAGTTTACACAATAAATATACGAGTAAATTGACTTGAACATAATCATCGACAAATAATCATGAAGGCGATTGCTTCAATTAATAATTATCATTTAAATCTGGAATACTTTTAAAAATTTATTTAAAAATAGAAGACATGGTAATATTCTAAAATTACCTACGAACTCTCTGTGACTCGAAGTGATTTAAGGGTTTTAACACATTTTTACACATCAAACGGGTCTTTTTGAAATAGTTAACTTTAACTTTCGCTTTATTAAATAACTACAATCGGGACTTAACGCGACGGTATTACAGGTAAATAGTATCTTTATATATGATTATTATTGGTAATTACGTCGTCTCAGTCCCGACCGTGAATTTAAATTTTTAGAAATATTTCGGAGCTCCGCAACAAAACCTTCGCATAAAGGAGCCGGCGCATGTATGGGAACAGTCGGTTCAGTTTGATGAGACATGGGGATTTTTGAGCTTTGAGCGCTGTTAGTAATATATAGTATTTTAATATCTATGGTTACATCTTATCCAAGGCAATTGTGGTTAGAGATTTTTACGTGAAACAATTGTTCTTGAGTTTGTTTCGTATCATTATATACTGCCTGTTATAGTAAATAGCGGGTAACAATTGATATTTGTCAATTTTTACTTTAAAAGAACTGTATTGATCGTATGATACTATTTGTATTTTTGTTTTTGACCTGTCGTTAGTACCGTGCTATAATATGCAGAGTTAGCTCTAAAAGAAGAGTTTAATCATGAGATTAATAAAAATCGTTACATTTGTATTATAAACAAGTAGTTAATTATTCATTCCATTTACCCCTTAAGCAAAAAAGAGAAGTATTTGAGATTGAAATTTTTAGCTTTTAAAAATTAATACCTGTATAATTTACAACATTAAAAAAAATAGACATCAGGAAAGCTAGTTTTGGCTGTTACTTAAAAATAATTTCCCTATATGAATTTTAAGCTCAAGATGGAATGCAATTTTACACTTTTTTAAAGGTTTCTCTTCGCTATATAAATTATTGCAAGAAAAAAATTACATTATCGCATTTATACTGTAATGGACTATCAGACTATAGCCTATTATTTTTACATATTTGACAAATTTGATACATAATTGAGATATGATGCTTCAGAGATCCTAACATTGGTTTGGTTGCTTTATTAAATTAATTACTTTATAAGTCAGTCCATTATTAATATAAAAACAGTATATCAAATACCCTGAGAGCTGATAATAAAGACTAATATATCTTATTCTTATATATACGTAATTGAATACTGGGATCGGCATTAAGTAGAAGATGCGGGTTCAAAGCCCGCCCACTTAATATTTTTTTCAGTCACACAATAATCGTACAACCAAACTTGGTGTTTACATTTAAATAACATTTCTATATTTATACAGTTTTCAAGTACGTACATATACGATACATTAAGTTAATATAATACTTTCATTAATACTTAAAATGGGATTTTAAAAATCAACTGATAATTACTTACATTGAACCCCTAACTACGACATTCTCTATTTAATAGTGAAACTTTTTACATTCTATCTATTGGGTTTGCCATATAGATCATTAATAGTTTTAATTGGTAATCGGAAAAAGGCATTTTTTAAATTTCCACAGTTTGAAGCAGGCGCTTCCGTAAAATACTTCTCCATCTTATTCAAGAGAGTCTCTGTCGAATCTATACCTATATTATACTCGTTAATCGCTCGATATATAGCCTGAAAAGAATATTAAAAGCACTTTATTATCTACTCTAATATAATAAAGAAGAAGAGTTTATTTGTTTGTTTGAACACGTTAATTTCAGTCAGATTTGAAAACAGAAAATCTTATTTTTTGATGAAATTCATAGGTTATTCAACATCACTATACGACCACAGGCGAAGCCACAAGATACAACTAGTCTATATATGTGTACTGTCTTCGCTCCAAATTGATAGACAGAATAGTTTTTGTTACAATAAGAAAAAATATACTCAGTGGAGGGCTAAACAATGTTTGCCGGATCACCTAGTGCTGGTTTACTTAAAAAATTTTACATGTCAATGTAAATTTCAAACTTTCTCGTTCTAGTCTCGTCTGTTCGACCGTTCGTAGGTCCATCAATTGGTGAATAAGAATATAGGTGAATACCTCAAAGGCCGGCTGTTTATGATTATGGAATGCTTTACGGCTGCCGTGAAGGAGGAAGATGCCTCGGGTGGTTGCCTCAGCGCACGCATCACCATACATACACTGGTCGGAGCGGTAGTTATACCGGCATGGCAACACATACACAGCACGCTCATGGTAGTGGAATATTATATTTATTATATCCTGTAATTGCACAAAAGAATTCAGATCTAAGTACAAATAAATAATTAAATTGTACGAAAATAAGCAAAGTACAATAATTTATAATATTGAACTATAAAAGAACCTTCATAATATGTAAATTAATAAATGTTACTATAGCCTAAATGAATATATTAATGATAAACGTAAATAATCATCATTAGTCAAAAATATTGTCTCATTTTAAATTGTTTTGCTTCACTGCATAATTTTAAATGTTATGATTTATGTTATTGTTAAATAATGCATGTACTTGATTTATATGTGTTTCATATATTGTATGCTTATATAGCAGGGCATGGAAATACTATTTAATTAATGTAATACCTTAATTTGACCTATGATCCACAATAAAGACATTTGTATTTGACAACTAATAAGGGATGAATAATAATAAAAACAAATTAATAATTAAACTAACAATTAATCAAAAAGTGCTATTAGACATAAGCAAGAATGAATTTTTTGGGTGAAAATTTATTAAATATTTATTCAAAATACTTAATAATAAATATTTAGTATTTAATAAATTATTTAATTAAATATTTGAAACATTTAATAAAATTATTTATTAAATATTTAAGTTTCGATTAAGTGTTTAATCGAAACTTAAATATTTAATAAATAAATTGATTGATAAATTTGATACTGATTTTTAACTTTATGATAAATCACTGAGCATCCCATCTTGAATGTCAGGTATTAGCAAATTTATATTTTTTAATGATGATTACCTGATCACCCCAAGGTATATAAAGCTTCCATTTGAGCATGATAGGAGTGACATAATCAACCCAGCCAAAGGTTCTCATACGAGTCAAATTCATCAACATAACCCCAGAATTGATACCTGAAAAACGAAAATTTAGATCATTTAAAATTGTTAATAATATATATATATATATATATATATATATATATATATATATATATAAATATAAATATTGAAATTAATAAAAATAAGGCAGCTTAACAACTATTAACAACACTAAATGGCAACACTTGAGTAGAAGCAGTAGTACTTAGCTATGTCTGTGATATAAATTGTGTTACCAAGACATATTTATTGACTAGGATTAAAAATAGCATAATATCCTTTACAACTTTATTCTGATGCAATCAACAAATTATATAATGATTATAACAATACGGAAACTAGTATTACTTACCATATTTGCCATAAAATGGATGTTTTGCAAATCTGGGATACCAAGACACATTTGGGTTATCATCTTCCAATGCTACAGCTGATATTTGAGAACTATTGAACCGGGAGAAGTAACTCCACAATTCATTTACAGGTCCTAGGAATAATGTATCTGTATCCACATATATCATGGAGTCTATGTGAGGTATTAGTTTCTGGAAATGAAATATTACATAGTTACATTAAATAAATTAGTACAATAATAATTTTTTTATATTAGATATATATATCTGTATCACTCGGCAAGCAAGAATAGTGGACAATGAATAACTAAACTATTTTAGTAATACATAGTACAGTAGTATTAAATAATAACATATTGATCATATATAGTTTGTAATATAGTAGGGCTTTGCAAGCTATATATTATATTTCAAACATTGAATTAAAAGTCAAAATAAAGTATTAATAAAGTCAAAGTAAAGCCTGGTATTGCAGGCGTTCATAGGCTATGGTAACCACTTACCATCAGGCAGGCCGTAAGCTTGTTTGCCACCTCAGTGGTATAAAAAAATAATAATAATAAAAAAAATTAAAAAAAAACTAGCACATAAAAATATTCATAATCAGCATCTTGCCCACAACTTCGCATGTGTGGATTTCATAAGCTAGTTTTGGCTGTTACTTAAAAATAAGTTATAGGAGGAGTAGAAAAACTAATGACATAAATTACTTTTACATGGCACATCAAAATAAAACATATACCACTTCTTATGTTAGATTTTCAGGAATACAATTATGAAAATCACATTAAATTTGATACAGTATATTTGATGTGGTGCTAGAACAAACATGCAGACAGACAAATATTTCTAAAAATTATTAGTTTTGCATTTTTGGGTCTTATTAAAATCCCTCATATTAATTTACATATCTCACATGTAGAGACACTATCTAATTACAATTATATGTGTAAGATAAACATACAGGAATAAAAAGTCTTTGAGCTGCACATTTGCTGAATAGGTTCATCCAGTCCTCTTCATGGGCTTCTGGAAAATTAATTTTCTGTAACTCAAAATCCAGCTGATTGTTAGTCAGACTCCTCCATTTGTTCAGTGTATCATTGAATTTGGGCTTCAGATTTTCATCAGTAAATATAACAAAGTATACTGGTGTCTTTGTAAATATTAATACAGATTTAACAACATTCAAGGATTCATTGTATCTTGAATCACAAACTACAAATGACAGAACTATTCTTTCCACATCTTCTTTATGTTGCACTTCAACAGCTCTAAAAACAATACAAATATATAATGAAACAATTCTCGTCACAGTTAAATCACAGTAGATAGATAGATAGATAATTTATTTGCATTATTTACAGCACACAAATTACAAACATTTACATAATACAGACATACACAGTAAAAGGGATAAAAGAATAAAAAAAAAGTAACAAAAAGCAAAACACAAAAACATTTTCCTTTTTTCATGATTGTGCCTCAAAAGAGCAAAACACTAAATTTCTGTTGTGGCCAAGTAAACAAATAAGAGTTTACCATAAAGATTATACAAATAAAAGGGACAATATTGTTAAAATATTCCAAAATTAATAAATTTATAATTAGTTAACTAGTCTTTTATATTTACAATTTCAAGTTCAAATAAAGAATTCAAACTTTTAAGACAAATGTTTACCAAACAGAGCCTTAATAAATAAATAAGAATAGATAAAACTTGTCTACTTGAATAACTCTGTCCATTTGTGTTTCTACCATGAAGCAGTTACATTTGCATATCTGTGTTTCAATTTGAAGGGTGGAATATGGCAATAAAATTACAGGGTACAGAGGCATAAAATGTTAGTTCTCAAGAATAGCAACATATGAAAAATATTATAAAATCAAAATATCAGGTAAAACCATATACTCTACTATGTCCATGGTACTGTACATATCTTATAACACATTCCATTAGATGGGTCATCAGCTTGTTTCATCATATCAACCGTTAACTGTCCACTGTTAAACATATGCCTTTCCTTGGTTGGCAATTGCAGTTGGGCTTTGGTGATATTTTAAAAGGGACACTGCTGCCCATTTCTTAACCATTAAGTTCCCTTAGTCACCTCTTACGTTGCCTATGGGAAAGGAAGAGGTAACCTATTCTATGCCAAAATCACACAGCAATCAGTCTGATTACCATTATAATTTGCATAAAAAAATAGTACTCATTATTAACATTAAAACAGCAAAATGTTAAGTATCCATTACAAAACGTACCAAGGCTAAAGACCAATATGGTATACAGAAAGGTACTTTCTTTTGGATGAAAATGGTGACCAGTGAGTGATAATAAGTAAGAATGAAGTTAGTCGTTACATTATGTCATATTTAGAAAATTGTTAAAAATCAAAAGTAAACATGATAGTTTTATGTATGGAAGTCGATCATAATAACGAGTATATTGCTAGCAATAAACTATATATATAATAAATAAGAAAAAAAATACTATTACCTTACTAGTACTATTACCTCTCATCCCTTCTTGGGAAAGTTTTATTTAAAATATAAATGTTATAAAATGCAAATACTAAAAGATTGTTATATAATAAATACATAATTTATAAATAAAAATACTTTTAAAAAGAAATAAAACAACTTACTTGGAATAATGTCTCCTATATATATTGTCAGCATAAGTTTTACAATACAAATAATATGCACATAGAGAACTCAAAAACAATAAAAAACCGAATTTCCATAGGGTCAATTTCATCATTATCGAGGATTAGAAATTAATAAAAAGTTTATTTTGATTTGTTCTGATACGAAATTTAAAAATATTGTATAGACGCATGGATAGATAGCAAGTTCACAGGCACAGAATAATTTCGTTGAGCTTAGATGTTTTGTTTTAATTATTGATATTTATATATCTCATAATAAATGTGCTAAAATAAACAAAAAGAAAAAAAATACATCATATCTAAAAAAATACTGTTAAAATAAAAACATAGATTAAACAGAAAATGACAACAACAAGGTAACCAGGCCTGCGACAGTTGAAACATCATTCTAGGCATGACGTTTTTCTATAATTCTATGTTACCAAACCGTAAAAAAATTCAATCTTGTTCAAAATTTTTTGTCTCTCACTCCTTCTGAATCTATATGTACAAATATCATCAAGCTTACATCTACATAGGGGTGGGTCACCCTTATCATTAATTTTTTCTCTTTTCATTCATTTCTTTGATTCTCAGACCTACCCAATATGCACACAAAATTTTATAAAAATCGGTAAAGCCATTTCGGAGTTTGGTAACAAATACCGCGACATGAGAATTTTATATATATGTTTTATTATTTACATAGAATTTTATATAGATGTGAGCATAATGCTATGAATATACATAATTTTATTGTGTTGATATTATACTTTGAAAACGAAACATGCTTTTAATTTTTTCCAGGCCTTGTGAGTATAAGGTTACTGCCAACTCTTATAACGTAGTAATTTTATTTATCTCTGGATAGTGATTACTTACTCTGTATCAGCTATTCATCTTAATTTATGTGTATAAATAAAATTTTATTTATATTATAATAGAATTTATATATTTGTGCTTGAGATTTTCAAATATTATTTCATAACTCTATCAGGAACAATGAGTTCTAATTCTTCAGAAGATGCCATTACTGAAAAAATTCTTAATATCGCCAAGAAAAATCCTAAGGGTATTACAGATAAGGACGTAGCAGCTACAATACCCGAGCTTTCTTCAGAGCAGCGAGTAATGATGATAAACAAACTTTTACAACAAGGTTTGATAGATCTATTCAAACAAGGTGGCTCGTTTATATACAGGTAATATGTTTTTAACACTAAAAAAATTGTGTAAATTTTTTATTTTCTTAAAATCACAATTCTAATTCCACTGTAAAATTAAATAACGAACCTCTCGATTTTATAGAATCTACTGTCTTTCTTGGAATTACTCTTAATAAAACTCAGTGGAGTTCTCACATTAAAAAACTTGAAGCTAAATTAAGTTCTACAGTGAATGTTATTACTTTTATATATGTATTATTATTTTGTTTACATTATTATTCAAGATTACTACATAGTAATCTTCAACTGTTTCTTAAAAACAATGATCTCAATAATCTTTACACTAGATACAAATACAAACTTACTGTTTCAAAGTATCATTTAGATATTATCTCTCATCCCTTCTTGGGAAGTTTTATTTAAAACATATATGTTACTAAGTCTTTTATGGGAATGGACATTAAAAGTTATAACAAGATACCAAAGGATATTTTAGATCTACCTTTTAATAAGATTGAAACTGTTATTAAAATACACTTATTAAACAAAGCTTATTATACACTAACCAATTACTTGAATGACAAATGTTCCTAGTGTTAGTTGATCATGCAGGGGCTTTTTAATAACCATGTAATTTTAGACGTTGTATATTTAAATAAATATATTTAAAAGAGTAACTGTTGAGTTTCTTGTGGGCCCTTCTCAACAGATAACTTTCTAACTCTGCAGTAGATTAAAAAAAATATGATTTAAAAGTGCTTGTAAACAAGTCTATTTGAATAAATATTATGAGAAGAAACTGTCTATAACACTGGAAATAATACATTACTGCCTTTTACCCACAGTATATATTGATCCAAATAGTTATCCATGCCCTTTTCCATCTTATATGTGTACACCTAATTTTGGTCATAGTGATTAATTATATATATATATATTTTTTTTTTAATAGATCATATCAAAATATTTACCCCTACTGTAATTATTATATACACTGGGAGGACATCAGCAAGGCATGATAGATGAGAATGATAAAACATAGATAGCCCATTGTGATGTGTACACCTGGAATTCAGCATGATGATTTCCAGGGAAGACTGCAAGGAGGTTGACCTGAGGGTATATTGCTAATAATTGGGCTAGTAGTCCCCATTATTAACAACCCTTTTCTCCCTACTGTTAAGGTGTTAAGAGGTATCAAACAAACAAACTGCAATATACATATATAATTAAAAACAATACATTCAATAATGTATGCAAATACACAATAAGTATAAAAAATCAAATAAATTAAAATTTTTACTTAATAACAATAAATAAGTGTCTTAGCCTTAATTATATAAAGTATAGTAAATATATAGATCTAATTGTTATAGAAGAAGCTGGTTCTCTCTTTGGGAATTATGTGCTTACCTATTATACTGTGACAACTAATCTGTACTATGTGGAATGAAAATAAACATAAACAAATAAACTTACTTTCATATTTATAATATTATACAGTAGGATTGCAAAAAGTGATCCTAGCTTTGAAGCCATTATGGGTTATTATTGCTAATTATTAATTTTACTATTGCAGGTTAAAAACACAGAGTAGTAAACAAGCTGTAAAAGGTGCAGATAATGAAGAAAAAGTAGTATTTAATTTAATTGAAGAAGCTGGCAACAAGGGAATATGGATTCGAGATATTAGGGTTCGCTCTAATTTAGCAAATACACAACTGAATAAAGTTCTTAAAAGTTTAGAGAGTAAAAAACTGATAAAAGCAGTAAAATGTGTTAATGTGAGTTTATTTGATATGATTTCTTTATTATTTAGTTGTGCATGATTATTAAAAATTAATGGTCTTTAAAAAAAGCTTCTAAATTATTAGATTATTCTTTATCCACAATTAAATATTAGACAGATTTATATTAATTTAAGAAAACAAACACAGGTTGTTTTATGGGATTGACATAAAAATAAATATAGGATTTTAAAATAAGTGTTATGTTTTGTTCAAGGCTTCAAAGAAAAAAGTGTATATGTTGTATAATCTAGAACCAGATAGATCTATATCTGGTGGAGCATGGTATCAAGATCAAGATTTTGAGTCAGAGTTTGTAGATATTCTAAACAGGCAATGCCTTAGGTTTCTACAGCAAAGGGCTGACAACATAAAGAACAATCCTCGAGGACCAATTGTTGGTAGAACACAGTCTTATGCCACTGCTGCTGAAGTTCAAAAATATATTACTGATTTAGGAATTAGTAATGTAAGTAAAATGTAATCATTACTTATTTTAATATTAACACCAATATAAGTAATACACTATTATTTAATTTTAAGCTACCATCTGTACATTAAAATTTTTTCATGAACATTCATTCATTCATTTTAATTCAGATCCACAGCAGTCATTGTCATTGATAGCAGTGTTTGTTATAGCAACAATAAAATTTAAAAAAGATCCACTTAAATTTTATGATCAAGGTCTCTCTCTCTCTCTCTGGATACCAAACTAACCAAACAGGTCTAAAATTGTGTTATGAGAAAATTGATATTTGAAGTGAAACAGTACCATATACATTACAGAATATACTATGATACTAATGGTACCCCTCATGTGTTGCTATTTCTTAGAACTAAGATTTTTCTTGTACCATATATTTTTCCATTACCATGTCAGACTCTTCATATTCAAACTTGCTAAACAGGGTGAAATTGAAACCATTAGCATCCTCTGTAAGGTATAGGATAATATAAGATACCAATGAAGTTGAACTTTTTTATCAAAGAAACATGAGTTGAAAAACAACAAAAACTAAATGTTCTATAGCTAAAAGTTAAGAACTTTTATCTGAGTAAGTTGTCATCTTTGTATTTCAAGACACAGATTATCATATACACATTATTTTTTATTTTTGTAACTACATATATATGTGTATTTGTATAGGTATATAAACAGTCAAACTATTTGTATAGTACTCTTCTGCATCTAAACCTTGCCTGGAAGAGATAGCTTGTAGCGACAAAGATGTCCATTATTTTCTCAATGTAATTTTTTGTTATCATCATCATATCAATCTTATCTCGAACATAGGCCTCAGCCATAGACTACCATAAAGAACGGTTCTGAGCTACCTACATCCACTGACTCCCTGCAATGTATTTGAGGTAGTCATTCTATGTAATCTTTTCTTATAATTGTTTGTATTACACAATACTACTGTGATCTTACGGAGGAAACAAAAGTATCTATATATGTATAGTATGAGTACATATGTATTTAGTTTTATAATGCTTATGATTTTGATTTTATCCTGTACATGTTGTTATTTTGTTAATTTAAACCAAATATTAAATATTTGGTGGTTTCAGGTCAAACTTGAAGTTGAAGATGTGATAACAATATTGAATACAATTGTTTATGACGGCAAAGCAGAAAGCAGTGTGTACCCTGATGGCAGTAAGGTATATCGAGCCATAGATCCACTTTTGCCAGCTCCTGGGCTAGTTCAAGTGCCTTGCGGAGTTTGTCCACTTATACATAAATGTTGTTCAACAGGACTAATTACGCCACAAGATTGTATTTATATGAATGAATGGCTTGATTAATAAGTCTAGTTTTATTTCGATTCTTTAAGCATAAATGTTACCAGATTCATAGGCGTATTTAAGGAGAAGCCAGGTGGGCCATGCCCACCCCAGGATATATGGAAATAATCTTAAATAAACAAATGATCATGATTTTATTTACTCACATTCTCAGTGGGTATTGGAAATTTAAGTCTATCTAATCTTATTTATAACTTTTTTTATTTATTTATTTAATATCAATAAAAACCACTCTTAATTTTATGTATTTTTATATAAAAAAAAAAAACAAGATTGTTACCGTATTTTTAAGTAACTATTTTATTTACAAATAAAAAAAAAGCGAAACCGGAGTGGGTTGTTAGATAAATAGTACATTTTAACTAAATTATAAAGAAATAAAACTGCTATATTCTTTATGGATGATAATGATGTTAACCTCTCTCCCCCCTCACTACGCTATCAGTATACGCTGATGGGACAACACTAAGTGGTGATAGGTGAGGATGAAACCTAACTCTCTAAACAAATGGTAAGCGAATACATCAATGGAATCATCACCATATCATCTATCATCACATATATGAGATAGAGTGAGATGGCAATCTCCAACCTCTTATACAAACTTTCCATTTCTTGCTTATGACAACGATTTTCAACAATGGGCAAATTTCCTTGATGGATTCATAAGCCATTTGTCTACAGGGCCTAAAATCAACAGCACAACCGAAATCGTTGAATTTAGAACCTTGAAAATTTGCAGATAGATTTATTGAATAGCGTAAGTAAACATTAGGAAAGGGATTTTAAATTTCAACCGCTAAAAACGCGGTTTAAGTTAGTATGTAATTTCGAAGTTAGACGCCTGAAATTTTATGTAACAAGAAATCGAATCAAAACGACGACGCTGCAGGTAAAAGCTAGTTTACTATAAAAGTCCTTACTTATATAAATGTGAAAATAACTTCTTAAGTGCTTAACCAATTTTCATGAAATTTTATATACACAATATTTGTGATAGAGGGCATAGGTTGTCTAAATGTCCGGAATATAAACATCTTGGTCATGAAGTCATGTGAATTTCGTCTGGGCGACCAAGATATGTGGAAATTAATAATAACTTAGTTCAATAAAATAAAACAAATTGTAGATTTGATAATTTATGTACACTACTAAATTACAGCTTTACAAAACGAGATTACTACAAACAAAAAAAATATTCGAAAACAAACGTCCATCTTACAATGTCGAAATTAAGATTGCCTGATATACTTAAACTCGTAATAGGGTCGTTGAATTTTTAATGTAAAAATCACATAAAACTACCAGAACCATCATCGTTTATAAAACAATATAATGATATTAGACAATCTCAATATATTTAAATTAATATAGTACATTATAACAATTATATAACAATCTTCACTTTTTGTCAGTTCATGGATACCTACAGATATTTGAATAGTTAAGAACTATAAGAAGTTATATTTTTAGTATAAATACATATGTAACCTATTACAAGCATATCTATCTCATAATGCAAAAAATATATTAAGTATTTCTGCTAATTGTTTTAATTCTTCTATATATTAATAGATAAATAATTTTAAAATAAACTTCTGAAATTATTTTCTATATTATACAATGCTTGTGATAAAACCGCTGGGCCTCTTCTGTGTTGCTGTATTGGTTTATCTTCTTCAGATATATCTCGTTTACTGCCATTACATGGAAACAGTGAACTCAATGCATCCATTTGAATATAGTTAAGAGATTGCAGGATTATTCCCTTGTTGGGATATGGTGTATATGTTACGGGCATATCTTCATAGTTTCTAATATGGTTCATATTCTGTGGTGTAGCAGCAGTTGGAGGTGCTGGTGGAGGCTGGTTTCCTGGTGCAGCAGGTGATGAGGGTTGAGTTGGTTTTTGTCCACCTAAAAAATCACCATTTAGAAAAAATATTTTCTGAATTATTAAATTTTCTTTTGGTCTGCAATAAGTATTGCAAATTCATTTAGGTATTTTGTATTTAAATTCTTCACTTGTAATTATTATTGAAGGTAGTTTTAAATTATTGGGCTTAACTATGTTTATTGGCAATAATACTTTTGTAATATACTGGTACATACATAAGAAAAGTTATGGACGAGTGAGGATGACATTTCTTTATCAGCGATTAAAAAACTTGAACAGAAAATAAATAATAATAGACTATATATAACTCTAACAATCTCCATGGTGCAATGGAGAGCATGTTGCTTTGTGTAAATGAGATCCCAGGTTTGACTTCTGGTTGAATTAGTTTAGGAAATAAACTTTTCTGAGTTGGCTCAAGTTTAAATGTCTGGGTTGTGCCCCAAGATATTTGTTGCCTTATTCCTCATAACACAGAGTATTATAGCTCAAGAACCACGCAAGTGGTATGATTAAATGGTATTTAAAAAAGAAAACAAACTACCTTTATAAAGAGAAGAAAGGAAACTAATATCCAGCAGGAGGATATCAGCAAGTTGTTTAATATTTATATTACTGTTTTATATTCTAAAAATTCTTATTTTTCAAAATATGTAATAAAAAAATGGGCAAAATACAGTTTTAAAAACTCAAAATAAATTTTGAGATTTCATGTGATTGCTAAATTAGATAATAGGTAACAATAATGGGAATTTAAGAGAATAAAGTAGTGATGTTTGAAACAGCATAATGTGTATGATATATATTAAAAAAGCATTTAAAAGACAGAAAGGCATCAACCACTAGTATTAAGATCTTTAAAAACAAATAATAAAATAAAAAAGAAAAATTATACACACTTATTGAATAAATAATTCTCTCCATTTCCCTGAGCTGTGTTTGTTGTCGTTGAACTGTGAAGTACAGGTCTGTTATAGTACTAGTGATGTGTTTCATTTCCTCCTCTCTTTTATTTTCCTTAGCAGCTTCCTTCTTACTTTGCCTATAATATAATGCATTTGTTAAAAGATAGTTAATTCAAACAATAATATAAACTACACAGAATCCAGGTACCTGTTGTACTCTATTATGAGTAATCCAGCACCAATAACAAATATAACAGTTTCACCAAGCAGGTTAGCCCCTAATTCGATTGCCATTTCCTGACTTAATACTGGAATATTCACAGGCTTTCCCAAATTTAAAATCCACATTTTTGCTTTTACTTCACACCAATTGTAGACTAAAAGAAAAGTATACATGTATACCAAACACAAAATTGTGTAACTATTTTCACACAAATGTAAAGATCGCAGATTAATAGACAATATTTAACAGTGCTGTTGTGAGAAATAAAAAAATATATACATACATTGAGCAGGAGGCATGCAAACATAAGTCCTGAAAAAAGGACTATTTTTGGCCCGTTCTTTACATGCATTTGCGATAGGTTTGCTAATTTGCTTGACTAGAAGTACAGATAATTTAGCAATAGGGAAAGCTCCAACAACCATTGTTTCTTTTAATATACAAGGTCTCCAGAATTTTTTAATAAAAATATATCGAGACAATAGTAAAACAGGGAATTCAATAAAAAAATTATTCTGAATCTAATTGCAAATGTATTAAGTAGTATTGTGTCAAATTGACAATGACGTAAATATTGACATTGACAGTATGTAGTTAGGTAATTACAAATTAGTATATACCCGTAGACAAAGCTGCAGGTACTGTCCTTAATCTTTGGTAGTGGAAGTGTGTATGTTGCAGACTTGATTAGATATACTACGTATAAGTACTAACTATAGCAATAAAATTCTTTATACTATCTTAATAAATAGTATTGTAATTCGGCTTTATCGAGTTTTAAAATCAGGATGCCTGACTAGTCTCAAAAGTCAAAATAGTATGCATCATCTTCAGGCACGTGTAAATGGTATAAGTAGATTTCATTATTAATATCTAACTCATTGTGAGATACCTATCTCTATCCCACTTCACGTTTCTGCCGGGAAGAAAATTCGAATTACATTACAATTGTAGGTGAACCATGTTAACGTTTTCCTCCCTTATTCTTTTTTTTATTAGCCCTATGCTACACTTTTACATGTTACTCAGAGAGTAAGTGATAAAATTGTAAAAGTTGTAAAATAAAAACAATACAAATTTCTTACATTTATATTTAAAAGAACAGGATAAACATAGCATAATGATTAAAAATCATATTTATCTTCAGTTAATATTTTGTTTAATATTTGAGAATAGACTTAAAACTATTGAATGACCTGGCATTGGGATCCTGTAACTCTCAATGTGGTTCCAACTTCATTAAATATTGAAATCATCTATCAATCCACTAGATTTTGGCCTATTATTAAAATACTGGCCTGCCATTTTAGGTTTTCCTTCTTACACATAACTTTCTAAATAATAAATATTCAGACAATAGCTGATTAATTTATAAATCAATTCTGTATTGCGTAATACTTGATTTTTCTGGAAAACTTGTTCGTAGTATGAACATATTATTGACTTCGGGTGTAGAATTTAAGGTTTCTAAATAACCAAACCAATATATCACTAAACCAGGACCAAACCTGTTCCAATAGCATGAAAGTTGTTCCTTCAAATAGCCTGAATGATTTTCTTCATCGCCAAACAAAGCTTTACTTTCAACCCAATTTACTATAAAACCATCTATAGCTATAGGAACATCTAATTTGAAATCTGGAGTTTTATCATATCCTCGGGATCTCAATATGTTTTCATCAGAAAATGTAATGTTCATCAATCTCAATTCCCTCTCTAGCCTTAACTCATACTCTAGTCCGATGGATCTGAAACAGTAATACAATATTCAGTAAATATCAATAGTCATTAAGACAGAATAAGATATTCTTATAAATAAATTAATAAATAAATATTATATTATTGATATAATTCTTATTTGTTAATAGAATATTCTAATCTAATACTTACTGTTTAATAATATCTGCATAAGGTCCATATTGGTTATCATTCATTATACCCTGAAATAAACAGTAGACTGCTTTAGAACAATTTTATATTTATTTTGTATTATACTTACAAATATGACGGGAACAGTATACCATATATAATCTAGTTCACACTCGACTCAACAAACTGATGCAAAAAATTATATATATGCTCTACTATCCATGTAAAGCCGGGGTGGGTTGCTAGTATACATAATTTTGGAATATAGAAACTTTAAGTTAAACCATAGGAATAAAAAAAGTCTGGGTAAAAATCAAATTCATATACTTTCCTTTGTAAGTGCTTCGATGCCAATAAAAAGTACCCGTTTCTCTCAATAAAATATGCGTGATTACTCTTGAAATAAATTCTAATAGATGGATATTGGAATTGAGACATTTCGCACTCTAAAAATTGCAATGGTAGCGATATAATATTCCATATTGTTCTGGTAGATGCATATTAGTATAACTTGCTAACACAAACTATTGCAAACCATTACCAATTCGAACCTATTTTCTAATTATTTTCTCGTGAGAGCAGCACCAATTGTCATTGGTAATAGATTGGATTATTTTATCAATATTAGATTCGAGTAGACTTGCTGGTTATCAGAAATTTATGCTCATTTAATAAATTATTTTGTCATTCTTAAATACACTCATCTACACTAATATTATAAAGAGGAAAGATTTGTATTTTTTTGTGTATGTTTGTAAAGAATAAACTCAAAAACTACTTTGCCGATTTCAATAATTCTTTCACCACTAGAAAGCTACTTTTACCCATGCGACATACCATCTAATAATTTATATACAATAATATACGGTACGGACAAATATCAAAAATATACGGTATATACAAAATATATAGCAAGGCATCTAAGGAGACCTATAGACTGAGCGCCGCGTGCCACAGACGTAGTATTATTATTGAATTTGCGGGAATCACTTCTGCCTAGTCCTTATTTTTATGATTATACAACTAAAATACCAACGTTGACGTCTTGTTTACTTAGTAACTATATAAAATGTATAATTCACTTCTAGATTATGTGCCTGTACGAGCTTATGTTTGAACTTTTTTTCACCTTTTCAATATGCATTGCGTTTGCGACTAACTCGATAATGTCGAGTTCAAAAATAATTTTATATCGCAATAGTGGTATAATATTATATAACTTAGGATTTGTTCTACAAAAACACCTATTTCAATCATGAGATTATTTTGTTTTAAAAACTACGAAGTGTGAACCTTCTCCATTTTTTTAAGTTGGTTAATAATAACAATATTATAGGTGTAAAAGTATTTTACGAAGGGTATAGAATGTAATAAGCATGTTTGTACCGGATTTTGCTAAATCTTATCCATGTCGTATATAAGTTGTTAGATTGTATCCACCATCGTCGCTCCTACAAGCAGGAGGATCACCCTAAGTTTATATATGCAATCACCATTTATGTATTTTACGCTTTTTCAATGTGTGTAAAACGAAGTGGATAATTTAATATTAATACCAATAAGAGCATAAATTTATGTCAACCATATTTGAATACACTATTGGGACTTAACATGATGAAAATCCCTTGTAAGGGTATTTCATTACGTGTGTATTTAAAATATGTGTAAAGAGTGTGAAAGTTTAAAATTAACAACCATATTTGAGTTTTATTCGCTTCAGTACACTCAAAAAAGTAATGAGAGTTACTCAGGTTATTTATTTTTATGGTTATGCTTATTATAAAAATTATTATTACCAAATATACTTGATAAGCCAAATCTTTGTCTTCAATTAGTGTTGTATCTTTTATACATTTTTTTGCCATAGTAGAATCAGAATACACGTTTTGCAACAATGATCTTGCAAATAAAGCTGGACTAATTCCCTGACTATCAGAAAGCCTGAAAAAAGAAATTGTGAAAGGTTTTGTTATTGCATCTTATTAATATAATAATTGTGAAAGTTTGCAAAGGTACAAAGGCAATAGATGACTGAATGGATATTTGTTACTTTTTCACACAAAAGTTACAGAACAGAATTTAATTATATTATCTGTGTGATCTAAATATATTTACTGGCTGAAATAAAAAAAGAGCCTATATCCTTCTCTATCCCATATAAAATGTATTAGTAATTAGTTAAGCCATTAAGATGCTAAAAGGTAACAAACAAACTCACTTTAATTTATTATAATAATAAGGATTATCTGTGCTAATGCTAGTGCATACCAAGCTTACTACATACAACACTACAAGGTATGAGATATTGTTAACAAATTTAGAAAATGACTAATTTGCTACAATAATTCTATATCCACTCACTTCATAATGACATTTCCTTTGCTTTTATCTGTCATAAGTTCCTCATATAAATCATGATATTTACTGGAAATTACTGGGGATTTTCTATAACTCTGTTTCATGGCTCTCTGAACCAGCAATGATATAATGCTTCCTAAGGTAGATGGTGGTAAACTGAAACATAGTGGTTATTATTATATTTTATTATCAAGTCTCTTGTAAAAGTAGATGTGACCTATGCAAAACCTTTGTATAAAAGTCTTCTGTTTGAACATTAGGTTTCTATTGCCAAGCATCTATACTTGCATGGCTGTATTTTTTATTTTAAATGTTGAATATGGTAGTGAAATTACTGGGTACAAAAGCATAAGATTGTAGCTGAGAAAAATGAGGAAAAGCAGTACATGTAAGGTGATACAAGTGTCACAGTATATTTAATATTATCCATAGTATCATTCATATTTATATTTGTAATTGCAATCAAAGGAATTTACAGTTTAGAACACTTATCTTCCACCTACCAATTCATAACAAGAATTATTAAAAAAATTATACAGATATAACTGTGTACAGCAAAGTGCCAGTTGATGCATTTGCACCCTGAGAAAATCTTGACTAAATCAACATTATTTATAATGTAATATAGATTTAATTAATATTAATAAGTTTAGGAAGTATTCTATACAATGATATCTGTTCTAGGAAGAGAATGATGAAATTATTTATAACAGAGATGAAAGGTTTAATGCCAGAAATATTCTTTTTCAGATCGAGCTTTATGAGACCAAACCTAGAACTTCTAGGTGAATTGATCATGATAGGCAAATGGTCCATATTTCATCTTCACCTTACATTTTTCAGTGACAAATAACCTATAGCGAAAGTATTACCTCGTTTAGATCTTAAAACGTAAAAATGCGAAAAGGCAATTGATACGCCCAAAAGGTGTTGACATTCAATAGTAGCACAAATCAAAACTGAATTAACTGATTAACAAAATGTTTCGATTTGCTTATTTCATTGAGCTCTTAAATTCTATTGAAACAAACTATATTATTATTCCTTTCATTATCTTCAGTCTGTCTTATTTAAAAAAGGAACTCACTGTTTGTATTTTTTCTTTAATTCATTTTCTGCTTTACGGCTAAACGAAGATAATTTATTAAAATCTTCTACAATAGCATTGTATATTTCTATCTTCATAATTTTACAATCAGACATGTTATGAAATAAAATTGAATATTTAAGTTTTGACGAACCGGTCTATATAATATTTGGATTAGACACAGAAAATATATTTGGAAAGAAAAGAAACTAAATAGGTAAACAATAAGTAAGCAGAGTTTTTTTTTTTTTTTTTTTTTATTTATTGTGACTTTGGCGAAAGCCATCAGCCAAAAAGTAACAATTACAAGGTAACAATATAAAATTACAAGACAAATTACAAAAATTATTATAGTTATAAATTAATTATAATATACTAAGCAAAGAGTATATAACATATAGATAAACCAGCCAGAATTGTACAATAATATACTACAGATTAGAGAAACTTTGTTTAAATACAGGTAGGAATCGCTTATAGTCTGTACAGGTTCTTAGTCTAAGAACAAAGAATTATATATGAGGAATGATAAAGTATAAACAGTAAATCATATGATTGCCTTTTCTCTTCTTATATTATCAGCAAATAGAGGATGTGAGATATACTATCAGTTACTTCCTACTAAATTCAAATATAACCTGCTTGCATACTTTCTACATAAACTATGTCCAATATATAATCTAGTTATGTAAAATTTGTTATTGACAAATAATTGACATATAGGAACAAAAATTTTACTTAGACATTTTCTATAAACTTGGCTGCTGAATTCAGGAAAATAATAATTCTGTATCTTTCGTCCTCTTTTTAATAATTACATTTGCATAAGAAAAAGGAGGCGACCATATGATTTACAGTTTTTATTTTATCATTCCTTCTATGTAATTCCTTATACTTAGTTAAATCACTACGATTCTCTCGTGTATGGCTCTTACAGGTACCTGAAATTCCCTTAGGTATTCCTTGCATTTCGTAACTTTGTTTTTTAACCAACAAAAGTCACAACAATTGCAAAAAGTAATTGAAATCTGAATTATAGATAAATAATAAATATCCAATAACCGTGTTCATTGATAAAAAAAAATTACGTTATAATTTGATTTCAGTTGTTTTCTACAAAATACATAATCAGTTACACTTGAATGGTAAAAAAAAAACAATATACCTAAGTACCTAACTACAAGGGGCCAAAAAAAACTGTTACTTATAACTTGATCGGGTATCATTATGACAAGAAGAGATGATGAATCTGCAAACATATCTACCAAATCATTCTTTCGTGCTATAGAATCTGTCAACAAAGTAAGTATCAATAATATTTTTCAATCTAATATCAGAGTCGACCTTAACTTTCCTGGTGTCCTTGAGCCATACTTTGACTCGTGTCGCCTTGATGACAATCATAAACAGACGAATCTTTTACAGAAGTATCTGTGATCAAATATTTGGAGACTCACTATGCCCCCTGACTATATAAAAAAAAAACCTGCTGGTTCATGTTGATTGGTGGCCCTTTTGGATTTCACTGCTTAGGCTTCACAACCAGGCAATACCTATAACTGGTAACTTTATTTGCTGCAATGTTTAATTAATTAAAAGCTGGGAGATCATTTATATCTTGTGTATGGGTTTCCTTTTATTATCGTCATTGAGTTAACCCAGTTTTTAAACACAGTTAAGAATGGGGCGACTGCTAGTTGCATCATTATCATTAAGCCTTCCCCATAACAAGGAGTTTTGCCAGAAAGTTGCCACCTATGGCAGGCAGATTGGCAACTCGGAACGATGAGGTCGCTCCGTGAGGCCTGTGAAGAACCCAGGAAGCTTCTGGGCGGAGCTAAGTTGGCTGCACTAGCCACGACTCATACACACAATGGCTCAAATAAGAGGCTAAGCGCAGAAAATAGAGTCTTTTTCACATTCACATGCAAAGTCTGAGAAATGTCACAAACTTCTATATAAAGGGAATGGTATTTGTTTCACATTTTAGATAATAATGAAAAAAATGTTTTAATATGTAAAAAGGAATCCCTTTCATCTGATAACATCATTTGGACTAGAAGGATTATTTTGGAGCCCCTAGCAAAGAAAATAACTTTTCCAAACAAACTTCAAAAAGGAAGTTCTCAATTTGGTGGTATTTATGTTTCTTACCTCATTGCTCCATGTTTTATACTGATTTAGAATTATATTTTTATCAGAAAGGATATACCTAAAGCATACCATAAAAATTTATTCACTATCGATTCAGTAATTTAGTTGTTAAATCAAAATAACTGGTTCTGCTATAATTTAATACAATCATAAATTGTTTTATGATTAATATTAAAGAAGACTGTATTTAATTGTATTTTACTGAAAATTTTAAAAGAATAAACTCTTAATATTATTTAACAGGTGGGCTACATGGATGGAGCATCACAAGGGCAAATTGCTACATTTCAACCAAGTTTCAATATTGGTTATGAACAAGGTCTAAATTTTGGATTACATTTAGGATTTAAAGAAGCTAATTTAAGGTAAAAGATAAAAAAATATTATTACTTATATTAAAAAATTTATTTTTACAATATAATTCTATTATAATCAATATTATATTTCAGAATACAAGATCAGCAATTTCATTTGCAAGAATTGACAGACTCAAGAAGGATAAACTGTCAAATATGTTTAAACAATGTTACAATGAAAGAAAACATAGTAAATCTATGTAATACTCAAAAAGAAAAAAATGATGAAATCATATCACTTTATAAACAAATGTAAATGACCTTAAAGACAGTATGAGTTTTTTATATTATTTCTATGTAAATTAAAAAATAAATATTATTGTATTGTATTGTATTGTAAAAATCTTTATTGTACATAAGTCAGATTAAATACTAGTAAATGATTTAGTATACAATGGCGGACTTATCCCATAAAGGGATCTCTTACAGTCAACCTTTGAGAAGCTGAAAGAAAACTGTAGAATGTATAAGGGTAATAACCGTACAATTAAAGATAAACTAAATAATACCCAGTAAAAAAAAAAAAAATTGAATATATAACACAATAAAAACAGCTCTATATACCTACATATGTAAATAATAAAAGTAAATTAATAATAATATAACATTAATAAATAAAAACTTATACACATACACATACATATATACACATATACACACATACATATACATATATATATATATATATACATATATATACATACATACACATACATATATACACTCCTACATACACGTATACATAATAAATACATATATTTATAATTGTCTCCTAGATGGGTATTCTATATACGAGAATAAGTCTATCTATATTTCTGGATCGTGGGTGCATGCGAAAGTTTCTAGTGATCATTTATTGGTTGCACTACCTTTGCAAGAGTGTTAGTAATTTCTAATCACTTTTTAAATGACTTTCGAAAGATGGAGGTTCTTAAATCGTCTAAGCTTTTTTTTGTGCATTATACAGTTCTGGTAAATGGTAATGATTGTTGGTTAGTTGCTTATAAATATTTTGTCTATTTCCACCATTAAATAGTACCTAAGCGTGTGATTGCTAACATCTGAGAATTAACTACTATATTAATAGAGGTCACTACGACATTATTAGTCATTAATATCTGATTGTTGTTCTGTCTACACACATGTTATAAGACATGTTCCACTAATAGAAAAGGAAAGAATGCTAGTAATGGCAACACACTAATGTTAGTGGAAATAAATAATTCTAGTCAACTAGTAGCATAAAATTGACGGTCTAGTACAATTCACGAGCTGAAGATACAAAATTAATCTTATTATGACTCCTGTAATGTTTTTAATCGTCCTAGCTTAATAATGAATCAAAGAGATACAGTTACACGAGTATAAACTAAACGTAAAAGTAATAAAAAAAACATTTTTTATGCAACATGAAAAGGCAAATAAGTTGATGTTCCATTTTATTAAAAGTAGTATTAATCATCCTACTGTAGACATAAACAGTACCATAAGTATCATAGAATATATTTATTATGCTCATTATCCGTAAACCCTTAAAAATGGCATAGGTATAATTAAAATATTATCCCGAAAATCTATTCATATATCTTAATCATATTAATATAATAAAATTGTAATAAGTCAATGTCTGTACATGGGAAATATTTAAGAGAAAAATATATGTGGGGTCTTAATAACAGCTATAGAAATGGAAACAATAATTTTTAGAAATTTTGTATCATCACATTAAAACTTACTACACCAAATTGGCATATGTTTTATCTTGATATACTTAATATAAAAGTGGTCTATTTAATTGATTTTCCTACTTTTAATGTCTACTCGTACGAAGCTGCAGGTAAAAGCTAACTGACTAAGTAACTTATAAGTGTATTTTAGATATTTATAGTGTTCTTGGTTTTTTTTCTGGAGGAGGTTTCATATTTTCTTGCTTGATTTCAGTTTTAATTTCAGCATGTCCTGATATATTGCCATTAGTCATGTCTGTACTACTGGAATCTACTGGTTCCTGTTTTATTGTTATGTTGTTAACATTGCCATTATCTGTCTTGTCTTTATCATTTGTGTTTTCACTCTTTATTGTTACACCATTTGCCTAAAATTTAATAACAATGAATAAATTATTTAAAAAAAAACAGTGCACAACAAGTATTAAACTATATGTTTAATAGTAATCAATTGTAACTGTCACCTATAGACAAAAAGAATCCATGGACGTTAGAATCTATTTTCATGTTTTTTTCTTTGTATCCTCTGTGTTTACCCTTAATTTCACTGCCATACCTACCTACCTTTCGAAACAAAACAATTAGGCTTAGCGGTAGAAATAGATGCTCGTGTAGGTTCTGGAATGGTAGATTATGGGTGATAATGAAATGGTAACCCCGTCCGCGCTATCGGTATACAGTGGCGGGGCACCAGTGGAAGATAATAGGAGAGAATGAATTGAGGTCAGTTGGCCCACAATGATTAATTCGACAAAAATTAACCATGATGGTTTCCAGGGGGAACCGCGTGGAGGTCTACCCGAGAGAGTATATTGGCAATGGGGCTAGACTTCATTACTAACAATCCTTATCCCCCCGCTCATATAGATTACGTATTTTAAAGTCTATAATTTAATTTTGTCCACGGATTTTTTTTTTTTTTTACCTATGAGAATGACACAGTATAATAAATTATTGTATGATATAATTCATAAATAACCTAAATACATGTGTTCTAATGAATTGTATTAACTTACAACAAGTAGCAGTTGAAGCATATTAGAACAGATGAACAAGGATATGTTTGATGGCCGACCACATTCGTCCACATAAGGAAATAATATTTGCGAAATATGTGTGCCAGGACTAGCAGTACTCCGAGGAAAGTGTATATAGACGTAAGTTCATTGTAAAATCTGGTTTGAAATGCTTACACATACATACTCTCATGTAAACTTTAATTTTACCTGATTAGGTGTAGTTTGTGCTATTGGTAAAGGAAATTGTCTAACAAGTTCAGCCAGCAACATATCCACTCTTTGACGTTGGAACAATGTCGACGGTTCCTCCTTTGGTGTACTTGAAACTTCTTTAGGAACTGATTGGCCTGCATTAAATGGACTTATACCTATAAATAAAATTATTAATTTAGGAAATGGGAGACACTATACGGCGCACGATTACGTGATTGATTGGTGGGTGTAGTTCCAAAGTTTTTACTTAGTTTCATCCGCCGTGAAGGGGGGCGCGGACGCTTCCGCACTCAGTCCACGGGTACCGTCTGTTGCTTTTCGTCATATCATCTTTTTTTTAAAACTGCTCACGGTAATTTTGATCCCGCTTTAGCTTCGTGGATAAATCGAGAAGTTTGAATTTTTTATTATTAAGAGGATAAATAAAAATATAAATATAATAGATATATGGATATAGGATAAAGAGAACTTACTATTCATCTTCAAAACACTAACATATCATTAACACTAACTTACTAATCATCAAAATTATATATATATATATAAAACAGAGGCGGTAATTTTAATCTTTGTCAATGGGAGCACCTACTCAACAACTTATTTAATTATAAACTGTTATCGAATCAATTACCTATTAAAATTTATAGTGATCACATCAATCATCTTTATTTCTATAATACTTATAACTAGACAAGTGCTAAAGTTGTTTAACAGGTGTATCTATAGACACTAAAATAATTAACTTTGAATTGGCAAATAAGCTGACAGCCCACCGGATGGAAAGTGGTAGCCGTCATCTATAGACATGAGCAGTACTATGGACATAACACAGTATACTGTTTCCCTCATGATATCCCCCAAGTTTTGCCATTCCTGAGGACAGGTGTTATTCCTCTGTACCCTGTAAATTCATTGCCATATTCCACCCATCAAACTGAAACACAGCCATGCAAATACAATTGCTTTACGGTTGAAACATAAATGGGACAAAAGTGCCCAAACAAACGACCTTTGTACAAAGTCTCCCTCTGGTATCTCACAACATTTTGTAGTGGAAGAACTGAATTGCGAGACTTGGCATTTTTTGTCTTTTAGATTTTCAATGTGCTCTCCGAACAATAAAAAAGTTCCCAATTATACATATGTTTCTGTATTTGTAATTATATTTCATTTAAAATTATCACCGAGATACCTGCCAAGGCTTACAGCATTATAAGCCACCTTCTGGTCTTTTGCAGTTAGATTGCGGAACTAACTACATTCTCACACAATGGCTTAATTAAGAGTTTACTAAGTTATAGTCTAGATTAAGTAACTAACCAGGTTTTGTTGCTTTGAAATCCCACCAATAACCTTTGCTAGGGTGATATTTTGAATATGACATAGTTTCCTCAAATGAACACTGTAGATGATGGACAGCGGACAGCTGGAAAAAGTAAATAAATTCTTGGTTTCAAATGCACAGCCACAATCCAAATAATACATGTATGCCAAAATTTGTGACTATTGGCTGAGGCGTTAAAGTACCAAGAGGTAACCATACTATTTTATTGTAATCTCTTTGGGAGCAACCACTTAGACACAAAATACATTGTGACACTTATGACACCACTCATTTGTTGCTATTACTGAGATCTAAAGTGTTATGCATGCGAAATTTAAAACCCTTTTTAATATAAAAATATTTATATTAGTTAATAGTACTCTAATGAGAAAAAGATAAATACTAGCAATAATGTATTATATCATGATATCCACTTATTTCACTGTTGCGGTAGACTAACAAAAATTTCTTTGTGAGGGAAATATTGAAAGGAGAGTGAAAGAGGGAAACAGTTAACAGTGTACTGCTCTCAATTATGAAAAGTAAAAATGTATTGAGCAAAATGACACCAATACTTATGTATGGAAGCAAATTGTGGGTATAACAGAAAAAGCATTAAAGTAAGATAAATGCTGTAGAGATGCAAGCTCTGAGAAGTATAGCATTAAAAGATACATAATGATTAGAAAGAAGTGTGAACTGAAAGATGATATAGCCATAAAAGGGAATGTTGTGTTGGTTTGGCCACTTGGAGAGGATGCATGAAAGAAAAATTACGAAAGAGAATTATTGAGCTTCTTGCTCAATAATTCTCTTTCATCCGCTCTAGATACATCGACCAAATCTGCAACATGTTGAAGAAAGGGCAAAGTAATCATAACCGGCTAGCATGTATGAAAACAACGCTGAATGTAAAGAAAGTGAGAGCAGCTTGTTTGAATCAAAGCATTTGGAATTATTTTATATAATTATTTTATATTACTCATAGGTACAGGAATTTAATTGTTATTTACAATTTAGCAAATATTATTTATTATTTTGTGGGAATGGGTATTACATTTTTTTTTTAACATTTACTGAATGGTCTATTATATACTAAAGACACCTAGCTATATTTAGTTTTGACATAATTCAAATGTATTTGTAACATTATATTTGTATAATGTAAAAGATAAAGAGGATATGTGAGGATGAAATCAGATCAGTTGGCTGATCATAACAAGTTCAACAATAATTAATTACAATAGTTTCCAGGGGGACCACAAGGTCACCATGATAAGGTATATTGTTAACAACAGGACATTTAGACCTCATTACTAACAACTAAAGATCTTTGTATGATCATTACCAATCACTCTTAAATGGTTGAACATAAGAAACTTCATGATGCAATTAAGTAAGGCCACTAGAAACTGACTCTCTACATAAGAAATTTTATGATGGAATTAAGTAAGGCCACTAGAAACTGTAAATTTAAAATAATGATTTAAAATTAATACATTTCACCAAATGATAAGTTAAAAAAACATACCAATCTAGAGTTTAAAACGCTTGCTAAATCTGGAGCTTGGTACACAATGCCCGCAATAATGTAATAATCGGCTAATGGAGTGGCTTGATTGGGTCCATATCGATGTTGTTTACGAATCACATACAAAATAGGATCTTGCACATGTAGGAGTATATATTCCAAACCTGTCATATTTCTGTAAAACATAAATACGTATTAGAAAGATTGAAACTATTATGATTACCGGGTACAATCATAAATTACTTACTGTAATTGATCCATGCTTAAGCGCTGCATTTTAACAACTTCGTTATTGCAGGTACGATCAAAAAAAGGGTTAGATCGCTCAGAAAAATAATCCATTATGTTAGAAGGACTTAACATTGGGATCCAAGCAGAATCATGCCATGAAAGTCCTAAAGGATTTTCTGATGAAATTGGCATATTACCGATTCTTCCAGGCATCATCTTGCTAGTAAGTTATAATTAAAACAGACTTTAGGTAGGTAGGTAAAATCAAATATTAACAAAAAATTTGGATACAAAATTCAACGGAATCTAAATAATGTATTTAATATAAAAGCTTCTCTCAAAAATTAGAAAGAAAACATCTAAATATAAAACACACCAAGTGTCAATTTCTTTTTTTTTTTTTTGGCACGATAAGAGAATGTTTTTTTTCAAACGCATAGACTTTTAAACACAGAGTACATATAAATAAAGATACAAGTGTCATACACTTGCAAGTTGTTTTCTTGATATATTGCAATGCTCTGATAAAATCGCAAAATATAGTTTTGTTATATAAAACTTTTGTTATACTTTCACATGATTACCTAAGGTTTAAGTTAAGGCCACAGACTTTTCTTTCATTAGTCTTGGGGTGCTATCAGCCAAACAAAGGGCCAATGTTGTATAATTCAATGATGAATTTCTTTAAAACCTTGTTTTTTTATATTACATTTTAATTAGATTGTCACAACCTGGATAATTCGGTGTGTGGGGGGAGGGGGGAAGGGATTGTTAGCAATGGAGTTTCACAGTCCCATTGCTAGCAATATGCCTTATTACGTCGACTTCTACATCGTTCCTCCTGAAAACCATCGTGAACAATTCTTGTTGAATTCGTCACGATGGGCTAACTGACCTACTTCATCCTTACCTATTATCCTTAATTGGTGCCTCGCCGGTATATACCGATAACGCAGGTGGGGCAACCATTCCATTATCATCCATTAAAAAAACCTAGATAATTCATATATAATGCATAATAAGAGCATGTTTGCAATCCTGCTCATTTGGCAAAACTTTAAATAATGAACAGTGATATATGTGAGTGCGATGCGAATGCGAGTAATCTAAATCATATTTTATTATCCTATTCCTTTTATAATTGTTCCTTATAAACTCTTTTTCTATCCTTTAAAGTTCCATTTCCTACTTCTACCTTTTACATATATAAGGCTAGATATAAATGCTTATTAGGTTATCCTGATCATTCTATTTATAAAACACTAGCTCTATTTATTAAGTAATAATAGTATAAAATTTAAATGGTCATAGTAATTTTCTTGGTAACATAAATAATTTATACAAAATTTTTATACATCATTATTTCCCGTCCCATTTCCTGTCTGATGTAAATTAAGAACAATTCCGAAATCTTTACTTGTAAATATCGGGCAACACTAGCCCAGTGTCACTAGGTCATTGGTAAATTTAAAAAAATACATATTTATCACAGATATTTATCTTAGTTGTAGGTTATATTGGTGTGTTTAATTTTTTCATGATAAAATTTCTAATTATGAAAGTAGTATATTTATCTTATATTGTTAACAATTAAAATATTTTTCAAGCGATTGTATTCATGCAGTAGTCGTAAAGGATCTGTGTACCAATTTCTAAAACTGCAAACTGCAACTAGACTGTACTGTATTTAAACCATTGCTTCATAGTTTCCAATTTAAATTTAGCATTCATGTATTGTGTTAGCATCAGTTTAGTAGATGCTATCGTATATGTATATAATAGTTAAACATTATTTGAATTAGAACTTGCTCCAATTTATCATTTGCTTGGCAGACATATATAGATTTTTGATGAAATTCTATGGAGCTCTAATATAATCAATATGGAAAATCAAATCAGGTGTTTTGAAGATATTTTTTCTGAAGCTTTTAATAATGAGAAAGTAGTTACAGATACATCTTCTGATCAGGTAAATGTTAACAACTTTTGGGTCTTGGATATCTAACATAATTTTTGTTGCAATTTATCACATGATAATTTTACTTTTTAATACATTGTTAAACTAATATTTACAAATTCTTAAATATTATTCTTATATGAATTTGATTGTCTGTTGTAGGTTGATGTAGAAACATCAGTATTTAATATATATAAACAGTTTGAAAAGAATGCTTCAATGGATCCAGATTTACCGAAACTGAGCAGGCACACACATAGTAAAATATTAAAGAATTGGTTAAAAGGATTACATAAGAGTTATGAATGCTTAGATGCCAGCAGAACATGGTTGGTTTACTGGATCCTGCATTCTCTGTGGTTGCTAAATGACTTGCCTGATGCAGAGACTTTATCCCATATTGTACAGTTTCTTTCTCACTGTCAGAATGAAGAGGGTGGGTATGGTGGTGGACCCGGTCAGTACTCTCACCTTGGTACTACATATGCTGCTATTAATGCACTTAGTATTATTGGAACAGATGCAGCCTATGACTCTATAGATAGGAGTTCCTTGCAAAAGTTTTTATGGACACTTCGAGATGTTGATGGCTCCTTTGCTCTACATAAAGGTGGAGAACAAGATATAAGAGGAGTATATTGTGCTCTTAGTGTAGCCAAAATAACAAATACATATACTGATGCATTGTTTGACAAGACAGCTGAGTGGCTAGTTAGTTGCCAAACTTATGAAGGAGGATTTGCAGGCTGCCCTGGCATGGAAGCACATGGGGGCTATGCATTTTGTGGCATTGCATCCTTAGCTTTATTAAATAAATCACATCTTTGTGATGTTGATGCATTGTTACGTTGGTGTGTGAATCGTCAAATGCGTGTGGAAGGTGGATTTCAAGGAAGAACAAATAAGCTTGTAGATGGATGCTATTCTTTTTGGCAAGGAGCAGCTTTTCCAATTATTAGTGCCATTCTTTCCCAAGGTTGGTATATTGATAACTAATTTCTCATCTATCTATATCCTAATACCTGAGACTTTGGAGGTAAAATAATTATTAGTAATGGGGTCTACTAGCCCCATTACTAGCAACATACCTTATCAGGTCGACCTTCATGCGGTTCTCCCATGAGAAACCATCATGGTTAATTCTTATTAAATTCTTCAAGATGGGCTAACTAATCTGCTTTCATCCTCACCTATCATGTATCATTGGTGCCCCGCCAGCATATACCAATAGCGCAAGCGGGGTTACCATTCCATTATCATCTATAAAAAAATACCTAAGACTTTAAAATAAGCAGAGAAAATCAATAGCAACAGCATTAGTTATGTGTTACACATATATAATTTTACTTGTACACACAAATAAAACATCTTCCTTGTTTTATGTTTTGAAGTTTTAAAAACATAAAATAAAGTAATTGTTGATACAGCTCCATAAGACGGTGTGATGCAGACCCAGTCTGGGTAGTTGTATTCCCGTCATAGTCACCAGTTGGGTGCCACTTGTGGGGACTGGTCTGCTCAAGTTTGCTAGTTTATTTTCCATTTAATAATACATATAAATAGAATTTAATGCTAATTGTAGTCACAATACCCATGCAAATGTTATATTATCTTGTGCATAAAATTTGAAAAGAGTAACTGTTGTGTTTGTTGCGGGTTCTTCTCACCAGATAACAACATCCCAAATCCAACAGTAGAATCATAAAAAAAATAACGATTTAAAAGAGCTTGTAAAGGAATCTATTTGAATAAAGATTATTTCTATTCTATTCTATTGTACATTTTTCTTAATTGATTATAATGAATGATAATGAAAGAAATTCTACCTGCGCTAATGGCAAGACCTAAATTGGACGTGGGCAAATACATTTTATGCGAAGTTTTTTAATTATACAAAGAAGGTTTATAAAAATTCAAAGTTTAGTTAACAAAAAGAAACACGTGTGCAGCACATGGCATCTCGGACCATAAGGCCGAGGGTGATTGCTCATGTCTTTGCCACCTATGGCATGCGCTGTCAATATTAGCTCATCATGATAAATTCGAAAAGAATTAACACAATGGTTTTCAGGAAAACCAACAATAATAGTCTACTCTGTTCATGGTACTAACAATCCCTTATCTGCCTGAATGGCTGTTTTGGCATCACGAAAAACTACTGCACCAAATTATATGCGGTTTTGACAGTTGTTCCTGAAGATCTATCTTAAAATCTAGTGTATATTTTAATACGCAATTTATAAGTAGTTACTTCAAAAAATAAGAAGTATCTAAAAATACAATATCAAAATACGTGGTCTATTTTTATAGTTAGATTGAAACTAATCTGGTCTATTCTATGTTAATGGTTTCATAACAGCCTAAAGATATAACTTGTATTAACATCTTTTTTTTTTTTTAGATAATAAAGAGATGATTGAAACAGTATTTTTTAATCAAGGTGCCTTACAAGAATACCTACTTATTTGTTGTCAAGCACGTGATGGTGGTCTTATTGACAAACCTGGCAAGTAAGTAATTTTACTTTAATTTCATTAGGTCTGCTTGTAAATTCTTCCGCCTGGTAACTGAAACCCTTACTAATATTGAAAATGTGTTTGTTTGTTTGTTACTTATTAATGCCTTAAAAGCTTAAATTATCGCTATGAAACTTGTATGGGATAGAGAAGGATATAGACTACTTTTTATCCCGATTAGCGAATATATTTTCGTCACACGGACAAAGTCGCGGCTAAAAGTTCGTTAAATTATATATTATTAATAATTTGCAAAAAAAATCAATATACCTGCGACTATTTTCTTAATATATTAAAATAATATTTGTTTACGTTAATTTCCGAAACCGTTAAACCTATTTTAATGAAATTATTTAAATATGATTTGTTTATTGTAACTTCGGGATGGGATAGTTTTATATTCTGATAATAAAAATGATCATTAATTAACGAGAGGGGCCAAACAAGGTTTGTCAGGACAATAATACCTAGTACCTACATATAAATGAATAAAATAGTTATGAAAATTTGAAAACTTCTAAAGAATATTTGTAATAACAGTAAGTACTCACAAAATAAATAAATAAATACTATGATAACATTAGCGTAGACCAATGCTATCATAAATTAAAATATTTTATAGAATATCATTTATCCAGTACTTGTTTTTGAACCTATTTATTACTACAATATACTGTGCTATGTTACAATATGTTAACCCTGAATAATTTGAAATTTCACTTAAATCTATTTAGTCGTACACAAAGTTTTTACCTTATGCGGTTTTTACTAACTTTCATAACATAAGGACATGTGTGACATGACCTTTAAATATTTGTAGTATTTGAAATTGAATTTTAAAAATATTGGCTACAATAATAATAATTTCTTTCCCATTGTTACAGACTTCGAGATATATACCACACTTGTTATGCACTAAGCGGATTGTCCGTGGCTCAGCACGGCACCGGCGCTGGTGATCCTTATGTTGTGGGTTCTCCTCGCAATGAAGTGAATAGAGTCCACCCCTTGCACAATGTCGCGCCGCACCTAGTTTATAATGCAGTACATTATTTTATCAGACATCCACCTCCAGTGAAAGACAAAAATTAGCTAAATGTTTGTTTAAGTTACTCATTATTATACTTATACTACAATTTCTATATACGAATGTACATAATATTTATGTTATAGTAGCGATCGCAGTTTATTGCGGGTTCGAATATATTATCAGTGGACCAGGGTCTCTTAGACAAGTGGCAAATAAATCTATCTATAGACACGTTGTCGCTATCGCATATATAAGATTAAACGGGATAATAATAATATATCTAACTCTATCGATATATTCGCCTGTCACCTCTAGAAGCAGGTTTGTAACTTTTGAATTGTATGTAGTTTGTTCACTCTTGTGTGGCACATATTATTTTTTTAAGTTTTTCAGTAAGTATTTACTCTGATCAACTTTGTTCCTTGGATAATCAGTACTTATCAGTCTTTCAGTAATGCTGCTACACTACACTTCCCATTGCGCTTGTCCATACCGAAAATCATAGTAATTAATTGAAAAGTTAAAATGGTCAAATAAATTATCTATATTAACAGTAGTCTTTATTTATCTATTATTAAATGTCCAAATCACATTTCGATGTTTATTGCAGATTAGGTAATCTATTGTTGCCTTTACAAATTATTAATCAAGTATTACTGGAAGAAATTTGTTGATAATATATATAAAATAATTATACTACTACTAAGTTACCTGCAAACACAGTAGACACTCCCGCCGCTCTCTCTGACCTCTGTCTCCTTAATGAACTGTAAAGTAAGCGCCGTATAGACGCTATAAGGTAACAAACAAACTCACATTTGTAATATTAGAAAGGATTAACTTTATTTAAATAGCGAATTATTTTTGAAAACTACCACATTTAAAAATCATGTAATTTTGTCAAATCTAACCAGATTCTTAAATAGACAAATGTGTTCAAAACTTTAACTGTATTTTTCTCAATTTTTTTTTTATTTTCCTGATATGCGCCAAGTGGCATTGTCAGAGCATAAAGGATATTATATTTAAAGATGATAACTAGCTAGTATTATAAATCGAATATTGTACTGTGCGTTGTTTATTACGGATTTATAATGAGTTTACAGTAATGTAATTTTAAATTATATATTATAATTATCTTTGGAGCTGATCATAAGATTAAGACAAATCGATTGATATTAGAATCATCAAAATCGGTCCACGCATTGTTTTTGAAATGGTGGGTAATGGAATAGTAACTCCGTTTGCGCTATCAGTATAGGCTGGCGGTGCCCTACTGAGATGAGAATGAAAACAGGTCAAGTGGAACTGTATGTAGGTCGACTTGGTAGGATATATATATTGCTAGCAATTGGGTTGGCTCCATTACTAACAATCCTTTCTCCCACCGATCTACGTGGTCTAGAGCGCCACAAAGGAAATATATATAGGCTGATAAACATATTACCCTCTTTGCGCAGTTGAGTAAAATGGCTTTGTTATAATAAAATCGTAAGGATTTTATTAGTCTACTCAAACATAACTAGATGTAATTCAAGATTGAAGAGGAAACAAAATTGTGGTTTTATTGATTGTATTTTTAATAAGTACATTCTATTACCTATTTACATTATTTTTCTCGAGTATTATAAAACATTTATTATACAATAAAATTAAGTACAATCAATCAGTTTATAATAAAAATAAACATTGATTAAACATTTACGAATTTTTTAATAAAATTATGACTCTTGAAATTACGGCAATAAACAATTATTTAAAAAAAATATGCTAAATTGGTACAATCAACTTAATGAAAAAAAAGACAAACTTGACAGTTGCTTTTTATTTTATTATGATTTTAGAAACCCTATTGGATACAAAATTAGTATTGTATACTTAGCATGTTATTTTGAGATAACCATGATATACATTAGCATAACAGTACTTATGCAATTTGTTCCAATTTATTAGGTACTAACTAGATTTATTTGGTAACTTGATATTATACTAATACAAATTCTTCTGATTCAATGTCAGTATCATAATCTTGCATACTAGGGGTCACCCAGTTCTGTTCAGTTTCATATATAGAATATCTTATGTTTGGTGGGTCTATTACATTAGCGCAAGATCCACTCTGCAGTGTAAAAATTGGATACTCAAAGTTTGCAGATACTCCTTGTGGAATTAGGAAAGACATTATTACATTAACAAAGGTTTCAAAATCATGTTGTGTTGCAAGATAGAAGCCTATGCAACATGACGGATCCATTTTACTAAGTGGCATTTTTCGTGGTGATCGACAATGAAAAGTCTGTAATGAAAAATTTGGTTGCCACACATCAACCATTTCTTGGCAGTAATGTGGGTCTAAATGAATCAGTCTGTCATCTTGATAACCAACAAAATATAAAGAATGTTTTGGTCTTCCTCCTATAATACCTATACAGAAGTCGAGTGTTAATAATGATGTAAGGCAAGGTCCATATATTGGATTAAATTTGTCTGTTCCTAACTTCACAGGTACTAACAGGATAAGGGATTTCCATGAACCATTGGGCATCAAACATAATGAATTTACATCTTCAATATAAATAGTTGAATCTTGAGCAACATATACTTCTAAATTATCAAATTCATAATTTTCTTTGGAGGCAGCAGCCATGACAGCTTTTAAACAATGTGCTACAGAAGCAGGACCATACCAGTCTCCAGGTTTCTTTCCTAGAGCTTCACCTAATCTCACCATTTGATGAATGGAGAGGGGACTGTTTACAGAGGATTTATCTCCAAACCATTTTATAATCATACGATGTAAACAATCTTCCTGAAACTCTCTGGCATTTTGAATTGCTTTGTCTGGTGACCATCTCCAGTCCCGACCCAGAAAATGACAGACTAGTGCCTGGGCCAACAACATTTGTCCACTTCGTAACATGCATCCCCAACCACAATCTGTGGTAAAATTTGAGCCATACATAGTAGGAAATTCTCGTCTATATGTCATCCACAATCTACTTATGAAATCTGATTTGAAGCCTTCTATACCTTCCCCATATATCTGCTCCATGGGTTGATGTGCAGTTGCCTCTGTTCCTATTTCTGTTGAAGATTCCAATGAGCCCGTAGGGCTCAGTTTACGGTGATAACAGCGACCTAATAGCCATACAGGTGATTCTTTGGAAAAATTTGTCTTTATTTTTACCGTCCATCCAAATTTCATGTTATTCCACATGGACAGTAGTTTAGATTCAACTTTTCCTTTGAGATCTTGCAAATCTTCCGTATTTTCACGTGCATTATCCTTGGACCCTGTAGCTTTACTTTTTTCAATTAATGTTGGAGAAGTACTTTGCATAGCATCACTAATGTGGGTGTTCAGCTCAGGGTTATGGGCAACAACATTACTAGGGCCGTTCATTTCGATACCTAAGACATAATATTTACTAAACTACACCTACTGTTTATAATGCAAAAGAGAAATATCATTTCTTTTTGCTAATAAAATCTTCATATAATTCAGAATTAATGTAAGTAGTAAATTTTATTCTAGAGTAGTTGAAAATGGGAGAAAATGAGTAAAAGGAGTCAACTTCGATGAAAGTAAAAATAAAATCAATAGAATAGATAACTAACTATACCTGCCTAAAGCCGATAAGTCATACTCACAGATTATGAGACTAGAGTAGAGAGTCTAGTCCTAAAAGACGTGTTTTAATCTGTGGAACAAATATCACTAATTAGGGTTGAGCAAATCAAAAAGTTGATGAAATAACGATAAATTAAAAATTAGCACAGCTAAGTTAATTGTGATTAAAATAATTAGCTGTTAGTTATAGCCATCCTCGAGTTTTCGACACGTTATAACGTAACGTATGCACGGCTAACACTGTGCTAATTCTCACTATTAGTGGTGGTATTCTATTATTGAAAAAATAACCACTGCTAAGTTATCTGTCGTCAAAATAGCTAGCTATTGGTTATAACCGTTCTAAAGTGCCGATACTTTATAGCGTATCAACGACTCATGGCTAACTATACCTTCACCTTCCGATTATGACAGATATTGTCATTTATGGCAGCTAGCTATTATTGACTATCTTCTATCGATAGTCCCAAACTGTTGTTACACATGGACCGTTATTCAGCAAAATTGCTAACGATAAGGGTAACTTTGGTGTTTTAGCTAGACAGTTCTATAAAACAATAACTGATTAGTAACTTATTGTTTATTTAGTTTGGTTTATTATAACACAAATATATATATTTATTTAGTTATTAAAATTGCGGCTAGTACATCTTTATTATTCACAGAACATTATTATTATTCTTATTCCACGTCTCACAATAAAAATCTGTGTGTTAATAGATATTATATTATATAGATTAAAAATGAATAAAATTCTAACAACATATATTAGAGCGAGATAAATAAATAGGACAATTCACGAACACACGATATACCATATAGTATTTCATTAAACTATCAAAGTAAAATATTATGAGGAATAGGTTTATAAAATGGGTCCTCTAATTCGATAATTGTCAATGTCAATTTGACAAACATGTAAAAAAGTTTAGACATTCTCTTTGACAGAAATGAATTTTTCTCATGTTTTCTACATGCTTGATTTTGCCGAGTGTGTTGTGGATTTAAATAAATTTAAGAGTCTATTCCTCAATTGTATATAAAAGTTCAGAGACGTTTTTTGTTTTTGTGTTTTTAATAATTTTATAGACTGATTACTTCTTCGATTAGTGCTTTTAAAATTTTAATTCCGAAGTAAATATGAGTAAAGGCAAGAAATTTTTTGGTAGAAAGAAAAAAGGAATAACAAAAAAAGTTGTAAAGAAGAAAAAAGCTGATGAAGACTATATCAATAAAAAATCCATCTTTAACAGATATAAAAACAAACAAAAAATGGAAAAGGAATTAGAGATAAAACGGCAGTGGGAAAAAAAAATTCAAGAGAGACAAACAACATATTCTGATGAAGAAGAAGAGGAAGAGGATGCCTATGGTCAGTTGGTATCATGTTTCACTAATAAAAAAGGCAGGCTCACTGTAGACAGTGAGGAAAGTTCCAGCAGTGATAATTCAGATACTGAAGAAAAAATTAGAAGTAGTGATGAATTAGAACAACAAATGACATCGCAAAGTGACTTATGTGATGATGTAAATGAGGAAAAAGATATAGCCGGTACTGCAGAATTAGAGGTATATCAGTGTAATAAAATATTAGAAATTAACCTCTTGTATCCTTTTTTTGTATGTAGGCAGGATTGTTCTTAGTTTATTTAATACTTGGGTATGTTTTTGACGCCTCCCTTGATCACTGATGAACATCAGGTTCAATATCTCCATGTCAGATGCACTGTGTCTGATACTTATACATTGGGTTTCTAAATAAAATGTCATCACTCACTGTTCTTAGTACCTCTCTTACATTTGATAACATTACTACACATTCTTTGGATTTATGTCCGCTTGATACTGTGTGACCCTAAGCTCAGTATATAGGTGTTGTACTGTATTGTACTGCATACTTGTATAATTAATATCAAACCAATGCAATTAGTGGCTTTTCCTAGTCTTTAGGTGAATTTCCAATGTTTGTAATATATACATATATGTATATATATATATATATATATATATATATATATATATATATATATATATATATATATATATATATATATATATATATATATATATATATATATATATATATATATAGAAATTGCCTGACTCTGATTGTTGACATTACTGCAAAAGGATATTTAGAATATTAATGGGAATGGGAGATAAATTATAATATCTCAAGCTCTGTGACTTATTTTTGCATGCATCAAAGGTCCTGGGAACAACATTTATGAGAACAGCACAAAAATTATAGAATATTTATTATTTATAAAGAAAAAGATTTGAGTTTTAATTTTTTTCTGTTGTATGAATTAAAGTGAATTTGGTATTTTCTAGGATTCCAATGAAGATGAATTTGAGCCTGAACAAGATAGCAACAATGATCCTTTCACTAGGCATCTACAATATGATTTAAGTGATGAACTATTCATTTCCCTCTCAAATTCTTCACCTAATGTAGACCAATTCATCAAAACCTGGCCAGTACTTGGAAACTTATCTATAACAATACCAAAACCAGTAGAAAGTAATTTAAAAAGAGTGAAACCTAAGATTTCAATATTAGAGAAAAAAACATATGCACCACATGGATCAGCTCCACATAACATTACCAAAATAGACTTTAATTTACTACATTTAAAGTCACAAATTCATGGTAATATCACATCTAGTAATAAAATTAATCTGATTAAAAAAGATTTAGAACTGATAGAAGTGTTAACTCCCTTACAAAAGGAACTGTTTGCTGTTATAAATAATTATCAGGATTTATATTACCCTGAAAGAACATTTATAAATGCAGATGAAATTCGATACATTTATTGTCTTCATGTTGTGAACCACATGTTAAAAACTCGAACTAAAATCATACATCATAATGCAAAATTATCAAAGAAATCTGACATGTCTGATGAATTTCGGGATCAAGGTCTGGTGCGACCAAAGGTAATGTTGAAATATTTATTATATTGTAGTTTAAATTATAAAAAATCAACTTATAGGTCATATAGTTACATGGGGCACTCAGAAAGTTTTGCGACACTATAAAAAATGTTCTGTAGGTAAATATATTTTTATTACATCTTTTCAAAGTAATCTCCACCAGCCTCTATTCAAAGTTTCATGCGTCTGAACCAGTTTCCGAAACACTTTTTCCAGTCCGCTGGAGACACCTAGTTTACAGCCTGCTCGAACGCTGAGAGCGCATCATCCGGCGACGAAAATTATATCCCTTAGAGCTGATTTTTTATTTTTTGGAATAAGAAGAAGTCACATGATGCTAGGTCAGGGCTGTAAGGAGGGTGACCCAGGAGTTTGACTGGTGTGCTGTCTAGGAAGTCTCTCGATTTGATTGCGGTGTGGGCGGACGCATTATCGTGGTGGAGCAGTAGCCCGCGGAGCCCTGTGTTTGGTCGTTTGTTGCTCACAACAGCGAAAACTTCTGACAAGCATTTGGTAGTATACCATTCGGCGTTAATGCTTCTTTGGTTTCGTTTCGTTTTGAAACACCCAAACCGTCGACTGACGCTTTGTTTCTTGATCGTATTGATAAATCTAGGATTTATCACCTGTAACGATGTCGTAAATACGCCGAGACGAGCCTAATTCAAATTTTGTCTATCATATCATAGCACCATTCCACCCTTCTGAACATCGGTGAGGGTGTACGACACCCGGCGTGAAACTATCCTCCGCACCCGTAGATGCACGTGTAGAATCTCGTGAAGGCTTCCTGATCTAATCAGCAGTATATGCTGAATCTCTTGGTATGTAACTCGTCTATTGTCTTGGATCAAGTTTTTCACTGCTAGCACGTTTTCTTCCGTAACAGCCGTCAAAGGACGATCATTTCTTTCTTCATCCCCCAAAGTTAGTCGACCACGCCTAAATTCATTATACCATCATCCATAAATGCCATTTGAAGTTTATCGTGCGATTCATCCGGTTTCAGGCGACACTTAAAATCGTAAAAAAACAGCGAAAATGTTCTCGACGCAAATCCATTTTTCAATGAGACACGGTAATTTTAATTAGCTTGCAAAAAATGTAGAGGGTAGTTTGAATTTTTATTTTCATTTATAAGTAATCATATTTGTAAATAAATTATAACTGGCCAGTCTCACCTACATAAAAACTTTTTCTTGCAATACTTTCTGAGTGACTTGGTATGGTGTATATATGTAATTGTAAGTAGTATGTTGTGTAGCAATTTCAGTAGTAGTTAATTATGCATTTACTTATATTATCCACAATCCATTGCTTTTGAAAATAAAACCTTATCCAAAGCCTGCAAGGCATTTACTTTTTGCAACACATTTGTGGTTGCCACTCAAAAACTTTTCTTCCCCATTGCTTCTCGAGTCATTGAAGTATAATGTCTGATATATTATTTGGCATTCTCTAGTTACAATTTTATTTTAAATATTACTAAGATAATAGTAATTAATACATACCTACGATATTCTTCATTTTTCTTTCAAGGTCATAATCAACATAAACTTGGTAATTTACTTAGGTAGTAGCTCTATATTTTAAGCTTTAAGTCCCTACCCCTTCAAATACATTGGCTTTTTTAGTTTATTGTATTTTTCAATTTCAACTTGATGGTGAAATTATCCCGTACAGATGCATTTCTCAGGAATTAATAAGTAGCATGAGGGGTTCCATGTCTGTCACAGTGTATTGTGTGTTTGCTATGGTACTGTTCATGTATATAGGCAATGGTTACCCTTTCTACAAGATGGACTGCCAGCTTGTTTGCTATTTCAAGTTCCATAAACAATTAAATTTAATTAATATTTTTTCAGGTTATAATATTGGTTCCATTCAAAGATGCAGCTTATAGAGTTATTAAAACAATTATCGATATTTTAGTGCCAAAAGAGGCTGGACAAGTACTGAATAAAAATAGGTTTGAAGATGATTTCACAGGCGGTGAACTGATAATGCCCAAAAAAAACCCTAAACCGGAAGATTATGAACTATTATTTGCTGGCAACACAGATGATACATTCCGTCTTGGCATGACTTTAACTAAGAAAACACTCAAGGTAATAAAAAAAGTTGTAATAGTAATACTAGTACACAATTTTAGATATATCTTAAGTATGGAGTAACAAAAACTGGACTTTTATTTCGCCTACATCGATTTTCCCTACAGTTTTTCTTTTAAACAAAACAAATGGCGCCATTTTAAGTGTACCAAGTAAATCTGTGCGGGCCACCTTCGACTGACCCGCTTTGAATTGGGGTTGTATGTTATGGTACAGGCTGGAGAAATAAAATATCCAATCTTCTTATGAAGTCCCTTTGTGCTGCTCAGAAGAGTTCTTCTTAATATCTCGATCGGAGTGAGGTCTGCTGGTCAGCTGGTCATCTGGTCATGCCGCCAACGGCATAGGCGGCCTATATTTATACCCCGCCCGGTTGCATGTTATCTGTTACTAACCAACGTTGGTGAGTTGCTGCGAGCGGGACGGAGCGAGTGTGAAAGGGAAGCGCGAACTATTCTGAGTAGCTCTATTGGGTGTCTATTTATTTTCCAATTAAACTTAATTCTATTAAATACAAACTATCTGTTTACAATTTATCTTATTTCTGCTTATGGGGAGTAAAACACGATACAGAGAATGGTTTATTAAACTTACAAACTATGAGAAAAACATACTAAGGTCCACTATTTACAACTATAAAATGTAACAATTACAAGATTAATGTCGTAAATAACTATGAATAACGCGAACAAAATCTATTAAAAATTTCTCAGATCAGATAGAAGTCAGTATTTGAATTTCAATTTGAAATTATTTTTGTTCGTGAATAAAAGCTCCGGGCGTCGTCGGACTGGGTCTACCCCCTAAAGCTGGTACTGTCTATAGTTTATTATATATATTTTTTTATACATTAAAAATAAAGGGCAATCTTTTTCTTTTCAGCTATACACAGATTTTTATTCATCTGATATTATAGTGGCCTCTCCTCTTGGATTACGAATGATTATTGGGGCAGAAGGGGAGGAAGATCGTGATTATGATTTTTTGGCTTCTATTGAAATATTGGTAATGGATCAAACTGATGTATTCCTAATGCAAAATTGGGACCACTTGCTCCATGTCTTGGATCATTTTCATTTGCAGCCAAAAAAAACTCATGGGGCTGACTTTTCCAGAGTTAGATCTTGGGCTGTAAACGGATGGTCAAAATACTACAGGTAAGGCATTGCACAGTTGAGGTAATAAATACCATCCTCCATAAATACATATATATTGCATGTCTTACATGAGTATCCATGAGAATGGTATTGTACCTGCTGCAGATTTGTGTGATAGAATATTACCCAGTTTTGAAGTTGCAGTTCTACCCAATTTTAAAATGTTCATTTACTAAATAGTAAAATTTATAGGATTGTAAAATTATTTATTTTTATCGTTTTGCAGGCAGACATTGATATTTTCATCTTTGTTGTTACCAGAGATAAAATCTGTGATGAATAAAAAATGCTACAATTATGCCGGAAAGGTTATAATAGCTAATCCTGTTGAGGTGGGCACTATACAGCAAGTGTTAATACAAGTACCACAGATATTCCATAGGTGTGTATAATTATGTATTTATAATTTGAACATAGGTGCCACAAGGACAAATTTATCTGTCTTACCACACTTTCTACATGGAAATTTTAAAACGGTATTAGTTAATTAATTAAAGCCACGTGGTCCCGGTATAGAATAGGTCACCTCCTTTCTTTCCCATTGGAATCATAAGAGGTGACTGAGAGAATTTAGTAGTCAAGGGATGGCTAGTAGCGTCTTTCTTAAAACATCATCAAAATTTGTGCTTGCCAACCCGCCTGCCAAGTTTGGTAACTACTGGAAAAATCCCCAATGAGGAGGTCTATGTTCAGCAGTGGACAGTTAACGGCTGTATCGTCATCGTCATTATCATTAGGTAATTAAATCTAACTTAGGTCAGGTTAGTCTCATTAGAAACACTGTCTAATAAAGTTTTCCATTGATCACTTTCAGACAAGATAACATTTATGTTAAGAGATGAGGTTTTAAAAATTTTTTTATGCTCACCTACATAATTAACATTTCATATATTACTTACTACCAGAAGGCTCAAGTGGCCCCATTCCTAGCAATATGAGTATACTCTGTCAGGTCGGCCTCCATACAGTGCCTCGTGGTTACTCACCAAGTGGTGGCCACAATGGGCCAACTGACCTAACTTCATCGTCATCAATTCATCCTCGATTGGTAATTAGAATAAGCTAATGGTCCCGATTTCATCTTAATTAGTTTATCCTTAATTAGTAACTTGCCATTTTACACTGTTAGCATAGATGGATGTAACATTTTTTTTAATAAAAAAAATAAACCCTCTGTTCAGAGTCAGTATTAACACCGTTATGTTTTTACAGGTTCAATGCCACAAATCCATTGAGATCAGTTGATGAAAGATTTGATTACTTCATCAAAGAAATTTTACCGAAACAACGTGATACGTTGATGAGCCATACACTTTTGTATGTTCCTAGTTATTTTGATTATGTTCGTATCCGTAATTACTTCAAAAAGGAAGATATAAGTTTTGTACAGATATGTGAATACTCAAAGGTGAGTTGACATTATATTAGTCATTTTGACTCGCGACTCCGTCCTCGTGATTGGGACATATTGATTGCCTAGGACAAAAAATGACCGTCGAGATGCCAAAAGGAAATGAAAATGCTTTGCTAGTTGTACTTTATTTTAATATACTACCAATTTATCTGTGAATTGAAGAATTGCTTTAGTCACACTGTGTGTTGTTGTCATTATTGAAATAACCGTTCGATGAAATGGTAATAAAGTATTTTCTGTGATATAAGTCTTGAGTTTAGCACTGGAATTGCTGTTAAACTAAGGTAACTGTTAAGGTTAAACCTTAACCAAGTGTGTAAAATAAATAAATAAATTAAAAAATAAAAAAAATTGGCATAATTTTACATTCACACACACAAAATGCTAATTGTCAGTACAAAATAAGAATACTATGTACTACTCCTCCGGTCAAGATGTCATAAGGGGCAACTAAGGAACAGAGCGTAACACTCCTCTAATGGCAGAGAATTCATGGCCAGCGGTGGCACGTCAATGTACTGTTATACCATTCGGCGCATATCACTATATACTGTTCAGTTTCAAAAGATAATTATTAATATAGACATTTTTGTTTACTGGTACTATTCAATTGGTTGCAGGATTCCAAAATTGCACGAGCACGAGACATGTTCTTCCACACTGAAGCTCATTTCTTGCTGTACTCTGAGAGAGTACACTTTTTCAGGAGATTTCGTATTAAGGGAATTCGTCATATAATATTTTATCAGCCCCCTACATACCCCCATTTTTATTCAGAAATGTGCAATCTTATGCAGGTGATTATTTTTCTAACATAAATAATAATTTATTTTTTAAATAAAGAACAGGAATTTAATAACTAATTCCATCGTGGAACTGAATTAATTACCAATTGTTTATTTCATGAATGAACGAATGAATGAATAGTTTATTTTCTCTTCACAAAAGGTAGTATAAAGTGACAACTTGAGGTACAATTCGATATGAAGACCAATTTTGTGAGAGACTGGTCCTTGCGGTAGGTTTTGAAGAACCTGTGTTACAAGTCACCAGTTCAGTTTCATGATAATGATATATTAAAATATAGACTATAAGTACATCATTTAATACAACTATTATTGTAATTGTAAAATTGTAAAAGTGGACTTATATTGTTATTAATTGTGTAAGAAAATCGATACAGTCCCTTTTATGACAGCTTTTGGAGACGAAATATCTAAATTGTAATGTAAAATTTAATCGCGAGGTTGAGTCAGATGTACTTAGCTATTTCGATTTGCAGGGAGGGATATGCCAGTGAAATTATAAAGAGTACAGAGGCATAACATCTTAGTATTCAGGAATAGTGATGCATGAGGTTCTATCATTAATGTCATATTTGTCTCAATATATAAAAATTGCCTGTCATGGTGTTCGTTCGTTTAATCGATTTTAATAAAATTTTGTAAAAAGCTATTTTTGCTTCAATTTAAGAGTAATTTAAATTGAATCTTATCTATTGGTAAGAAAGAATGGACTCGGTTAGTGGCAAAACAACATTTAAACGAGCTTAATTAGCTGAGTTTACTATAAGTTTGGATAACGACGAAGTATTTATTATTTTCAGGAGAGCAATCAAAACAAGTACGGTGGCAGCGAGTGCAATATGACGGTGTCAGTAGTGTGGAGCTCGTACGACGCAGCGCGGCTCGCTGCATTGCTGGGCACACAGCGCGCCGCACGTATGCTGCATTCCGACAAGCCTGTACATATGTATATGACTGGAGATTAATAAATTGTATAGGTATATATAATAAACGTTTTATTAATAACAATCCACAATAACAACTAATTAGGGTGAGCAGCAATGGAATATATAATTAAAGAAATATATATATCAGGTAGGTATCTAAGGTGACAATCAAATATAGTTGGTTTCTAAAATTACAAAGGGTTTTTTGCAAAATTTTGCCCCTAATACATTAAATTTACTTGTTTATTAATTTTGAGTTTTTTAGCATATTAAACATGTATTTACAGGTGTATTAATACAATGGTCCTCTGGGTGGATAGTACCTATCACAAAGACAAAGAATTTTTTTAAAGGTCTCTGTGTCTATATGGAACTATCATTATTTTCTATTATATTATCAAACCCGATTTAACCGAACGTTTAACAGGTTTGTACCTAGCACAGAACACTTAATTGTATTAAATGATTCCCCAGTATCATATAATTTCTGTATGGGGATATCATGGGCGTAACAGTATACTCTGTTATGTGCATGCTACTGCTCATGTCTATAGGTGATGGTTACCACTTTCCTTCAGGTGGGTTGTCAGCTTGTTTGTCATTCTAAATTGCATAAAAAAATATTCAGTAAATTGTGTGTCATCACAGTTACAATAGATATTTCTGTCAATTAAAATCTTGAATAGATATATCTTTTTTTATTATCTGCATCACATTATTTATTCTGTTTAATTATTGACGCTACTTATGTATATAGTTAGGCGATGGTTTCCACTTTACATCAGCTGTACCTTAGCTTTTTTACCAATATATTATAAAATATATATATATATATATATATATATATATATATATATATATATATATATATATATATATATATATATATATAATTTTAAACTGCTTATAGTATCGTTATTCACATATTCACATGTTCGTTTTACCATTTATAGCTTAAATATCTGAAGAAACTAATTTCATAGTTTAACTAGACTAAACTACTTTTTCTAACTTTAATGTGCTTCCAAAGCACACGACATACCTTACCATAGCAACCTTTAGTGGTCTACTGCTGAACACGGGCCATCCCCAAAAAGGAATTGATTGGGAAGTTTTGTCAGTAGTTGCCAGTATTAGCCCGACATAGAATAGGCCACTTCTTTACGAGTATTTCTCGTGAGTGTAGTAAGAAAAGACTAAATTTTATTATACATTAAGTTCCAATGATCGAGAGATGGACAGCAGCGTCACTCCTAAAACATTCCCAAGGCCTAATTGCGGTTGCAAACCCGCCATGCATAGCATATAAATGGTGTGAAATAAAAAGAAAAATTCCAGAGAAATTTGTTTTAATGACTGGTTTCATTTATTATCTTAATGTATTGAAAATTTTTAGGACGATTTAATTATTTTAAACCGTATCATTTCGTCTTTTTCAATTAATTTGCATTCATTATCTACATCATCAACTTTGCTATATATCGTGTTTACTATAACAATAATACAATATAATAATGAAGAATATACCAAAATTATTACTTATATCCATACCTTTATGCCATTTAATTAGGTACCGTTTCAGTTTCCATGTGCAAGATAAATAACTGCGACCAAAAAGGACTCCGCGTCACCAAAGTTATAATGGCACGTTTATACAATTTACGTGGGTTTATACAGTATATATAATTGATATAATTAATAACTTCGTTGATTTTTATTCCTTTGTAGGTAGGTACAAAATGTTTATTAGTACTACGAATGACGATAATGGAGTCCTTATTTTAAATCCTCAGTAAAATTTACGTTATAGGTACTTACAACAGCAAAATGTCTTGTATTTATTAAAATTATATTTTTTTAAGAGACCTAAAATTTATTTTTTATCATAAAATTATGAGATCAATATTTATTATAAACGTAAAGTAACGAATAATCTATGTAATATTAGGCATATACTTTTTTCAGTTTCATATGATAATGTGAAACTAGAAGATATATTTTTTATTAAATATCTATTGTAGTTCCTTAGGTTTAGTAGGCAACATATTATAGCCAATGTAACATTTTAGGCAACTAGTAAAATATGTTTATCATAAAGTTTTTTAAATTGTCTTAGACATTACATAGGTCTACTCTTTTCATACAACACTACATTAAACCCAAATAGGTAGGTACCTATTTAACTCTTGTACCTAATACAATATGTAGGTATGTAAATAATACCTATATTCAAATTGGTGTTTTAGTTCTATTTTATATTTTTAATAGCATCTACTTCTCTAATAGGTAGGTATACATAATTTAAAATAATATATAGAAATAAAATTGGCCATTTGTTCTATATAGATATTACCTATTCTATCTTCATGTATTCGTATTTTGCTATTTTTAAATTAATAACCTTATGCAGACGTCATGTGATGGTGTCAGTTTCGTTGAACATTCCAATATCATACAATGTGCCATTGTAGGGAGTCTGCAACGTGGACGGGGAATTTAACAGCATCGACTCATCAGAAATTGTTTCATTCGGGCCTGTATTCGTTGCGGTGGTGGATTCTTCACTAATATTAGTTGGTGTTGGTTCAGTGATGAGGTTGTTCACTGTGATATTGCTTCCTCCTGGAAATAAATAAACATGTTTACCCATTTGTACAAAAGTCGATTGCTTGGGTACTTCTGTCCCATTCGTGTTTCTACCGTGAAGCAGTTGTGTTTGCATGGCTGTGGAATGTACAGGGTATAGAGGAATAACACCTGAGTCCTCAGGAATGGCAACGCATGGGGGGTATCATGGGCGAAACAGTATACTCTGTTATGTCCATGGTACTGCTCATGTCTATAGGCGACGTTTACTACTTTCCATCAGGTGGGCCGTCAGCTTGTTTGCTATTCTAAGTTGTATAAAAAAATCCAATATTTGTGTAAAAATTAAGTGATTACAAATTATGTTTTCTTTTGGTTTTGTATTAATAATTTGTTAAATAGGTATATATAGTCTGCGAACTTCTGAGGGAAAGGAATTGTTAGTAATGGGGTTGAACTTCTCCATTACTAGCAATATATATATCTATTCCTATATCCTATTAGGATATATAATATATATCCTAATAGGTCGATCTCCACGTGGTTACCCATGGGAACCATCGTGGTTAATAAGTTAAAAAAAATCATCCCATTAGGCCAGCTAATCAATAGTAAAGACGGGGTCACAATTTCATTAGGTACTTCTAGTCCACAAGTTGTGCAAACGGCCCGGTAAACCGACCATAGATAATAATGTCTTCATTCCGCAGTTAACGAGTTATATTCATAAGTAAATTAAAGAATACCATAAAAATAATATAAAATATGATTACTAATATTTATAGCATGTTGTTGTTAGTGCTAGATTCATCATAGTTATTATGTACAGGGTCTTTGGACAGGTAGCTAGGTAAGTATTATTAGCTAGATTAAAACAAGTTGTAAAAGTATCTTTTAATCGTAAACCTAAGTAGATATCGTCATAGTCGTAGAATACTGACGGATCTGACAAATATTACATAAGATCCGTCAGTATTCTACGATTATGACGATATACTAATGGTTATGCATACCTACTGTCTACACGTTTAAATTAAGAAAAAAATACTTAAAAAGTTATCTGTTTTATTATTAGTTGCGAAATTATAGAAAGGTATCTATGCAGGTAGGTACTCATTAACAAGTGACTTTTAGAAGAATAGGAAAAAAGGAAAATAAGATTAAACGAAATGTGAATTGGATATGTTATCTTATATTGTAGTCTTGATTATATAGATAGAGCATCAAGTCTCAAAAATAGGCCAACTTTTTTTCAGCTAATTGTCAAATTAGCTGACTCGATTTTTTATCAGTATTATATATACTTAACGTACATAATGTTTCTTGACGTATATACATATGTTCAATTATTTCGCAAATAAAATGAGTTTTTACGCAATAAAAAGATGCAAAAATCGTAAAAGAAAATATAGAAATTATAAAGAAAGTACTCATAACTATTTATCACGCACAATTGTATCAAAAGGTTTACCCGCTTTTTTCGAAGCATTTGTATGGAGAGACTCTATCTATATAATCTAAGATTGTGGTATAGTTTAAGGTATCTATCATGTATCAAATCGTCAAATTTATTTACCTGTTTAAACAAAATTGACTAAAAATATACAAATATCTTTGTGAAATTCCGTCGTTTATTCCTGTGTTAGTCGCTGTGAATATCACGGTTGAAGTAGCCTTTTTGTTTGCGGAGTAATGGAAATTTAATAATTTGTTCAATAAATTATATTGTGAACAACTGAGTACAAAATTTAAAGTAGTTAGACTCAATTTTATCCTTAATAATAATAATTTCAATAAAATATCAAACTAAAATTTTAATGATCATAAAAATAGAGAATGGCGCTACAAAATCGACCCTAGTATGAAAATAGTTCGTTGTACTATTTATATGACGGATAGTGTAATAACCCCATTACGCTATTATTATTTATATGATATAAGTATTCAGACAGGTCTTTATCTATATCTATAGACAAAGACATGTCTGAAATCTTATTCTAGAGTGGGCACGGTCCATCGGACCACTCCCTCTAAATACGCTTGTCGTCCATCCATTCGTCTGTAGCAACGCTTTATCTTGGATATTATAAATGCTACTGACTTGAAATTTATAATAGTTTTCCACATCATTCAATTTACACATTCCAATCATTGGACCACACTTCATCATCATCATCATCATTATATTTGTACATTCTAAAACCGTTTTTATTTATTTATTTTTGAAAAAAAAATATCAAAAATCCATCAAAAACAAACTTAGTTGTGCAATCCATTAATAATAACACAACACATTACGGAACCCTCGGCGTGTAAGTTCAACTCGCACATATAAATACATACATTTCATACGAAGATGGATCATCAACCGTAAATCATAGAGTTTATTGTAACTATAATATATTAAAGTAAATATAACTCTGACTCCAGATTATTAGACACTGTTCCTACAACTATCCTACTTCTTAATAAAACTGTAACTAGATGATATTTGTATATGATACTTGAGAAAAAATTAGAGCTCTTAATAAAAGCTACTTGTTCTTACTGCTGTTTGTACTTTTGTTCTGGCATTATACAAAAACTACTGCACGAAATTAGATACGATTATAGTCGATCTCCACACAGCTCCCCTCAGAAACCATTTTGGTAATTTTTTTATGAATTCGTCACTATAGGTCAAGCAACCTGCTTTCAGTCTCATCTATCATCTCTTAATAGTGCCCCACCAGCGTATACCGATAGCGCAGACAGGGTTACCTTTCCGTTATACATACATACATATCTGTCATGTCTGTCTCCCATTAGGGTAAACAGAAAGAATGGAACGCCAAATCCTTCGATTCAAACCTTTCCATTATCACACATTAAAAACAAGAATATTTTTTTTGCCCATTTTTCTTTTCTAATGTTAATATTTGACATATATGCACTATTTGGAGAAAGACTGGCTACATATTATCTTGGTCAATTAAATTATAACGGATACGCAGATGAAATTGCGAGGAAAAATTTGTAAAAATAAGATTATATGGATACTTAGAGCAAGCTCGTTTAGGAATGTTTTAATTCACGTTGAGCTATTCTGGGCAATCCGGTTGAAATCATTTAGTGATTTATATCTTATAAACATGATCAGTGAATAGCTGAGTGCCGGTTATTGTAACTGCTTACTCGTATACAACAGCTATATTTAGGATTACTGCTGCAGACGTCTGCACGTTTCCAGATACGTGCACAGCACTAGAGACTCGATAGGTACATAGGTACTGTTTTGTATCACGAACTGTAAGTAATTGATTCTATATTTTTAATTGATATGATATAAATTAAGTAACTGTATTACAAAAAATCATACGTTTTTTGTAATAGTTACTTAATGAAATTGTACTTTTAAGAAAAGAGGTTCTCACCTGTATTTTTATGTGATTATTACGTAATATTTTTTCAATTGTTTTAAATTGGGTACCTATTCTTTTTGCTATGAATATGGTTTACTCCCTTGTTGGGTTGGGCCCATATTAATTTTGTTACGGTTGAAGTAACCATTTTTTGTGGTAAATATCGTTATTGATACATGAATGATCGTTCGTAATGCTACCTTCGTCAAAATTTTCATATAAATACATCTTATATAAATATTCGTTTAAGTACCTACCATAATTTATACTGATTCACTAACACAACACAATCCTCGGCATTGGTTAAGTTCTCGTCCTAAAATAAGTACCGACCTACAAAGCAAGGATGATCAGGTGGTTGCCCCAATAACGTTAATTATAAGGACCAACGTACAAATAAACTTCAAAAATGTTTTTAACTTCAGCTTTTTGAATGAACATGAAAGACCGTACCGATGTAATTTCAAACTTAATGTGTTTACTAGACATGTATTCATACATATACATACGAAGCATTAAAATATCGTAAATTTTTTGTGGACCACCATTAAAATTGTGTTGAACAGAATCCACTTCAAATTTTATAACAAATCGATCGTAAATGTAAAAACTTCGACACACGAATATGTGCTATTTTCGTGGATGTGTAGATAGAATTTTTTAATGGAATGAAAATGGATCGGTGAATTCGCCTGCAATATAGGTATAATTGCGGAGTACTAGCGAGAGATATCCTCACCTACCATCATATGTAAGGATAAAGTCAGTTTAGTTAAATAATATGTTAAATAATAGAAAAGACTTTGCTTAGTTTGGAATTGGACAGTAGTGTGTACTATTATCATGAATTAAATTATCTTATACCGATATAAGCGAAAAAGAAGAACAACTAGTAAAAAGATATTGAAATAATCTCTCAAAATAATTATAATGAATACATTTTACAAAATATTTTTTTTGCAATGTTGTATCAAAATTAGTATGGGATGAAACTGCAGTAAAGTTTGTTGATTGTAAATAGAATCATTTCAAAATCGATTTAGTTTTGACGAAGATAATAAATACCTATGTCACGGGTCTAGCATACTTCGAAAAGAGAATATTAGCATACTGTTACCACGTTAGCTAAACATATAAAGTCGTTCTATTGGATTTCAGGACACGAATTTCCCTTCTAATCTAAGTTTCTACTCCTGAATTCAGCAGGTATTAGATAAGCACTGTTGTTACTATGGTTACGCATGCTACCATCAGTAGCTATTACCTACGACTATACGAGTGGAGAGGGAAATATCTGTCGCACTATTTCCTTCTAACTTTGTTACCTTACAGATAATATACTATACTAGTTATTTCCCGCGGCTTTGCTCGCATTAAGTTTGTTGTTGTTGTACCTGTTGTACTATCCAACCCTACCCGTGTAACGAGTTTTATTCAAATATAATTGAGTAACAATCATCCAAACATCTTCACACTCTTTCACGTTTACAATACTAATTGTATCCCGTAGTTTTGCCTGCGTAATAAGATAGATAAGATTTTATTTTAGTGAATATAAAATATGTCCTAAGTTAAGGTATAACTTGTACGTGTACCAAATAAAATTCAAATAGTTTTCTTTCAGTAGTTTTCGTAGGTAAGAGTAAGAAACATTCATCCTCCTTGGACGTCCTCGTGAATTTTCGCATTTATAATAGTAACCCACGCTGGATTCTAATGGTTTTTTTTTAAATGTAGCCCCTGTTACTCGCAAATAATGTAGCATTCTAAAGGTAAGAAAAATTAAAATAGGTTTAAGGTATTTTGAGTTTATCCATTACAAACTAAAAATTAAATATTTCCTTTTCCTTTAGATAGTAGAATTACGAAACAAAAAGAATTAAGATTTTGCTCAACAAAAAGAATGGCGACTTCAAACGTGACAAAATTTATGTAGTTAATTAGCTAGACTTGCATAGTAAATATTCGTTTAAGTCGTTAGTCTCACTTAAGGTGCAACTAAAAATTGTTTATTTGCTTTTTTTTGTATGTATGTAAAGTAACCGGGACTAGCCTTATTACTAGTAATATATTCCATCAAATTGACCTACACGCGGTCTCCCTAGAAATCAATGTGGTTAATTGATAATTAATTCGGCACGATACGCGAACTGACCTATTTTAATGTTCACCTGACATCCCTTGCAGGTGGAGTGCAGACGGGGTTACTATTTCATTGTCATTCGTAAAAAAATCTACGCGTAAGTTGGTAATGCATGCTGGTAGCGTACCAGTGATAGGTGAGGAAGAGGTCAATTAACCTAACGTGATGAATTTAATAACAATTAATCAAATATACTTCTTTCAGAGAGGATCACGTGAAAGCAGACCAGACAGGATATATTTCTAGCAACGGGTACTATGAGTAATAATGCATCCTCTAATAGCGGAAAAAATACGTCCTATAAGCATATTAAGTTAAATCTATGTTATATACATTAAGATTATAGTTTGATCAGATCAAATTTTATGTAATTTGGTAGCATATATACCAAAATACGTAAAATTTGATCCGATACAATTAATATTATATACGAAAAGCTTCTAACAGATATATAGAATGTCTAAATTTAAGATAGAAAGATACATTTGAGTAAGATATTTTATAAGTGGGGCGTGGAACTTTTAAAAGTTTTGTGTTTATGTAATACAATACCAATTTGAATTTTATGCCTGAGAAAATTATAGAATATGTATTAGTGACTACTTTGATTAGTAATATTTCAGTGAAAAGGAAAGGATTTTACGAAGAAAGGGCTGTCTAATACGGTAGCACTGTATTAGTCCAAGTTTACAGTTATAGGAAGTTATAGAAGGGAATAAGGTGAGCTAGGGAAGCGTGTTGGTGGTGTGACCTACCAGTGTGGGGCATAAAGCATGTGGGCATTGGTGTAGTGCTGGTTTGCTTCTCTACAGTGTGAGACACCTTGCGTTGCGCGTATTGCGCGTCCTTGGGCTCCCAGAAGAACACGTAGTAGAGCGAGAGCATGATAGCGGCGAGGGACACGCAGAACACGTAAATGATGACGGTGAGAACGCGCACGCTCTTCTTGTCGCGCTTCCGCTCGTAGAGCGCGTCGAGCACCACCTCGTGCCCGCTGGAGGGGCCCAGACGGACGGAGCCGGCGCACGACCGCACGCTACCCGACGTGAACGATTTGCTTGACATCGCCCTCGACGCCCTCCGCCTGAATGCACCGCCGCAACGCCTTCACGACGAACCAGGTAAGTGGGACACGCTTATTGATATGCCCCAGTTCGGACGATGCGCCGCGGGCGAGTCGCGGTGCCGGGTCACGCCGTCCGTGTCTGCTGCTTGACACCTTCTGATGCGGACTGCTGCCTCATTATTATCGCAGCCGCTCCGGACTTCATTTGTTTATCCTTTAATTTCACGCCCAGTATTACATGTGAATCTATTCCAGTTCCTCTGACGCAGCTGTACGATCGTGATTCGTTTGTCATGAACCCGTCCCTGAATTTTCATTGTTTCTCATAACGTGCGATTATGTTTTCATCAAAGCATTGTTGTTATGTGTAAACAACCGTAAAATTTGTCGAACATCACTTTTTGTCTTTATGAAGATGCACAGAGTACCTACACAGAACTGAACGGGCGTAACATAAACAATTCAATCGTATTCAGTTAATTTGTTGTATGTACTTACTGTCCAATCACGCGTGTTATTTGCAAGGAACGAGGTCGGGAATAACAATACGCAAACAAAGTTAATTTAGAAGAGGGTGACTTGTTATGATGACAGCGAGTGTCGAACGAGCCGGTGCCATGTCAGAAGCGGCGACGGGCGGTTGGGACGCGGCGGCACCGGCGGCGGCGGCGGCGCGACGGTTTGACAGCGTGCGGCGCCCTCCGGGAAGCGCGCGCCGCCACCGCCCCCGGTCATGCCCGCAGTTGCTACGCGAATTTCAAGCGTCAGATCAATATTAACAAAAGATTTGAATTTGCCAATACATAGGTACTATAATAAAAAAATATTGAAAAGTTCGTAGGTATATTGAAAATTATTCGTATGTATGTATGCATGTTTGTCTGTTTTTTACGTCATCCTGAGAAAGTCGCTGAATTTCAATGAAATATAATGGAATATGGTTATCGATATAAACGTAATTAAAAAACTAATAGACTTATCTAAGTAGATACTCATTATTGGTTTTTTTTATGTTCCTATATATTATAAGATTTTCCCAAGGATAATAATGGAATGGTAATCCAATTTATGCTAGCAGGGTACCAGTGAGAGGTAATAGGTCTGTCAACGTATTATTATGGATTTAACACCGTAATGGGCTTAATTAGAAGGAAAGCTATTTGTAATAATGGAGTCTAACTGCCCAATTGCTGGAAGTATACCCTATCAGATCGACTTCCACGTGGTTCCTCCTGGAAGCCATCGTGATTAGTTATTGTTGAATTCATCACGATGGTGCCAAATGACCCGTGCTCCGCCAGTATATGTCGATAGCGCAGGTCGATATTTCTTTTCACCTATTAAAAATGTCAGCTAAATTGTATATGAATTAAGAGGCAACTACAAATTTCCATAAAAATATCTAATTGTAGGTATCTATGGAGTCAATATGTTTATCTGTAGGCTACGGTTATCAATTTCCATCAAGCAGGCCATCGACTGTTTGTCATTGCATAAAACTACACGGACGAAAATGTGGGCATAGTCAGAGATGGCTCTTCTAACAGATAAAATTATGGAACTAATGTGTGAAGGGTTCGTTGGATAAAACAATAAAAATATAAGAGACTAAATAAAGATATATAATTTTGTTCCCTAGTACAAAAATAGATGTTTTAAAAGGTAATGACGTTTTCCTAATAAAACAAAATACACATTGAAATAACAAGAAAAATGAATAAATTCTATTTTTAAAAATAACTTAAATAAAACCTCAACATACTCCCCCCCTTGCGATGATATCGCAAGACAGACAAACATACAAAAACTATATTTCATATAAAATTACAAGTCTCACAACATCACAAATCTAGACGGTTAGGTATTTTGACCAAACGACCAGTGCGTGTGACACGAGGCAATTGCTCAGAAATTTTACTTATAGTATCGACACTGTGTGTATTGCTCTTAATTTCTGCAAATTCACCTGATTCAACCTCTAACGCATACAACCGCTGTATAGGCCTTATACACTCGCCCTTAGGAGTTTTTAATTTAGCAACTCTTGGACATCCACCAATATCCGGATATATATTTAAAATTACTCCTAATGACCAATATAAACGTTTAATATTATCATATCCGACCAAAATAACATCTCCAATTTTATATCTAATTCTTATCTTTACATCCCCTTTGAATCAGAGTGATAAATATTCATTCGAAAATACTATTTTAAATCGCCACTTAATTTTTTTTATATATCGCCACCGAGATGCTAAGATATTGCCATTCAACTGACTTAGGTTATTTTCATTTTCATTTTCATCGACTTTTAGGAACGTTGCGGGTGTCAAGGTTATTAAACTTCCTGAACTTTCCGCTATATATGTCAATTTCTTCAAATTGATTATATTTTCTATCTCACATAAGATTGTATTGAGTTCACAATAACTTTGTGATGCTTTCCCAAGTATTCTGCATAAAATGTCTTTGACAGTCCTCACCATTCTCTCCCAAAACCCTCCCCACCACGGCGCAGAAGGTGGCATGAAACGCCATTCGATTTTCTGAGTGAAGGTCTGAGAAGAAACCTCTTGCCAATTAATTTCATTTATAATATGGGTAGCATCTCTAAAGTTTGTCCCATTATCACTATAAATTAACTTAACTGCACCTCTTCTAGCTAAAAACCTTCTTAAAGCTAGAAGGAAATCCTCATTAATTTGTATAGTATTCTTGAAAAAATTATCTATCTCTTCTTCGCGTTTGATGAGACTTTTCTCTTGTGCGTTATCTTTTATGTCTAACGTTTCTAAATTCCAAAAGTTCTCTACAGTATATGAACAAGTCAGAACACTTACAGATTCTGAAGAGCAATACACACCAATCGCGGGCCCCTGTACAGTCCAACCAAGTTTAGTTTCTGTTGCAAAAAGATAGTCATCTACACGTACTAATCGTCCAGTTAACAGGTTACCTAGAAAATCAGAACCAATTAGTAAATCTATTTTAGAAACATCATCTATAGAATCTGTAACAACAACACCTTTATCATTTAATAAAATATTACTGCCCTTTTTAATACGGGGTATATCACTACATATCGTATTTTGTTCATATGCTCTAACATAACATTCATATGTGTCATCTAAACTTCTGACATTTAAATTATAAATTCTGTACATTTTTTTTTGTGTCGTAGCTCCACCAAACAAATTTTGACTCATTTCTTTCATACCACATGCTTTTAATTTCAGTCTAGAAGCAACATCTTTAGTAACAAATGTTTGTTGGGCACCACTATCCAGAAGAACTCTTACTGTGATATTCTCATCTCCATTGCAGATTTTTACTCTCAGAGTTTGTAATAAAACTGTTTTATTATTTGAAAGATCACTCTGATTTAGTACCGACTGAGATTCTTGTGACGTACTAGCAATGGTAGTGCCTGCAATCGACTTTTTTATATCATTGCACATTAATGGAAAATGTCTTTTGGTGCAGATAACACATTTAGGATACTTCCTACATCGCTTGGCAGAATGTCCAATGTTAAGACATATATAACAAGCATTCTTCGATTTTAAAAATTCTTTTCGCTCTTCTACATTTTTACCAATTGCACTAGCACATTCTGAGCTAGTATGTGACAGTCTATCGCACCAAATACAAGTTTTTTCCTTACGATCGTATTGGTTACCTTCACCTAATCTTTTCTTAGTATCTTTATTATGCGTCGTGTTTAAACATGCAGCAGAAGATATATTAAAATCTTGTCTACAATAGTTATCTAAACCTTTGAAGCGAGATAAACGTATTCTTTCTTCTGACTCGACTTCCGACTTGACAAAATTCAATAGTCTAGATAACGGACTAAATTTTTCATTACCTCTATCATTTGCCTGAGATCTGTTCCATGCCTTCAACGTCTCTTCTGGTAAAGCAGATTCTACTAACGGCAATAAAAATGCGGAATATTTTTCTTGGGTTACTCCCATAGATTCTAGTGCTAATATTTGTGTCGTCAGAGAATCATATAATCTACGAATTGATCCCTTCTGTACACCTTTAGCTTGCGCCAGAACAAGATTGAGTAATTCCCTCACATAGTATTCTATTATCATTTCGTCTTTCGCAAACCGATATTTAAGTTGCTCTATAGCAATACTATAATTCTCACCTGATGGTGGGAAACTTTCTAAAAATTCTCTAGCTACCGACCCTACTTCCATGCATTGGAGCAGATAGTGAAATTTGTCATCATCATCAATCTGGTCATCCATATGTATCTTTTTGAACTGAGACCAGAATTTTAACCACGTTTTTATCTCACCATTATATCTGGGTAACTCCAACCTGGGTAGTTTAAAGTGTCGGTTACCATTGGTTCTCAACGACAACTGCTCTGCTTCCATTTCTTTAACAGTAGATTTTGCAGAAGAAATAAAAGTTTTACTTGCCTTTTGTTTTAACATATAATAACGTGATTCGTAGACATCCGCTTCTACAATATCTTTGTCGAATGTCTCTTCATCACGACTGTCATCGTCGAGCCAAATACTTACAACTTTATTTTGTACTAGAGTGAGGTCTTCAAACAACTTATTCAGTTTTTCAAACTCGGCTGGAATAAATTCGTCGCAACTATCCAAAAGCTTTTCCAGTTTTTGAGCACATAATGTAAATTTGCGACGAGCTAATATCCTCTCCGCCTTTGCACTATCCATATTTATCTGCACGGTCGCCAGTATGTGAAGGGTTCGTTGGATAAAACAATAAAAATATAAGAGACTAAATAAAGATATATAATTTTGTTCCCTAGTACAAAAATAGATGTTTTAAAAGGTAATGACGTTTTCCTAATAAAACAAAATACACATTGAAATAACAAGAAAAATGAATAAATTTTATTTTTAAAAATAACTTAAATAAAACCTCAACATAATGGTTGATAATTGTTTAGAAAAAATTCATAGATGGAGTTAGCATCAATTGGAGCTAAAATAAAACAACCAGGTCTAATTTTTCAAAAAATAATTCATAAATAGCAATTAATTTTCATCAAACATCTTTATTAATAATTGAGAGATAGCTCATCAAATTTTGTAAAATATAGTCATATGAACTATCTAATTTTGTAAAAAGCAGTCAGCAAAATGTAAAAAAACAGCGAGGTTTGACATTAATTGAAAACTTATCTTGCAGAAAGCAGCCAGATGGCTGCTTTTTACGAATTAAGTGTTAGGAATTGGCGGTGCTCGAGTTATGCTTTTTGATTATATATATTAAACGATTTTTTTTTATACCACTGAGGTGGCAAACAAGCATACGGCCCACCTGATGGTAAGCGGTTACCGTAGCCTATGAACGCCTGCAATACCAGAGGTATTACGCGCGCGTTACCGACCCTGAAGAAACCTCTTTACCCCCCTTTTGAAGAACCCCATGCTGTAGTCTCTCGGGAAAACCTCGGCAGGGAAGCTCATTCCATAACCTGAGTGTTCGT